TCCCTACTGAGGGGAACAGAAGCAGTGATCTGTGGGCCTGACAAGATGTCTCGGGAAGTGTGCTGTCTCCCCGGGGCTAAGATCCAAGATGTAACTGAACGACTGCAAGGAATCATAAAACCCACTGACAAATATCCCTTCCTCTTGGTTCATGTGGGAACCAATGACACTGCAAGCAATAGCCTCCAGAAGATCAAAAGAGATTACGAGGCTCTGGACAGGAAATTGAAGCAATTAAATGCAAAAATTGTCATCTCATCTGTCCTCCCAGTTGAACGACGTGGCCCAGGGAGAGAGGGAAAAATAGTGGAAGTGAACAGCTGGCTTCGCAAATGGTGTAAACAGGAACGGTTTGGATTCTTAGATCACGGACTGCAGTTTCTTGAAGATGGACTTCTGGCAAGCGATGGGCTGCACCTCACAACAGTTGGGAGAAATGTTTTTGCCAATGAACTTTCCCCAAAACGTCTGTCCTGACACCCCGTTCCCAGGTTCAAGACGGTGGAAAATTACTTTTCTTACACTCTCTTCTGCAGGTTTAAGCAATCCGGAAAAAATCCCCCCTCTTCTCCTGCTTCCAAAGGGGGTTCAGTAATTTTAGATGATGAAAGTTGATCCTTTACAAACGATTTTCTACACTCTAGTTTGCCATGTCTTTGCTTTAATCTATCTACAAGAAACGGAAGGCTGACTTCCTGTTTAGACCTTCCTGCTTAAGTGCCAAATTAAGAGAAATTTCTTAATCCAATTTTCCGTTCTACTCACAGATCGTTGTTTAAAGTCCAATTGTCCAAATCTGATCTGCTCACGGGTAGTTGTTTTTGTAGCCAAATTGTCCCAGGAAAAAGGTAGCGCTCTCCAGCAATGGCTGTGCGGCTTCGCTCCACGGAAGAAGCAGTTGACTCTCAGCACCGTGCCACTAACCCCTCTTTGCTCCGGAGCCCGTAATTGGGTTCCTTTACGAATTGGGGGGGCGCAAAAGGTGCCCGCCGAGTCCCATGGTCACAGGCTTCATCCGGCTGTGATTTTTTAGAGGGTCCCCGCTTCGCCATAGCGGAACAGACCCGTTTCCCGTGGAGCCAGTCCCTCCGGATCAGAGGGAATCCGCCATTACCGATGGCGCCACCCCGTAAGTCCGGGGACCCATGTGTTTTTTTTAATTCGGGTTCTCCTTCCCAAGCCACTAAGTACTCCACCTGGCGCCCTCGCCACCTTGAATCGAGTATTTCCGTGGCTTGGTGGTGGAGTTCCCTCTCCTCTACCCGCGGGTGGGCGGTGACTCCTCCCTCCCGCCCCGGGAATTCCCGCCCCACCCTGTACGGCGAGATAAGGGACCTATGTAACACCGGATGTATCTTCATGCTGTCAGGCAACTTGAGCTTGAATGCCACAGGGTTCACCTGCTGTGTTACCTCAAACGGTCCCAGCCGCCTTGGCTGCAACTTCTTGCACCCTTCCAAGGGGCAACCCTTGGGTTGACAACCACACTCAGTCTCCCACCCGTATGGCATCCCCCTCCCTACGGTGCTTGTCTGCCTGCCTCTTATAAACTTCCTTGGCCCGCTCCAAGTTCATCTTGAGTTGCTGGTGCAATGCCTCCATTTCTTCCACAAACTGTTCTGCCGCAGGTACACTCCCCCCTTCCTCCCCCCTCCCCAGGAAGGCCCTGGGGTGACACCCATAATTGGCCATGAACGGGCTCGTGCCCGTGGACACGTGTTCAGCGTTACTGTACGCAAATTCAGCCAGCGCAAGTTTCTCTACCCAATCGTTCTGTCTCTCGCTGACGTAGCAGCGTAGGTATTGCTGGAGTATACTGTTCGCTCTTTCTGCTTGCCCGTTGGTTTCCGGGTGGCGCGCCGTCGAGAAGCCCACCTCTACCTGCAGCAAGCTCATGAGCTTCCTCCAGAACCGGGAAGTAAATTGTTTCCCGCGATCTGAGATGACCCTCGAGGGAGCCCCATGCAACCTGAAGATGTGATCCACAAACAACTTGGCTGTCTCCTCTGCTGTCACCGCATGTGAGCAAGCTATGAAATGGCACATCTTCGTCAGTAGATCGACTACTACCATGACTGCTGTCTTCACCCTGGACTTGGGCAAATCTGTCATAAAATCAATGGACACCGCCTCCCAGGGTCTTCCCGGCGTGGGTAAGGGTTCCAGTAACCCTGCGAGGGCAGCCCTCTCCCCCTTTGCCCTTTGGCAGCGGTCGCACCCCCGCACATATTCCCGTACATCCTCCCTCACCCTTGGCCACCAGAACTGCCTGGTGACGAGCAGCATGGTTTTGTGCTGTCCAAAGTGCCCAGCTGTGGGGTTTTCGTGGAGTTGTTTGAGTACCTTCCCCCTCAGGGTCTCCCCGGTACATACAGCGCCCCCTTATAGTACAGCACCCCTTCCTTTTCCTCAAACCCCCCATGGTTTTCTCTTCCGTCTTGGAGTTCCCTGATTTTAGTTTGGGCGAACACGTCGTTTCTAGTAAGCCCGGCCAGTTCTCGTTTCCCAACCAAGACTCCCCCACACACCCATCGGTCCTCAGGGATCACGTATCTCCGGCGGTCCCTCTCCTTCCATGAACTCCGGCTTCCGGGAGAGAGCATCTGCTCTTACGTTTTCCTCTCCTGGCACGTATCGGATCTAGAAGGAAAACTTGGAGAACTCATGTGCCCATCGAATCTGTCTCTGGTTGAGTACTCGTGCGGTCCTCCAGTATTCCAAGTTCTTGTGATCAGTACAAACCTGGATCTTGTGCTGCGCCCCTATTAACAGATGTCTCCATCGGCGAAACGCCGCATAGATCACAAGCAGTTCGCGGTCATACACCGTATAGTTTTGCTCCGACTTGCTCAGCTTCCTCGAGAAAAAGGCACACGGCTTCCATTCCTGCTTACTCATCCCTGGCTGCAAAAGTACCGCCCCAATGGCTCTGTCGGACGCGTCGGTCTCTAGCCTCATGGGTTTCTCCAGATCAACGTGTAGGAGCTGCTCTTCCAAAGCGAACGCCTTCTTCAGTCTTTCAAAGGATTGCTGGGCACTTTCTGTCCAGGCGAACTTCCTTTTGCTACTGAGACAATCTGTGATGGGCGCCATTAAGTGGGCGAAGTTCTTGATGAACTTCCTGCAGAAGTTGCTGAACCCTAGGAACCTCTGCACATCCTTCCGGGTTTTGGGGGCTTTCCATTCCAGCACTGCCTGCACCTTGCTTGGGTCCATAGCCAGTAGCTTGTCTGACAACTTGTACCCCAGAAACTCGACCTCGCTGGTGTGAAATTGGCATTTTTCCAGCTTGACCCACAACTGGTGCTTCTGCAGCCTTTCTAGCACTTCCCTGACGTCTCTGACATGTTGCTTCTCATTGTCTGAATAGATTAAGATGTCGTCCAAGAAGGCTACGCAGTTCTTGTACAGCAGGGGCCCCAACACGTGGTGCATGAATGCTTGAAAGCAGGCGGAGCCCGATTGTAATCCAAATGGCATGACTAAGTACTCAAAAGCCCCCAGGGGGGTGAACATGGTGGTCTTCCATTCGTCCCCCTCCCTTACCCTGATCAAATTGTACGCTCCCCTGAGGTCCAGCTTGGTGAAAATTTTCCCCTGCCTCACCCGTGTTAAAATGTCGTCAATCCTGGGCATTGGGAAGGTCTCGGGTTCAGATACCAGGTTTAGGGCCCGGTAGTCCATGACCAGTCTGGGCTGATTAATCCCTTTTTTGTCCACAAAGAACACCGGACTGCCCCCCACCGCCTTTGATTCTCTTATGAACCCCCTCTTCAGGTTCTTGTCAATAAACTGCCGTAACTCCTGCATCTCCCTGTCCGACATGGCATACAGCTTACCCACCGGCAGCTGAGCCCCTGGGATTAAGTTGATTTGGCAGTCAAAGGGCCTATGGGGGGGTAGTCTTTCAGCCTCCTTCTCGCTGAAGACTTCCTTTAGGTCAGCGTATGGTGGTGGCACCTCTCCCTTTGTTTCCACTGCCAGCCCAGCCACCCTGGCCACTGTCATTCTTGGGGTCCCCCCCCCAGACAGTGTTCCAAACAGTAAGCTGACCCAAAGGTGACTGACCGCTGATGCCATGACACTACTGGATCATGCAGTGCCAGCCAGCTCATTCCCAGTATTATTGGGGGTCCTGCCAGTGTGGCCACGTGAAAGGCAATGGTCTCCGTGTGCCTGGAAACCCTCATTCGCATTGGCGGGGTCTGGTGTGTCACTTCCCCTCCCAGAAGTTCCCTGCCATCAATGGTGGTCACTTGCAAGGGAAAATCCAGGGGTAGCAAGTGTATTTGGTGCTCCAAAGCGAAGTCCCTGCTAAAGAAATTGCAGGAACTGCCCGAATCCAGCATCCCCTCAACCTTGACTGGGTGCCCATTCGGGAGTTCTAGCACCACTGCTATGGCTATCGCTGCCCGGGGGGTCAGGCTGGGGCACTTCTATTGGTTGCTGGCCTGGCTGCTGGCCCCTTTGGTTGGCAGCCAGGCGCTGTCGTTTCCCTGCGCCTGCCCTTCGTCCCCCTTCTCCTCACAGCCAGCAGCCCCCACCATCCCTTGCCAGGCGTTTCTTTGAGGGCAGACCCTTGCAAAATGTCCCGGCCGTTGGCAGAGGAAACACTTCTTGGTGGTTTTCCAATCCTTCCCCTCCCTGGTGACTTTGTCTTCTAAGAGGGCAATCAACATGCAGTTGCTGCAGGTAAAGCTGCCTGCAACCTTTGGCAAGATGGCAAACATTGCGCAGGAACCGCAGGCGACTGCAGATGTTCCCTCCCCCTCCATCTTGAGAACGTGTCGTTGGGGGTGGCTACAGCGGTCCTCCTTTGGGCTAATCCCCAAAGATACTCTAAAGCAGTCCTCCTTTGGGCTAATGCCCAAAGATCCTCTAAAGCAGTGGTTCTCAACCTTCCTAATGCAGTGACCCTTTAATACAGTTCCTCATGTTGTGGTGACACCCAACCATAAAATTATTTTTGTTGCTACTTCATAACTGTAATTTTGCTACTGTTATGAATCGTAACAGTAACGCTGAAATCCAGATTGACATTCTAGCATAGTGGGAGCACCATCTGTGCAAACACCACAAACCTTTTCCCAAGAGATGTTATGCTCTTTCAGAAATGAACCAACTGTGTCAAATACATCATGTGCAGTAGTTGTCGTTTCAAGAGGTTTGCAAAAAAGAAACTCATCTTTAAAGTCGCCATCATTAATATACCTCACGTAAACCAGTAACTGTGAACAGTTTGCAACATCTGTAAATTCATCAAGCTGGATACTAAATATTGGAAGTGGAGCATATTTATTTTCCTGGATTACCTGATCAAGAATATCAGCAGACATGTCATCTATTCTTCTGCAAACAGCGTCGTTGGATAAGGAAATTGCACTCAATTTCATAACAAATTTGTCTCCGATCACAACTCGAACAATGTCTTTGGCCGCTGGCAACAGTAAATCCTCAGCAATGGTGTGTGGTTTCATAGCTCTGGCAATTCTGAGTGCCACCAAATATGAAGCTTCAACGGCTGCTACGTTTTGTTTGTGGTACTTGCCACCAGTGTCAAGTGTGGCTTTCTTGAGTCCATCAGTTTTGCTTCTAAAATAGTTGGTATCCTTGCCGGCAAAGCTTGGATGCTTGCTATCAAAATGGCATTTTTGTTTGTTCAGCTTCATAGATTCGGCTGATAGAACTTCACAACAAATAACACATTGCGGTTTCTCAATTCCTGCTGTAATTATTGAGGTAAAACCATACTGTAAAAAATCAATCCTCACTATATTTTATTTTCTTAACGTTCTTCTCTAAACGATCCATTGTCATGGGATGGTTTGCTAATGAAAATAATATATAACAATAGCGTTTATAATACAAAAGATGATAGATGGCATAGTTCAGTCAATACAGTTCATTAAAGTTTCCTATGATTTACCATTCTCTGTGTTGTTGTTTTTTACATACCTGTTACTATCACAAGGGGGCAGTATTCACATCAACCACAGCTTAATATAAAAAGACCGATCAGCATCCAGATTAAGTTCCCATGGTACAGATTTATTTATTTTTTGCAGTAGTTGATGATTTTACAGTACATGATTTTACATTTACCCAGTAACTATAATTCATGAAGTGTTGTTTTACCTCCAATACTTCTACTTTCAACACAGCAGCTGCTTTCTACACAGTAGCTGCTCTCTACACATGTGTGACTGGTCCGCATAAGTACATTATGGCGCCAACCCCATCACATACACCTGTATTTGTACGGGGTGTATGTGATGGGGTTGGCGGCATGATGTCATCATGCCGGGTACTCATATGTGGGCGTATCTGCATGTGGGCAGACCCACCTGGAGACGGATAGAGGAGCAGTGTCTCGGTTCCTAAGACCATTGGAAATATGTGTTTTCCGATGGTCTTAAGCAGAGGTCAGAAACCCTAAAGCCCATAGGCCAGATACAGCCCATGGGCCTCCTGGAACCGACCCGTGGCTCTGCTAAGCGCGGCTCCTGTGCCCTTGCGAGTGGCAGAGGCTGTTGGTGGAGGAGCCCACCCCCAAAAAAGCTTGCCGACCCCTGGTCTTAGGCAACCCCTGTGAAAGGGTCGTTCAACCCTCAAAGGGGTCACAACCCACAGGTTGAGAACCACTGCTCTAAAGCTATCATAAGTTTTTTTTTATGGAAAAGGTGGCAAATATATTTTGGCAGCCTCCCGGGTCTTTGCTACAAAGGTACTATCACAACTGACTCATGGCTCCCAGATCTGCAGCTTTCCAAACTTTGATCCCTTAGAAACCTTTCAAATCAAGTTTAATCATTCCCTGCTAGGGATCCCTTCTTGCGTGTCTAATATAGCTGTCCGCTTGGAGGTCAGTTAAATCCCTGTGTGGTGTAGTGGTTAACAGCGATAGACTCATAATCTGGTGAACCAAGTTCGGGTCTCTGCTCCTCCACATGCAGCTGCTGGGTGACCTTGGGCTAGTCACACTTCTTTGAAGACTCTCAGCCTCACTCACCTCACAGAGTGTTTTTTGTGGGGGAGGAAGGGAAAAGGAGATTGTGAGCCGCTTTGAGACTCCTTAAGAGGAGTGAAACGCGGGGTATCAAATCCAAACTCCTCTTCTTCTTCTTCTGTTAGCGCTCAGATATGGATCCTGAAGATCCACTACTGGATAAAACTCATCTTCTTTCCTGTCGTGTTGGTACCCTTAACCCTACTGGAATCAATCAAAATGGAAAACTACATTATATGAAAAGCTAAGAGACTTGGGGGTGTTTGCCACAGGCACTGATAGCCGCAGGTTATGAGAAAGCCAGAGCAACAATTCACCAATGAATCTGGGACGTAGAATTTCAGTGTCATGTGAGTGAGATGAATAAGTACCCAGCAATCAAAGAAAATGGGAGAGGTTTTGCCCCAGCAATATATCTGTCAAAATTACAAATATCTAAATATAGATGGTCATTCACCCTCGCTAGATTCAACGTGCTGCCATCTGCCTTATTGCAGGGCAGATCTGTGGGTAAACCATATGCGGAGCGAGTTTGCCCCTTGGCCTGATAGAGGTGGAAACCGTCTCTCATGTCTTGCTACGATGTCGTTTTTATGAGGATATTCGCTGGTCTTCATTACCCCTGTTATACAGAAAATTCCAAGTGGGTCTGAACGTCAATGTTTAAAATCCCTGATAGAGGATAAGGATCCAGAGATCACACTAAGGGAGGCCAAATTTTGCGTAGCTGCCAAAAAACTCAGGGAACAAGCTGTGCTATTACATAGAATAAGGCCTCAGATGGAAACTCTAGATAATATTTTATAGACTAAGACCTAAACCACATTTCTAATGGCTGTCATATTCATATTGTTTATTGTTATATTCAATTGTTAATTCAAACTTAATTCTATTGTGTTTTATGTTCACTTAGCACAGTATGTGAAGCTGGTCTGGGACCATAATAAATTTCATTTCATTTCATTTCATTTCAACCTACACCCCCTCAAGAGTCCTGGGGACTGTAGTTTACCACCCACACAACTAACTTTCCCAGCACCTTTAAACTACATTCCCCCAAGATTCTTTGGGGGGAGATATGTGCTTTAAATGTATGGTGTGTATGCAGCCATACTGCGTGGGATTTGAATTCAGGTCCCTGAAATCCAAACTCAGAAGGCTAACCTGTGGATGAATCTGCACAATAGAGATGTAGGACCCTTGGCTCTGCTGATATTGTTAGACTCCAGTTCCCATGAGCCCCTGCCAGCACAGCCAATGGTCACGAGTAAAGGGAAATCTGGAGGATCACACAGTCCCCATCCCTGCTATAAAAGTTCCTACCTAGTGAGAGAAGTTCAGTCTATGTGACCTTTGGGTGTCTTCCAGAGCCAAGCTTGTATGCTGCACTATGTATGAGTTCCAAGTGCACTCAAATTTTTGGATGGACATTCCTAAATTACGACTCGGCTCCATTGTGGCCAGTGCCAAACAGCTTTTCCCAAGCCATTTCCAAAAGTGCTTCGCTCAGCGTTACGGAACCTGGTTGGGTTGGGGAGGAAGGGAGCTATTCTATCCATCTCAGAGCACCAGGCAGTTTAAGGTGGTTTGGGGACAAAACTCCCAATGTGAGCGGTGAGAACGCCTGCCAACATCTCCACAGTTTGCATTTATGATCCCGAACCAGGCGTTTCTGAAGAATAATTAGTTTTAAGGCGCAGGAGAGAGCAGTGACATCTGGGCAATGAATAACCTGCACTCCTGGCCCACTTGCTCATGGAGGAAACACTGACAGCGGGATCTGCAGGGACTAGTGAAATCCTTCCTTTGTTGGGCAATTTGCATAGAGGCCCCTGCAAAAAAATATTTGAGGGGGCTTCTTCCCAGCTGATGGGCATTGCCATTCAAATGGTGTGCATGTGCCCCATCATGTGATCAATTCTGCAGGGTGGGGCTTACCTGCCCCAATAATAGTTTCTTCAAGTTGGCTCCCCTGCCACACACACACAAATGGGTGACTCTAGTCCAGGATAGTTCATTGCGTAATGACATTTGCAAATGTTTTAAAGTGCCAGGAGACTTGTTTTTGTTGCAGCAAACTAACACAGCTACTCCTTCTGGCTCCACCTGCTGGGGACCTCCCTGCCTCCCACACTATCAGTCGTAGTGAGCACCAGCCACCACTGTACAACAGACTCTGGACCGTGAAGCAGCCAAACCCTGCAGTCTGTAAACAGCTCTTCCAATAGGGAAAACTTGTTATTTGTGGCCCCAGGCAGCAGGCCTGTCTCCTGGGTCAATTTTGGTTGAACTTCTGAGCTCTTCTTCCACGAGGGTCTTCAAGCAAACCACATCAGACAGATGTTCCAGGTGTGGATTTCCTACACCAAGTGGTTGGTGGCAGACTAGATGACCGCAAGGTATTCTCCAACTTTACGATTCTAAGGTCATTGGCTGTTACTGGGAAAGGAGCACACTGTGCAATGCTGTCTGTGGGAATGTTGTGGGTAACAGGAGAGTAAATATTGATTAATATTATCCTTCCTAACTCGTGCTAGCAAGTTTATTCATACAGCAGAGTGCATTCCCTCTTTTACACAACAGAAAGCTGGTTGCAGACTCGTGTGAGTCTCTTAAGTTCTATTATTCCTGGTAAGACACCTTTGATTCCCTCCTAAAAGAATAAAAACACAACAGTCTTGTTCATAAGTAACAAAAAGAAGTTTGCTCACGGTTAGGCAGAGCACAGTGTGATCCCTGAAGGCAGGCTTTAGGCTTAAAGTTACCAATGTGTACAAATAGGCTGACCCCATATGGGAGATAACCCAGGGACTTCTGGCTGAGAGCTAGCAGTGCAGTCCAGGTGAAGCAGGAAGCAGGCAGGATGAAAAAGAGAAGGAAAGGGAAGATGGCTACGTGACTTGGCCTTTTACTATGTCTGGATAGGTCACTCCCACCTACTAGTAACATGCAAAGGAAAGGTGCTCCAGTCAGGTGTAACAGGAAGTTCAACGGCTCTTCTCTCTCAATTTGAATTCCAAGGTAGTACTGGATCTTTCCCAGTTCCTTGAACTCAACAGCTTTGCTTAGGTGTTTTACAACCTGTGCATAGTCTCTGTCATTTTCTGTGGCAATAACCAAGTCATCAACAAAAGCGAGAACTTATGAAAATTGTCCATTACTTGACTTGCTGTGCAAGTACTTGTCAAAACACATAAACGTAATAGACTGTATAATAACAATTGTAAAGTTATTTACTGGAAACTACTTCTCAAAATTAGATACAGCTTCTCATAATATCAAAATCAACATCGTGACATAACATATTAAAATGTAGCTTATTCAGTTGACCACCAAGTCCAGTATGTACAAAACACGATTCCTATTTTGTCAGTTCTGTAGTACATTCATTTCTAATTTCTTCATCTTCTCTTGTATTTTTCTATCTGACGTATTCCTTATAAGAGTACCATGAAATAGTCTTGCAAGTGTCTAATGAAGATGATAAGGTTGGTAGACATAAACTGGCACTGGTAGACAAGACAAGGATTCTGGATATTCCCCTGTTTCACCCAAGGGGCTTCATCAGCTGTGCATAGTTCTAAATCATATAAACATAGACACTTTGTAATATCTTAGCTGCACAAATTCCAAAGAAACATACAAAATTATAATAAATGCACATACCATCACAGCTACATGGATCTTATTTGTGATAGATTCTCAGTCGTAGTAAACCTGTAAGTCTGAGTACTATATAAGGGGGCAACACTAGCTAAGGCGACAGGTGCCAATAATTCATGTTAATTCACTCTTAAAGGAACATTGCTCAGTAATGTACTATAGACAGAAAATTGTTACAACAGGTATACTATATGTTCATTAAAGGTTTGTCCAATTTTTAACTTAAGAAAGCAGCTATAATATAATCCAGTGTTTAAACCTGGAGGACGAAGTGTATTAAGTAGAAAAAATGAACCTACTTTCTTTTTGTTGTAAAACCCTCCTCGCTTGATCTAGAGGTCCCTGGTAAGCCCAAAGAACAAAAAATGTTAAATCATTTTGGCATTATGAGAAGCTGTATCTAATTTTGAGAAGTAAGGTAAAGGTAAAGGTACCCCTGCCCGTACGGGCCAGTCGTGTCCGACTCTAGGGTTGTGCACCCATCTCACTTAAGAGGCCAGGGGCCAGCGCTATCCAGAGACACTTCCGAGTCACGTGGCCAGCGTGACGAAGCTGCTCTGGCGAGCCAGCACCAGCACAGCACAGCACACGGAAACGCCGTTTACCTTCCTGCTATAAAGCGGTACCTATTTATCTACTTGCACTTAGGGGTGCTTTCGGACTGCTAGGTGGGCAGGAGCTGGGACCGAAAGACGGGAGCTCACCCCGCCGCGGGGATTCGAACCGCCGACCATGCGATCGGCAAGCCCTAGGCGCTGAGGTTTTACCCACAGCGCCACCCGCGTCCCCTAAATTTGAGAAGTAGTTTCCAGTAAATAATTTTACAATTTTTATTATACAGCCTATTACGTTCACATGTTTTTTCAAGTGGATTTGCATAATACTGTATAGGCATTCTAGTTGTTTTGATTGTACAAGTACTTGTCAGCATGGCCTTGCTTGCACCCAAGTTGCGTCAGCATTTTGTGCAGCTTCTGGTTCCAGGCTCTGGCAGCCTGCTTAAGTCCATAAAGTCCCTTTTGTAGTTTGCACACCAAATGTACCTCATGTGGTTTAACAAAACCCTTGGGTTGCTTCATGTAAATTTCCTCTGAAATTTGCCCATGAAGAAAGGCAGTTTTAATATCAATGTGCCTAACTTCAATTTGCTTAGAAGCTGCAATGCTGAAAAGCATTCGTACACTGTTGTAACTCACAGTTGGCACAAAGACGTCATCATAATCTTCGCCGTAGCATTGAGAAAGGCCTTGTGCTACAAATCTGGCTTTGTAGAGCTGCATTTCCCCTTCAGATCCTTGCTTAATTTTAAAAACCCACTTACTTCCTATGCCCTTCTTTCCAGGAGGTAGGTCAGTAACATAGCTGTCAACTTTTTCCTTTTTTTGTGAGGGATCCTATTCGGAATAAGGGAATTTCCCTTAAAAAAAGGGAAATGTTGACAGCTATGGTCAGTAAGGGTCCATGTCTTGTTTTGATGCAGTGCATCCATCTCCTCCTGTGCGGCCTTCCTCCAGAGACTGGCTTCTGCAGCTGGCATCTCCTCTATCTCGTCCTATATATATCTCTACCTTCTATATAGAAGGTTCTTAAGGTAACGTCGACCCTGCGAAGTAGGACAGCTGTAATGGTGGGACACCTCTGTTGGTTCTGGATGAGCGTCTGACCTGTGGTTCTGGGACCGCATCAGCTTCCTCATCCTCCTCCAATGGTGGCATGTCTCCATACGGATCCTCTTCTTTGTCTCTGGTGCCTCTAGAAGTCCGGTCCTCTGCATCTTCTTGTGCATCGCCTGTAGAGGGGGCTATGACATTGGAAGGCATATCTGGACATTGCAAGATTAATGAAGAAAAGTACCCAAGTTCTTAGAATTCTTCTGATTCCTCAGAAAACTCCACACTATTTTTAGTGTCAGCTTTGTTGTGCTCATCAAAGTAAATTGTATGGTGTGCACTTGCTTTACCAGTTTGTAAGTCCATTATTTTGTATCATTTTCCTCCAGAGGTGTATCCCAGAAGGATACCTGCTTGCGCTCTGGAGTCAAGCTTGTGTCTGTGTTCTCTGGGAACGTGATAGTAACATAGACTTCCAAATACACAGATGTGTGACAGGTTGGGAGTTCTCCCATGCCAAAGTTCAAAAGTTGTGCATTTAACTCCCTTTGTTGGCAGTTTGTTTTGGAGATACACTGCAATGCATGCTGTGTCCACCCACAACTTTTGGGGTAGGCATGCATCCTCTAACATGCACCTTGTCATCTCCATGATGGACCTGAACTTTCTCTCAGCTATGGAGTTCTGTTGTGGGGTGTAAGGAACAGTGGTTACATGCTCAATTCCTTCCTTCGCTAGGAGATTGCATGTCACGTGAGCAATACCCCATTTTCAGTCATTAGCATAGCTGAAGCTCTCTGGAATTTGTTCTTCACCATAGCAAGGTAGTCCTTTAACATTTCCAGCGTTTCACTCTTTTCCTTGATGAAATACGCTACACAATACTTTGAAAAATCATCAAGAAATATTAGTATGTACCAGTTATTCCCCACTGAGCGACCATTCATAGGTCCACATAAGTCACTGTAGACTTTGGTGCTTCTCTGCTCAGTGCAAGGAGGAAATGAAGACTTAACGGCTTTCCGAGTGGCACAACTTACACATTTTGTTGGTGCCGTGTTCCTCTTTGCTACCTACAGTTCCCTTGCTAGTTCTCTTTTCGGCAGATCCAGAATGGCGTTGGTGTCTCTGTGTCCAAGTCTTCTGTGCCACAGCTTGAGATCCGCCTCATTCTTATGGTTTGAGCACTCCACCTTGAGCCAATATCCTGGTATCTCTCTCTCACACACATAGGGTTATCTATAGGACGTATATTTCCACCTGGCACAAAGCAAAATTTCACCAGCAGCGTGAAAACTTATTTGAAATGTTGCTTCTACTGAAACCCCCACAATTTATTAATAATAATAATAATAATAATAATTTTTTATTTATACCCCGCCCTCCCCAGGAAAGACCGGGCTCAGGGCGGCTAACAACCAATAATAAAAACAAGTTGATTAAAATACAATTTAAAAAAAGATTTAAATACAACATTAAAACCTTAGGATGCAGCCTTTTCACAGGAGGAGAACGGAAAAAAGGAAAGGAAAAAGAAAGAGGGGGAGTGTGCTGGTCCCAGGGGCTAACCGAGAGGCGAGGACCCTCTTCTTGACAGAATTACAAGCCTGGTAGATGAAGGGAACGCAGTGGATGTAGCCTACCTTGATTTCAGCAAGGCATTTGACAAGGTGCCCCATGATATTCTTGTAAAGAAGCTGGTAAATTACGGTCTTGACTATGCTACCACTCAGTGGATTTGTAACTGGCTGACTGACCGAACCCAAAGGGTGCTCATCAATGGTTCCTCTTCATCCTGGAGAAGAGTGACTAGTGGGGTGCCACAGGGTTCTGTCTTGGCCCGGTCTTATTCAACATCTTTATCAACGACTTGGATGATGGACTCAAGGGCATCCTGATCAAATTTGCAGATGACACCAAACTGGGAGGGGTGGCTAACACCCCAGAGGACAGGATCACACTTCAAAACAACCTTGACAGATTAGAGAACTGGGCCAAAACAAACAAGATGAATTTTAACAGGGAGAAATGTAAAGTACAGTGGTGCCTCGCAAGACGAAATTAATTCGTTCCGCGAATTTTTTCGTCTAGCGAATTTTTCGTCTTGCGAAGCACGAAATCCCTTAGGAATTCATTGAAAATCAATTAATGCGTTCCTATGGTCAAAAAAAGTCCAAACAAAGACAAATTTGGTACAACAAGAGTTTATTAAGTGCTCTTTAAAGTCACACATACTGTAAAGAGCATTTCAAAATTCAAACCCAGAATTTTTTTAAAAAAAACAGCAGAGTGGCCCAATGGTCACAGAAAATCATAAAAATGCAGAAAAAAACACACAAGCTTCCAGATTCTTGCAAACCCCTCCCCAACTGTTCCCCCAGCCACCCAGCACACAGAAATTCAAATCCAGAATTTTTTTAAAAAACAGCAGAGTGGCCCAATGGTCACAGAAAATCATAAAAATGCAGAAAAAAACACACAAGCTTCCAGATTCTTGCAAACCCCTCCCCAACACCAAGTCCTTGAATTCCAAACACCCCAACCCAAAATCCAACCCCCAAAAAGTTTTAAAAGCTTAACTTACCAAATGGCTGCAAAAGAAGTTTTGGAAAAGCTTCAAAAATCACCAAAGTCTTTAAAAACCTCAAAAAGGCTACTATGTACACTGTGTTCTATGAGTTGCTCCTCGAAGTCAAGTCGCAACTGTATTAACGGTGTTAAGAAAAAGGAAACAAACTTGCAACACGTTTTCGTCTTGCGAAGCAAGCCCATAGGGAAATTCGTCTTGCGAAGCAGCTCAAAAAACGGAAAACCCTTTCGTCTAGCGAGTTTTCCGTCTTGCGAGGCATTCGTCTTGCGGGGCACCACTGTATTGCACTTGGGCAAAAAAAATGAGAGGCACAAATACAAGATGGGTGACACCTGGCTTGAGAGCAGTACATGTGAAAAGGATCTAGGAGTCTCGGTTGACCACAAACTTGACATGAGCCAACAGTGTGATGCGGCAGCTAAAAAAGCCAATGCAATTCTGGGCTGCATCAATAGGAGTATAGCATCTAGATCAAGGGAAGTAATAGTGTCATTGTATTCTGCTCTGGTCAGACCTCACCTGGAGTACTGTGTCCAGTTCTGGGCACCACAGTTCAAGAAGGACACTGACAAACTGGAACGTGTCCAGAGGAGGGCAACCAAAATGGTCAAAGGCCTGGAAACGATGCCTTATGAGGAACGGCTAAAGGAGCTGGGCATGTTTAGCCTGGAGAAGAGAAGGTTAAGGGGTGATATGATAGCCATGTTCAAATATATAAAAGGATATCACATAGAGGAGGGAGAAAGGTTGTTTTCTGCTGCTCCAGAGAAGCAGACACGGAGCAGTGGATCCAAACTACAAGAAAGAAGATTCCACCTAAACATTAGGAAGAACTTCCTGACAGTAAGAGCTGTTTGACAGTGGAATTTGCTGCCAAGGAGTGTGGTGGAGTCTCCTTCTTTGGAGGTCTTTAAGCAGAGGCTTGACAACCATATGTCAGGAGTGCTCTGATGGTGTTTCCTGCTTGGCAGGGGGTTGGACTCGATGGCCCTTGTGGTCTCTTCCAACTCTATGATTCTATGATTCTATGATTCTATGAGATATGCGTTAATCAGTAGCAGGCTATAAGATCTGCATCTCATTAACGTAGCTATGGCCAGGTGGTTCAGAGGCTCCAATTTTACGAGGGTAGCGCTTAACCTTGTTGATACCAAGGTACCCAAACTGGCTTTGGTGATCCTGGGAGGCAGAACGAGGAGAAGCTTACGCTCCAGGTCTTCTGTAGGAATACAAGGTCATATCCCTGGATTAACAAACGACGGGTCAGATGTCTTTTTTGACAAGCTTGCAATATTCCATGTTCTAAAGCTAAGGTTGGATTCGGCTTTGCTAGGATTTGATCTTTGTCAATTACCGGTATCTCCAAAGAGTTTTTGGGGTTAGCCTTTTTGTGTGGCAACTGGATGTTATTTGTTTTATCAGTGTCTTTGCATGGGGAGCAACCCAGATGTTCAGTGACTTCAGACAATGGATGTAGGGTACTCAAATTGGTAATAGTAGAGCCTTTGTTTAGCAAGGCATCCTCTGGGGGATGTTCCATCTGACTGGAGGCTAGTTCCTCCTCATCTAAGTATCTCATTTTAGTCCAGAAGCCCGGTGAGGTCGCCTTGGGGTTGGTTTCCCTTTTCAGGGGTAATCTACTACCTTCCCCTGTACATTGTGCTTCCGAATTTGCAGGCCGATTTATCTCTGCCGTTACCTGCAAATTGCGATGACAACAAACTGCTAAGTTGTGACCCTGGTTAGGAAGTTCTTCCACTATGAGAACATTTTTTGAGGAAGTCTGGTCCTCTGCTATGTCCTCCTCTCTAGCAACATTATGTTCAAACTCCCCAGCTAATCTATTTCTAAGTGTTTCTATTATTCCTAAAATTTCAGTTTGCACTGAGGAAGGCAATGACCAGAATTGACTTATTAGCTTGTTTTCTTCTGGGGAGAGATCACCCTTCCGTTCACTCCCTGGGTGATGCAGACCGTGTAAAGATGCACTTCCTCTTACTAGTTTTAAAACCTCTTGTTTGTGATGATCAATGAGGGTCTTTTGGGACCAGTTTCCCTTCCTAATTTTTTCTTGTTCCTCATTTGCCATTACTGTAGTTTGTCGGACTTAGGCCTAGTATACCTGAAGGAGCGTCTCCACTCCCATCGTTCAAGCCAGACACTGAGATCCAGCGCCGAGGGCCTTCTGGCGGTTCCCTCCCTGTGAGAAGCAAAGTTACAGGGAACCAGGCAGAGGGCCTTCTTGGTAGTGGCGCCCACCCTGTGGAACGCCCTCCCATCAAATGTCAAGGAAATAAACAACTATCTGACTTTTAGAAGACATCTGAAGGCAGCCCTGTTCGGGAAGTTTTTAATGTTTGATCTTTTATAGTGTTTTTTATTGTTTTGCTGAGAGCCACCTAGAGTGGCTGGGGAAACCCAGCCAGATGGGTGGGGTATAAATGAATTATTATTATTATTATTATTATTATTATTCCTTGGGACAAAGGTTCAAGACCCAGTGAGGTTGGGGGAAGCACCTTTTGCCTAGCAACAAAATGGAGGGAGCAGGACAGACCACAGATGAGGCAGCTGCTTTAAGTGGCAGACACTTGAAGGGTGGCATGTTAAGTATAATTGGTTTAATTGACCCTGAAATGGGAATGGCTATGTGTATTGCCGAAAAGATTTAACTCTGGGAAAATTCCACTGCAGTATTCTAAGAGACTCTGAGCTTTAAGTGAGTTGATAATTCTTTGCTAGCTGACACATGAGTGTCTAATCTTAGATCACATGAGAGGTATTGAACTGTAAATTCAGTATCTTGGAAGGGTGGTAGAATCTTTGCTCTCAGATTCAGTGAGAGTGAGGATGTAAATGACGCTCTCCAGGGAAAAACAGCTCCAGGAAAATGGAGGATGTAAAGAGAGAGAGACCTTTGCTGATAGGTCTGTAGAGTATTCACATTTTCTAAGATGATGAGTCTGTGCTAGACAGCACAAGATGCCTTATGGAATTATTTGGATGTATCTTTGATGTTTTTGTTTTGTTTTGAAGAAAATTCTGCAGTAAAAGTTTGAACAAACATATTGGCTTTGTCAATGTTTTATTTCCCAAAGGGAGTCAGTTTCCATGCATCCAGTCACTTCACACTCTGCAATATTCATATCTGCAATATGGCGATACTGGAGAACAGAGCTGTATGGGCTACACAGGTGGTCTGCTACCCCCCTAAGCTAGCCTGCTGTGGCCCTCAGGTGTGCAGTGCTAAATAAGAGTCAGTCCTCTGGGCACTCATACATGGAGTGCAGGCTTCCAAATTTAATTGGGGGGGCCCAAGAGCATGCCACTGCTCTCAGAAGTCTGAGGAGGTGGCAAAGGGGTCAGCGTTGAAAATGTGTGTTCTTCCCAACTCTAAGTCACCTTTGGGCCTCCAAGGTGGGGGGGCTCTTCTGTATCCATTGTTCTCACTTTTACCCCTTCCATCTTTTATCTTGCTCAGAACTGAATTCAAACCAACATCCTTTGAAAACAACAGAGAGAATAATGGGATTGCAGGAAATGAGTGTGCCACAAGTTTGAGCTCACTGTCTGAAATGCACCAAGGATGTGTAACTACAGGGGCAGAGAGGGGGAACAGCAATTACATCCACCAACGCAGCCAGCTCCCAGAGCAAATTAAGTGCCAATTTTCTGCACTGCTGAAGAGTAAAGAATAAAGATGATAAATAACAGGAAGTTTCAGATGAAAAGAAAGAGTGAGGCAAAGGAGGCTGACTGGAGAGAGAAGTTCTCAACCTTTGGCAATCAGCCAGCAAGTCAGCAGCAAATGCGCAGGCCCAGTCGTCCTCTGCCGGTCTCCAAGGGAGGAAGCGGCCTTTGTGTTGGGATCAAGCACATCCCACTTTTGACTATTATTCATTAGATTTATATGGTGCCCTTCATTGTAAGATCTCAGGGTGATTCACAGAATAAAATACAGGTTAAAAGCAAGCATGTAATTAAAACCAAAACAGCAAAACAATAACACCCCACCTTCCCACAGACACATTTAAAAGGCTGTAGAGCCATGGTTCCCGTTTAGGGATCTGGGGACCCCAGGGGGTTCACAGCACCTTCCCTGGTCAGGGACTCACTTTAGGGCTGTGGGATAAATTGCCATACCATGTTGTTGTTGTTTAGTCGTTTAGTCGTGTCCGACTCTTCGTGACTGTTGTAAATAAAAATATATGCCCTTTTCCCTTATGGGGTATCCAAGAGCCCATATAGAGTCCTTACATAGGTTCCCTATTGGTAGGAGAAAATAACAGAGGCCAACCAGAGAATATTGAGAAGCAAAGCAGCTAGTAAGCTTGATCTTTATTGATCTGTTGCAACAGGGTGCTCCCCTCACATGCAGGAGAGGAAGAGGACCCCCCAAAATGCTGTGCAAGGGCTTATAAAGACTTTTGAAATTCCCATTCTCTAGATCAAGACCACCCCCAGAAAACCCCGCCGCCAGCCCAGAAGGGCGCCACAGGCCTGACTAGGCCTCAAAACCTAGGCCTAGCCCCTTTTCCCTTTTAACAGGATATGTGAACCCCACTAACAAAGTGTTTGTCCCTTCTTTTCTCCCACAGCACAAATGATAATGAGGGGATGCAAACAGTGATTTAAATACTCTATAAAAAGTAATTGCATTTGTATTTCTTTTCGTCTTTCTTCCCTTAAAGCCAAACAGTCACTTTCTTTCTGTTCAGCAAAACAAGTCTGAATCCCTGCTATATTAGTTGATTTCCCTCTATCTCTTTGTGGCTTTGACACTTTTTTAGGTTACAAATAATCTGTTCTTCATTTATTAATCAGTTTTTCATTGGGTTGTTAGAATGCCAAAACAGATTACTTCAGGTAACAGATTACGTCAGGTGTTTCCTGCTTGGCAGGGGGTTGGACTCGATGGCCCTTGTGGTCTCTTCCAACTCTAGGATTCTATGATTCTATGATTCTAGGTTACTTCAGGTTTCTTAATAATTGTGTGTCTTAGCATTTATTTATTTTTGGTTCCTCATAGGTCATTTTGTGTGTGTATGTGTGTGTGTGTGTGTGTTTTACTTTGGGGACATGTCCATCACATGTTGAAAGTCAGTTTCATGAAGTTCTTTTATCAGATAGCACATAGTGAATTTTAAGTTTTTTTCCCATTGTTTTCCCATTTTTTCAGTCCAGTAGTAATCTGTGCGGTTTTTGATACTATCTTATCATAGAATCATAGAATCATAGAGTTGGAAGAGACCACAAGGGCCATCGAGTCCAACCCCCTGCCAAGCAGGAAACACCATCAGAGCACTCCTGACATATGGTTGTTAAGCCTCTGCTTAAAGACCTCCAAAGAAGGAGACTCCACCACACTCCTTGGCAGCAAATTCCACTGTCAAACAGCTCTTACTGTCAGGAAGTTCTTCCTAATGTTTAGGTGGAATCTTCTTTCTTGTAGTTTGGATCCATTGCTCCGTGTCCGCTTCTCTGGGGCAGCAGAAAACAACCTTTCTCCCTCCTCTATGTGACATCCTTTTATATATTTGAACATGGCTATCATATCACCCCTTAACCTCCTCTTCTCCAGGCTAAACATGCCCAGCTCCCTTAGCCGTTCCTCATAAGGCATCGTTTCCAGGCCTTTGACCATTTTGGTTGCCCTCCTCTGGACACGTTCCAGTTTGTCAGTGTCCTTCTTGAACTGTGGTGCCCAGAACTGGACACAGTACTCCAGGTGAGGTCTGACCAGAGCAGAATACAGTGGCACTATTACTTCCCTTGATCTAGATGCTTTGTATTATTTAATAATAATTCTTATCTGAATCTGATGTCTTTGTTTCAAGTCTGTTTTTATCTGACTGGTAATCTAATTATTTGCTTTCTTTTTTATTTTTTAACCTTTCTTCTATTTTTACAGTTATCTTTCTGTACATGTGGAGTAATTTTTAATTTAATAATATGGGGGGGGGACTAAATGAAGGAAAGCAAACAAACTTAGCAGATAATAACAGTAATTATATGGAAATGTGATAATAATATTGAAATGAATAAAATGCTTAATGTGCTAAGATTTTTATTATCTGCAGCTTCCCACGGAAAACTCAAGGACATCCTTTTTGCCTTCTGCCCCTTCCTTTTTCTAACTCTGTTTTTTAAGTCCCCAAAACCCTGCCCCTTACAGGATATCACTTCTACAGATGTGTTACTACAGATGCAATGAAAAGCTTCGCCACCACAAGACAACAACAGACACCAGAGTTTTCAAAGTGCCCACAGCTATGTCTTTCAAAGGATATAGACTGACGGGGGAGTGGGGCTGACAAAGGGGGGAGGAGTTGAATTGCAAGGACATTTTCTCACTTTTGAACCTCAAGACCGCTCCAGGATTCAATAGATACATACAGTGGTACCTCGCAAGACGAATGCCTCGGAAGACGAAAAACTCGCAAGACGAAAGAGTTTTTCATTTTTTGAGTTGCTTCGCAAGACGGATTTCCCTATGGGCTTGCTTCGCAAGACGTAAAACGAAAAAAACGAAAACGTCTTGCAAGTTTGTTTCCTTTTTCTGTTAATACCCAGGGTGACTTCGAGGAGCAACTCATAGCACGCGGTGTGGTAGCCTTTTTTGAGGTTTTTGAAGACTTTGGTGATTTTGAAGACTTTGGGAAACCGTGCTTCGCAAGACGAAAAAAATCGCAAGACGAAAAAACTCGCAGAACGAATTAATATCACAAAATATCACAATTGTCTCAAGATATGCAACTGATATTTAATTAGTTTGTTTTGTATTATGTGTTACAGTGGTGCCCCGCAAGACGAACGCCTCGCAAGACGGAAAACCCGCTAGACGAAAGGGTTTTCCGTTTTGGAGGCGCTTCATAAGCGAATTTCCCTATGGGCTTGCTTCGCAAGACGAAAGCCCATAGGGAAATCTCCGGGGACCTCTTTTAAATGCTAGCGGTGGGGAGCAAAGCCTTCCCCCCCCCTCCGGCCTTCAGAAGAGGTCCAGGAAGGCTGGCGGGGGCCGAAAGGCTTTGCTCCCCACCGCCAGCATTTTAAAAGCAGTCCGGGATAGCAGGGAAGCGCTTCCCGCTATCCCGGACGGCTTTTGAAGGCAGGAGAGGTCCGCGAAGCCTGGGCGCGCTGATCTCAGCGCGTGCAGGCTTCGGCATGCCGGCAACTCTCCGCAAGCAGCGGCAGCGCTGCCGCTGCTCGCGGAGAGGTCCGCGAAGCCTGGGCGCGCTGATCTCAGCGCGCGCAGGCTTCGGCATGCCGGCAACTCTCCGCAAGCAGCGGCAGCGCTGCCGCTGCTCGCGGAGAGGTCCGCGAAGCCTGGGCGCGCTGATCTCAGCGCGCGCAGGCTTCGGCAGGCCGGCAACTCTCCGCAAGCAGCGGCAGCGCTGCCGCTGCTCGCGGAGAGGTCCGCGAAGCCTGGGCGCGCTGATCTCAGCGCGCGCAGGCTTCGGCATGCCGGCAACTCTCCGCAAGCAGCGGCAGCGCTGCCGCTGCTCGCGGAGAGGTCCGCGAAGCCTGGGCGCGCTGATCTCAGCGCGCGCAGGCTTCGGCATGCCGGCAACTCTCCGCAAGCAGCGGCAGCGCTGCCGCTGCTCGCGGAGAGGTCCGCGACGCCTGGGCGCGCTGCTCTCCGCGCGCGCAGGCTTCGGCATGCCGGCAACTCTCCGCAAGCAGCGGCAGTGCTGCCGCTGCTTGCGGAGAGGTCCGCGAAGCCTTGGCTGGACAGCTTTTGAAGGCAGGTGGGGGGGGACAAAGACTTTCGCCCCCCCGCCGACCTCTTCTGAAGGCTGGCGGGGGGGCCAAAGTCGTTGTCCCGCCTGCCGGCCTTCCCAGGGGCTTTTAAATTGCCCCGGACAGCGGAGGAGTCCTCCGCGGTCCCGGGGCAATTTTAAATGCCGCCCGCCAGCATTTTAAGATCGCCCCGGACAGCGGAGAAGCCCTCCGCTGTCCCGGGGTTTTTTAAAATGCTGGGGTGGAGTGGGAAGAAAAGCCCTTGTCCCCCCCAGCCTTCAGAAGAGGTCGGGGGACAGACTGTCCCCGGACCTGGTCTGAAGTCGGTTTCCCTAGGAACGCATTAATTGATTTTCAATGCATTCCTATGGGAAACCGTGCATCGCAAGACGAAAAACTCGCAAGAAGAAAAAACTTGCGGAACGAATTAATTTCGTCTTGCGAGGCACCACTGTATTACGTAGGAATGTTGAAATGTGTCTGACAGTGTGTTATTTCCACAAAGGGGGGGGGCTATTTTTGTGTGTAATTGTTTTTATGTTTAATGTCTTATTCCTTACACCCCAGTGGAGGATTCTCATACATTTTATGCGTTCTAATAGACCAGGCTATTGTGTAGTCCAATGTTTAGATTGTCCCACCTGGCACTATGCCAACCTTCCCTACCCATTTTAAAATGTGCTAAAACTCGCTTTACCAAGGAGAAGCTTAGAATAGAATCATAGAATCATAGAATCATAGAGTTGGAAGAGACCACAAGGGCCATCAAGTCCAACCCCCTGCCAAGCAGGAAACACCATCAGAGCACTCCTGACATATGGTTGTCAAGCCTCTGCTTAAAGACCTCCAAAGAAGGAGACTCCACCACACTCCTTGGCAGCAAATTCCACTGTTGAACAGCTCTTACTGTCAGGAAGTTCTTCCTAATGTTTAGGTGGAATCTTCTTTCTTGTAGTTTGGATCCATTGCTCCGTGTCCGCTTCTCTGGAGCAGCAGAAAACAACCTTTCTCCCTCCTCTATGTGACATCCTTTTATATATTTGAACATGGCTATCATATCACCCCTTAACCTCCTCTTCTCCAGGCTAAACATGCCCAGCTCTCTTAGCCGTTCCTCATAAGGCATCGTTTCCAGGCCTTTGACCATTTTGGTTGCCCTCCTCTGGACACGTTCCAGTTTGTCAGTGTCCTTCATGAACTGTGGTGCCCAGAACTGGACACAGTACTCCAGGTGAGGTCTGACCAGAGCAGAATACAGTGGCACTATTACTTCCCTTGATCTAGATGCTATACTCCTATTGATGCAGCCCAGAATTGCATTGGCTTTTTTAGCTGCCGCGTCACACTGTTGGCTCATGTCAAGTTTGTGGTCAACCAAGACTCCTAGATCCTTTTCACATGTACTGCTCTCAAGCCAGGTGTCACCCATCTTGTATTTGTGCCTCTCATTTTTTTGCCCAAGTGCAATACTTTACATTTCTCCCTGTTAAAATTCATCTTGTTTGTTTTGGCCCAGTTCTCTAATCTGTCAAGGTCGTTTTGAAGTGTGATCCTGTCCTCTGGGGTGTTAGCCACCCCTCCCAATTTGGTGTCATCTGCAAATTTGATCAGGATGCCGTTGAGTCCATCATCTAAGTCGTTGATAAAGATGTTGAATAAGACCGGGCCCAAGACAGAACCCTGTGGCACCCCACTAGTCACTCTTCTCCAGGATGAAGAGGAACCATTGATGAGCACCCTTTGGGTTCGGTCAGTCAGCCAGTTACAAATCCACTGAGTGGTAGCATAGTCAAGACCACATTTTACCAGCTTCTTTACAAGAATATTATGAGGCACCTTGTCAAATGCCTTGCTGAAATCAAGGTAGGCTACATCCACTGCGTTCCCTTCATCTAGCAGGCTTGTAATTCTGTCAAAAAATGAGATCAGGTTAGTCTGACATGACTTATTTTTCAGAAATCCATGCTGACTATTGGTGATCACAGCATTCCTTTCTAGGTGCTCACAGACTGTTTGCTTAATGATCTGCTCCAGAATCTTCCCTGGTATTGATGTCAGACTGACTGGGCGGTAATTATTTGGGTCCTCTCTTTTCCCCTTTTTGAAAATAGGGACAACATTTGCCCTCCTCCAGTCTGCCGGGACTTCGCCTGTTCTCCAGGAATTCTCAAAGGTGACTGCCAGTGGTTCTGAGATAACATCTGCCAGTTCTTTTAATACTCTTGGATGCAGTTCATCTGGCCCTGATACATGAAGGTGGATATGCTTTGGTTTAGCAGGAATGATCCCTTATAGAGTTAAATTGACTTATTTGGACAAGTGCCCTTTTTAAGAATGGTTTTCTTTTAACAGTTTGTTTTGATAAGTTGAGAACCATGGGCATATATAAATTATAATTGGACTCAGTTTGAATTGGGCAAGTGTATCCAGGCTGCAATTAGCTTTTTGGTCCTTTAAGTGCAAGTGAGCAACTTCCCATGAGTGCAAGACCACAGCCTATAATAAAATCCCATAGAAAGGCCAAGGCAAAGACATCTCTCTCATGAGATGTCCAAACCTGTGCCAGCTATGGTGAATGCCAGGCGACATGGTTAAATGAAAGCCCCGAGGGGATTCAACAGACAGGATGTGTTGCTGTAGCACTATGCTGGTGTGAGACCACAGAAGAGCTAGCTTGACACCTGAGAAACACAAAAATGGCGAAGGACAAAACACCAACTGCATTTTTCAGTCATTAGTGGACCTTCCTGCTAAATGTAAAGCATAGCCACTATTGAGAAAATGTTTCTCCCAAGAGCTAGAATGCCACAAGTAATTTAGTAACAAAATGCAACATATGTTATTTCTATATGATATATTTATACAAAGGCATCCATTTACAACATACGATGTTATTATTTGTGGGGCAAAAATGTTTAAGAAAATTTCTAGCCCCAAAGGGGGGATAATGTGATAGGAATTTTATGGTCTTAGATATATGGTAATGTTCATAACCGCACATACATAGATCAACACAGGAAGGCCAACCTGGAACCATTTTGATTCCTAAACTGAGCAAATGTTTTCCCTGCAAGGTCAAACTGGAAAAGTCTCCCCATTGTCTCTTTCCTCACAAATCCTGTCTTAAGGACACATTTAAGATATGAATAGGGTGTGAGCCTGTGACCTGGCCCAGGAAATAAGTATTTTACCACTACAAAAGAATGGCCAGGCTCCCCAGGCAATCCAGTCAAGTAACTTGCCAGACTGGAGATAAACTGTGACAGGAGAAAAACAACTTTTAAATTTCTGTGATGTAGGTGGGATGTATCTGAGGGGTGGTCTTAGGTTACACCCCTTCTGTGATGTATGCATAATGTTTCTGGGGGTGGCCTTGATCTAAAGAATGGGAATTTCAAAAGTCTTTATAAGCCCTTGCACAGCATTTTTGTGGGTCCTCTTCCTCTCCTGCGTGTGAGGGGAGCACCCTGTTGCAACAGATTAATAAAGATCAAGCTTACTAGCTGCTTTGCTTCTCAATATTCTCTGGTTGGCCTCTGTTATTTTCTCCTATCAATAGGGAACCTATGTAAGGACTCTATATGGGCTCTTGGATACCCCATAAGGGAAAAGGGCATATTTTTATTTACAACACTATATGGACCTTTGTTGGCAAGGTGATGTCTCTACTTTTTAAGATGCTGTCTAGGTTTGTCATTGCTTTTCTCCCAAGAAGCAGGCGTCTTTTAATTTCGTGGCTGCTGTCACCATCTGCAGTGATCATGGAGCCCAAGAAAGTACAATCTCTCACTGCCTCCATTTCTTCCCCTTCTATTTGCCAGGAGGTGATGGGCCCAGTGGCCATGATCTTCGTTTTTTTCATGTTGAGCTTCAGACCATATTTTGCGCTCTCCTCTTTCACCCTCAATAAAAGGTTCTTTAATTCCTCCTCACTTTCTGTCATCAAGGTTGTGTCATCTGCATATCTGCACATCTACCATACCAGTATTGAAATTACCAGTGAACAAAAGGTGGAAACCGACAGCCGGGGGGGGCACCGGTCTCTCCTGCTGTATTTGCTTTCTCCCTTCTCCCTCCTAACTGATGAGAAATGGCAATAAGCTCTCACACAAACCAGAAGACTTTTAAAGTTTAACCAGTATGTTGGCTAGACAATCAAAGATCCAGCGGCAAAGTAAACAAAGAAGGTAAACAACAAAGAACTGGAAAGTGCTTCTTTCTTTCCTCCAACACGCCCACACCCACCAATGAAAAAAAGGGGGAAGTGTTCTTATTTTTATTTTCCCCCTAAATAGCTTTCCTCCATATTAAAAAGGAAGGTTGTTTGTTTGTAGGAGATTATCTCTTTGCTTGCTTGCTCTCCTTCCCATTGTGCTACACCGTGATATTGAAAACCAGATATCACCCAGCCCTAACTCAATTATCTTATTAATTGCACAGTGAAGGTCACAATAATGATCCACAGGTCATCCAGCCTCTGCTCACAACCAGCGCCTGCTTGCTGGCAAGGGAAAAACTTGTGAAAGAGTTGTTGCATGGCAAGTGAGCTGAGATTGGGCACAAACCTCTGGCACAGTTTCTTAGAGCTCTTGTGATTCTGGGGGGGGGGCACACATAACTACCACAGAGTTATCAAAATTTTCTAAAGTAGGGGGTCCGTGGCTTGACTTTTGAAAAATAGGGGGTCCTCAGTATTTAGCTAATTGGGAAACACTACTGCAGAGTATTAATCAGCCAAAGGTCTGGTTGAAGAGGAACGTTTTTGCCTGGCACCTAAAAATATATAATGAAAGTGCCAGGCAAAGCCCCCTGGGGAGAGCACCCGACAAAAGGGGAGCCACTACAGACAAGACACTTGGAGGTCTGTTCTGAGGCAGCTGCACATTTGAGAGAGGGGCCAGAGCTCAGTCTTAAAGTCCATGCCTGACAGGCAAATGGACCAAGGTTTAATCCCCAGCATTTCACATTATCAGGACTTCCGGAGTCAGCGCCATCGGTAATGGCGGAATTCCTCTGACTAGGAGGAATTTGCTCTGTGGGAACCGGGTCTGGCCGTCACGGCGAAGGCGGAGAGCCTTCAAAAATCACAGGCAGGTGCCTGTGAATGTGGGATTCGGCGGGCACCTTTTGCGCCCCCCCCTACTCGTGGGGAACCCCGATTTTGGGGCTCCGGAGTGAAGCGGGGTGAGTGGCGCGGTGCTGTGAATCGACTGCTTTTTCCACGGAGCGAAGCCGCACAGCCGTTGCCGGAGAGCGCTGACTTTTTCCTGTGGACAATTGGATTTTAAAAGTAACTACCCGTGAGTAGGATAAATTGGAAGATCTTAAAGGGAAAAAAAGATTTAATTTGGCACTGAAGCGGGGAGGCTCAAACAGGAAGTCCGCCTTCCGGTTTTGTAAATAGATCAAAGCAAAGAGACTGCAAGCTAAAGTCTCGGAGAATCGATCGGAAAAGGCTAATTTCTCAACATTAAAAAGAAAGTGAATTCCCCCCCCCCTTTGGAAGCAGGAGAAGAGGGGGGAAGTTTGACTATATATACCTGCAAGAGAGAGAGGGAAAGAAGCTAAAATTCCACCGCTCAGAACCTGGGAACGGGCTGCCGATAGGACAATAAGACTGCTGTATTTTGAAATGCGTCTTGACTGTGAGTAGACCATCCGCTGACAGCTAGCTGAGTAAGAGAGATACATTGTTTTTGCTGCCCACTTTTGATCTTAAAAAGGAGAAAAGTAACTGAAAATGGAAACTAACTTTCTCGTTTGAGTTGTGCTTTAAAAGGTGTTATTTTGGATTAATGCAAGAACAGATATTAACTGTTTCCCCCTAGAGGAAGTTTTTGAAACTGTTACAAGAGTTGGTTCAGGGGAATTTTCCCCTGTCAAGATAAAGCTGTGTGACTGTGGGACTGACCTTGGGGGTTTTTTTGTGTGTTTTTTTTAAAAAGTGTTATGGCAGATGGGAAAGAAAAAGTACATCCATCATTCCCAGACAAAACAACAAGGTCTGGGAAGCATTGGCAACGAAGAGCATCAACATCCGGCCCTTCTGCCTCATCTGCCTCATCTGTGGCTGTACCAACACAACCAAAAACAAGAGGAATGTCATCAGAAGAAGCCCTAGCGCTTGCATTAAGTAAGATAAATGAATCATTGGAACAACTTAACAAGAAAGTAGATACTACAAATGCAAAAGTGGATGCTACAAATGCAAAAGTGGATGCCACAAATGCAAAAGTGGATGCTGCAGTTACTAAAATTGATGCAAATACAGAAAGCATAAATAGTCTGGGACAAAAGGTGAATGCTAACACAGAAACCATTGAGAAACTGATACAGGAATCTAATTCTACACGACAGACTGCCATCTAGAATATGCAATTGGGCAAATCTCCAGGGCCGGACGGTTTGACGTCAAGATATTATAGATCTCTGAAAGAATGGTTAGTACAGCCATTAAAAGAAGTTTGTAATGAAATATTGGAAGGGAAAAGGGCACCAGAGTCGTGGAAGGAAGCATACATCACACTTATACCGAAAACAGAGTCCGAGAAGACACAGCTCAAGAATTACTGCCCCATATCTTTGCTTAATGTGGATTATAAAATTTTTGCAGACATTTTGGCTAAAAGATTAAAAAAGGTACTAGTAGAAGAAATTCATAAAGATCAAGCGGGCTTTCTCCTGGGCAGACACTTGTCTGACAATACGAGGAATATATTTTAGAAAAACTACAAGTGAATATTAACACTAAAGCAGTTTTGATATTTGTGGACGCGGAGAAAGCCTTTGACAATATTTCCTGGAGTTTTATGATGAAGAATTTACAGGGGATGGGGGTCGGCCAAGGTTTTGGAAATGGTATAGGTGCAATTTACTCAGAACAAAAGGCTAAATTAATTGTAAATAATGTAGTGATGGAAGAATTTAAGATAGAGAAAGGAACACGACAAGGTTGCCCAATCTCCCCATTGCTTTTTATATCTGTCTTGGAGGTTCTCTTAAACATGATTAGAAGGGACCAAATGGTTAAAGGTATACAAGTTGGAGCTAAACAGTACAAATTGAAAGCATTTGCCGATGATTTGGTACTGACATTACAGGAGCCAGAATCTAGTACTAAAAGAGTATTGGAATTGATTCAAGAATTTGGTCAGGTCGCGGGTTTTAAGCAGAATAAGATGAAAACTAAGGTTTTAGAGAAAAATCTAACAGGGATTGAAAGAGAGAGGTTTCAGAAGGAGACAGGATTAACATTGGTCAAGAAAGTGAAATACCTAGGGGTCAATATGACTGCCAAAAATGTGAATTTATTTAAGGATAACTATGAAAAATGCTGGTTGGAAGTGAAAAAGGATTTAGAAATATGGTCAAATCTGAAGTTATCATTGCTAGGCCGAATTGCTGCGATAAAAATGAATGTATTGCCAGGGATGCTGTTTCTGTTCCAAACATTGCAAATTTTGGATAAAATGGATTGTTTCAAGAAGTGGCAGAGAGATATTTCTAGATTTGTCTGGCAGGGCAAGAAGCCTCGAATAAAATTTAAGATATTAACCGATGCTAAAGAAAGAGGTGGATTTGCCCTGCCAGACCTTAAACTTTATTATGAATCGGCCGCGTTTTGCTGGCTGAGAGAATGGCTGCTTCTTGAAAATACTGACGTGTTGGACCTAGAAGGTTTTAACAACGTATTTGGGTGGCATGCATATTTGTGGTATGATAAGATTAAAGCACATAAAGCGTTTAAAAACCATATTGTCAGAAAAGCACTGTTTAATGTCTGGATAAGATATAAGGACTTGCTTGAAAATAAAACCCCAAGGAAAAAGCTCAATATGGAGGCCAATTGGCCGAAATATTGGGAAATTTTGGAACAAGAGGGAGACAGATTAAAATTGCAGAGTTTTGAAAAACTAAAAAATAGAGTGCGAGATTGGCTCCATTATTACCAAATAATGGAAGTGTACAATTCGGATAAAAAAACTGGCTTCCAGGTGGAAAAATCAAAATTGGAAACAGAACTGTTAGATCCCAAAACTAAGAACTTGTCAAGAATGTATAACTTGCTGTTGAAATGGAATACTCAGGATGAAACGGTGAAATCAACTATGATTAAATGGGCACAAGATGTAGGACATAATATTATGATGGCTGACTGGGAACAGTTATGGACCACAGGTATGAAGTTTACGGCTTGTAATGCCCTAAGAGAGAATATAATGAAAATGATCTACAGGTGGTACATGACAACAGTCAAGCTTGCAAAAATATACCATTTGCCCGATAATAAATGTTGGAAATGTAAAGAGACTGAAGGCACATTTTTTCACCTTTGGTGGACGTGCCCAAGGATTAAGACATTCTGGGAGATGATTTACAATGAAATGAAAAAGGTATTTAAATATACCTTCCTGAAGAAACCAGAGGCCTTTCTCCTGGGCATCGTCGGCCAATTGGTGCCAAAAAAGGATAGAACTTTTTTTATGTATGCCACAACAGCAGCAAGAATACTCATCGCGAAGTATTGGAAGACACAAGATCTACCCACCCGGGAAGAATGGCAGATGAAGGTGATGGACTACATGGAACTGGCGGAAATGACTGGCAGAATCCGAGACCAGGGAGAAGAGTTGGTGGAAGAAGATTGGAAGAAATTTAAAGTTTATTTACAGAAACACTGTAAAATTAAGGAATGTTAGAAGGATGTTGGAATGAAATAATGCGGTTTTAGCAGAAATGCTATAAAGGATTAAGAAAAAGTAGATTGCTAAATGGTGAAGGAGGGAAAGTAAAGTTACATTACATTAAGATAAAATAGAGGACAAAAACTGGAAAAGATGGAAAGGATTTGCTGAAATAGCTAATGGAACTAGAATACAAAAAAGGGAGGTGTGAGGAGGTCAAGGAAATAAGCAAATGAAAGATAAGTTATGGGAAGATTCATTGTATTTTTTTTCTTTTTTCTTTTGTTATTATTGTGATGTGATGTTTTGTATTTCTTTAATATGCTGTTTTTAAATTTGTTCTTTTTGTAACTCTTTAAAATTCAATAAATATTTTTTTTAAAAAAAATAATCCCCAGCATCTCCCAGCAGGGCTACGAGGGTTCCGGAGACCTGCTGCCAAGCGAGTGTAGTCAAGACTCAGCTGGCTCCTCCTAAGGCAGCTGCTGTAGCTCAGTAGTAGAGCATTTGCTTGCCATGCAAAAGTTCCCAGGTTCAAAAGTCTGGAACCCAGGAGAGCCACTGCCAGTCAGTGCAAGGAGTATATGGGCCAATGCTCTTACTCAAAGTAAGGCAGCCTCCTTTGCATATGTGGTGGTGAGATTTTGGTAGGCAACATGAGGATAGTTGCGTGTTGTGGTGGTACATCAGGAATGCATTTTAAGCCCATGACTGATCTCCATCCAAACTGATGGAGTGGTTCATGTAAAATTATGGGGTTTGCCTGGACTTCTGGGGTGCGTGTGTGCTTAGCCCTCCAAACCCCGTTGGTTTCGGGTGTTTTAGGTGTATAAAATTATTTGAAGTGCATAGAAAGTGGATAGAGAGATGTTCTCTCTCTCTGATGCAGCACGACAGCTCAGGACCATCCAATGAAGCTGAATGTTTGCAGGTGCAGGACAGACAAAGGGAAACAACAGAATTCTGCTCCACAAGACGTAGTGAAGGCCATCAACTTGGACAGTTTTTAAAGGGGCTTAGACAAATCCACAAATGGTTGTTTTATTTGTTGTTACATATGTGCCCTTCCTTTCCTCCAAGGGGCACAAGGCAGCATATGTGGGTCATCTCTTCTCCATTTCTGTCCTCACAACAACCCTGTGAAGTGGGTTAAGCTGAGAGATTGTGACCAGCCCAGTGAGCTTCATGGCTGTGTGGGGAACCAAACTCCAAACACTGCCTCTCAATGGCCACTAGTCATGAGGGCTACATGTACCACCTGCAATAGCAGAGTCAGGATGCCGCTGCGTGCCATTGCTCTCCTGTCCTGCATGGGGCTTCCTGCAGACATCTGACTGGCCACTGTAAGCAGAAAAAGCTGGACTAGAGAGGGCTTGGGTTGGATTCCGTTTTAGCTTTCTTTAACCCCCCTCCCCTGACCTTTGGGCAGAGCTCATCAGGGATGTCGACAGCAAGTGCAATCCCATTCTTGTGCTTACGCACTGTCAATCTACACATATGCCAAACAAGTGTTTTGAATATGGCTCCTGGGTCGCAGATGTGCAAATAATATCTTAGCCATTCCTTGGTTCTGTGCTCCCTCTGTTGGACATTTCTTCTTTCTTTTTGTCTTTGCAGGGATCTGACTTTTTTCCTTGGCTTTATCAGGTGGAAAAAGACAATAAGCATTTTTAAGGCACTAGAAAAACCCACAATGTCTTGTTTCTGTCTATTCCTATGCATTATCTAATGGGGAAGCTACCAGCTCTCAGCCCCACCAACTGAAGAACTGGCTGTAGTTTATCCACTGAGCAAACGGTGTTTCTGCTGTTGATTTGGACACTTCATTGGCGTAGTGAATCTGGCCTAGGAAGGAAGACCCTGACCCTAGTGCATTACGCTATTCTACAGGCACCCCCACCCACCCCCACTCACATGTAATCGACTCGTGTGCGACAGCATATATGCATGGTGCTGGGAAATAGATTAAATAAATAGAATCATACCAGGAAATGGCAGGGGAGGGCTGGCGAGTCCTTGTGACTCGCAAGGAGTCCCTCTCTGGAGCCCAAAGAGGACGTCAGTGAGGGCCGAGAAAGTCCCAAAGAGACCGGAGGCTCAGTGGGGCTTTGTTTGGGCTGCTCAGCCACAGCTGACATGCGGGGCAGCGCAACAGCCGCCGCCACTGCTTTTCTACACATCCTCCAGCCAGCCTCAGAGCTTCAGCTCTGGTTGGAGAGGGAGTTGTGTGGAGAGATTGCTGGAGAGCAGGAAAAAACAGGCGTTGGGAGGCTGCTACCCACTTTATGTGATTTCACTTATGCACATGGGGCCCCCAGAACATAACCCCTACATAAGGGGGAGGGACTCCTACATTTCCTTCACTCTGCAAACATACACAGAACCACTATGACAAATAAATAAATAAACATACACAGAACCACTATGACAAATAAATAAATAAATAAACATACACAGAACCACTATGACAAATAAATAAATAAATAAACATACACAGAACCACTATGACAAATAAATTATGGCACAAGCCAAGACAGCCAGCGGGCTTCTTTGCTCTTTGGGGCTGGGGGGGGGATAATATTTTTTTTCTTGATTTCCCCCTCTAAAAACTAGGTGCGCCTTATGGTCCGGTGCGCCTTATGGAGTGAAAAGTACGGTATCTGAAACAAAACTACAAGCAGGCTCTTCTAATAGTCTTATGGGGTGTCAGAAAGAGAGAGTTTTTTGAGTAGGCACCTACTCAGAGGATGGAGCAACTTTGCTTCAGCTGCAGAGCAGGCACAAGTCAAATGTCATTCGCTGAAGCCTAGGGAGCAGGCAGGGGACACAGGACAAAACATTACCTCCACCTCATCCTGCCCAGCCCAAGCTGCTACTACAGAGTACAGGATCTGGAGCAACTTGTCCCCCAATCACAGCAGGGTGACTGTATATAACACACACACCCCGCCACCACCGCTGCCCCAAAGGAGGGAGGACATCAGGTGGACAACTCTGGGCCCATCGTCTTCCACAAACTGCTGCCTCCAAAACATCTGAGGATGCCGGCTTGGGAAAGGCTGACTCATCTTGGGATAGGCTGTGCAGCGTGTGGGACTGTGTCTCTAGTACCTTTCAAGAGTGTTTATAGATCACTTCCCACCAATGTTTGGAATGAACTAAGACAGATTAACAAATCTAATGAATTAATTCTGAAATCTTTGAATAACACCTGAAAGCAGCTCTTATTTCTGAGTGAACCGGGTGTGAATTAAGTTCTTTTTGGGTGGAACTTTGGGCAGTTTCTGAATTAGTTTGACCTTTATTCAACACTGGCAGTGGGACAATTTTTTGCCCTGCACCTGAAGGCAGACAATGGGTTTAGGGGGCCAAACACCACACATGGCTGCTGCTCTCCAGCCCCACGGCCCTAGCACCCGCTTCCAGAAGCAGATGCCTAATGACAGGGCAGCCCGGGGGAGCCTGGCTTCACAACTGAACACCCATCACAACACCCATCAGCAAATCAAAGGCCACCTCAGTTGTCCCATGCAACTCAAGTTCACTGGGTGACCTTGGGCCACTCTGACTGCCTCAGCCTAACGGACCTCACAGGGTTGTTGGCAGGACAAAACGGGGTGAAATATGTGTGTCACCTTGAGCTCCTTAGAGGAAAGTTGGGATGGAAAAGTAAAAATAAGCGACTTCCGGTTTACCGCGAAGCTGAGCGCAAGCGGGATTCAGCCTTTAGGGGAGAATCCAGCTTTTCGGGGGGAAATGGGGGCTTTGCAAGGGCGCCGCAAGCCCCTCAAAAGCTCAGGAGGAAGATCCTGAGGGCAGGTTCCTAGCTAGCTGAGAAGCGATCTCTCCGCTGCCTGAAAAGCTCCTTTTAGGAGCAGAAAGAGCGGCGAGATCAAGACGCTGGCGCGGGACGCCATTTTCTAGCCTTGAGAAGCACAGCCTCAAGCTTACCCGGCACAGCGGTAGATTCAGAAACAGTAACAAATCCGGATTTAATTGGTGGAAAAAGCTAAAAATAACGATTAACAACGATTCAGAAGCAGCGGGATGGTAAAAAGGAGGTCAGCCCTGACTGGGATCTTATTTATATGCAAGAAATACCCACACAACAAAAAAACAGGGAGTTGTCCTACAGCGGAATATTTAATATAAACACTTTACTTTATTTAAGACTGTGCATTAAGCAAAGGAGGGGGGTGAAAGCCCTTATTAAGGGGATTGTTTGCCTTTTTTGTGAATTTCTGGGACTGCAGGAGGAGAGTCTTCCGGGAAATTTATTACTTTCGTTTTAAGAGAACTGCGTAGTCAATTGTTAAGAAGCCTCGTGGTGGAACTTTTTATTTTTATTTTTTTATATGCCAAAAGCAGCATTCTGAGAAACTGCCAAGCCCAATTTGGAAAAGAAATATTTGCTATATATTTGGTGTTTTGTATTGTTTTATTTTATTTGGAGGAAAGCCGAGCAGGGAGAGGAAATTGTTTACCCACTCCCCCCCCCCCCCCGCTTCTGAGTTAGTTGACGTGGATGTTGGAGTAGAAGGACCTTGATTTATTATTTTTTCCTTTTATGGTGCCGGATTGTGCTCTCTGGGATGGATTAAATCTGTTTTTGCTTTTGAAAATCTCTGGCTCTGCTGCTTTGGAGAAGGGAAATAAGTAGACTTTTTTGTTTTTGTTTTTTTCCTTCTCCCCCCCCCCCCACTCTTTTTTGGATTTATTTTGGACTTACCTTTTCCTTTTTTCTATTTTTATTTTTGTTTTTCTCATTTGTCCTTTTTTTCCTGGGAATAGCGGATTAAAATTTGGCTTGTTTTGTTTTGTTTTTATAAGATATTTATTAAAGTTTCAAAAATAAAAGAGAGTTACAATAGTAATAATAAGAAAGAAGGAAAAAAGTAAGAAGAAAATACAAAATACAAAAAAAATACAAAAAAAGTAAAAACAATTAAAAACAAATCAATCTTTCCATATCTTATCTTTCACTCACTTGTTTCCCTGACCTCCTCACACCTCCCTTTTTTTGTATTCCAGTTCAGTAAGTTAATTCAGCAAATCCTTTCCCTCTTTGTTTTTATCTTAAACCTTTGTCTTAATATATAATAATTGTATATTCTCATCTGTTAACAGTCCATTTTTACATACTCCTTGTAGCATTACTACTAAAAACCCCTTAGCTTCATTCCAACATCATCCTAACATTCATTAATTTTACAGTATTTCTGTAGATAGTCTTTAAATTTCTTCCAATCTTCTTCCACCGACTCTTCTCCCTGGTCTCGGATTCTGCCAGTCATTTCCGCCAGTTCCATATAATCCATCACCTTCATCTGCCATTCTTCCAGGGTGGGTAGATCTTGTGTCTTCCAGTACTTTGCAATAAGAATTCTTGCTGCTGTTGTGGCATACATAAAGAAAGTTCTATCCTTCTTTGGCACCAATTGACCGACTATGCCCAGGAGAAAGGCCTTTGGTTTCTTCAGGAAGGTATATTTAAATACCTTTTTCATTTCATTATAGATCATCTCCCAGAAAGCCTTAATCCTTGGGCACGTCCACCAAAGGTGAAAGAATGTACCCTCAGTTTCTTTACATTTCCAACATTTATTATCGGGCAAATGATAAATTTTTGCAAGCTTGACTAGTGTCATGTACCACCTGTATATCATTTTCATAATATTCTCTCTTAGGGCATTACATGCCGTGAACTTCATACCTGTGGTCCATAACTGTTCCCAGTCAGCCATCATAATGTCCAACATCTTGTGCCCATTTAATCATAACAGATTTCACTGTTTCATCTTGAGTATTCCATTTCAACAGCAAGTTATACATTCTTGACAAGTTCTTAGTTTTGGGATCTAACAGTTCTGTTTCCAATTTTGATTTTTCCAGCTGGAAGCCAATTTTCTTGTCCAGATTGTATGCCTCCATTATCTGATAATAATGAAGCCAATCTCGCACTTTATTTTTTAGTTTTTCAAAGCTCTGCAATTTCAATTTATCTCCCTCTTGTTCCAGAATTTCCCAATATTTCGGCCATTAGGCCTCCATATTGAGCTTTTTCAGAGCCTTCGCTTCCATTGGTGACAGCCATCTTGGAGTTTTATTTTCAAGTAGATCCTTATATCTTGTCCAGACATTAAACAATGCTTTCCTGACAATATGGTTTTTAAATGCTTTATGTGCTTTGACCTTATCATACCACAAATATGCATGCCACCCAAATACATTGTTAAAACCTTCTTGTGTTTTCAAGAAGCAGCTATTCTCTCGGCCAACAGAATGCGGCTGATTCATAGTAAAGTTTAAGGTCTGGCAGGGCAAATCCACCTCTTTCTTTTGCATCCGTTAGTATTTTGAATTTTAATCTGGGCTTCTTGCCCTGCCAGACAAATCTGGAAATGTCTCTCTGCCACTTCTTGAAACAGTCCATTTTGTCCACAATTTGCAGTGTTTGAAACAAAAACAACATTCTTGGCAATACATTCATCTTTATCGCAGCGATACGGCCTAGCAGTGAAAGCTTCAAATTTGACCATATTTCTAAATCTTTTTTCACTTGAGTCCAACATTTTTCATAGTTATCCTTAAATAAATTCACATTTTTAGCAGTCATGTTAACCCCCAAATATTTCACTTTCTTAACCAGTGTTAATCCTGTCTCCTTCTGAAACCTCTCTCTCTCAATTGCTGTTAAATTTTTCTCTAAAACCTTAGTTTTTAACTTATTCAACTTAAATCCTGCAACCTGACCAAATTCTTGAATCAGTTCTATAACTCTTTTAGTACTAGATTCTGGCTCCTGTAATGTCAATACTAAGTCATCAGCAAATGCTTTCAATTTATACTGTTTAGCTCCGACTTGTATACCCTTAACCAATTGGTCCCTTCTAATCATATTTAAAAGTACCTCTAGGACCGGGCTTGTTTTGTTTTGTTGGAATTTTGATTAAAGGATTGGATTGGATTGGCCAGGCAAGAGGTGGAAGAATATTTTTACTCTCTTTTTTGGTTTTGTTTCCTTTTGTTGTCTCTATTTTTGGTCTCCCTGATTGTTTTTTCTGTTGCTCTTCTTTTTAATATTATTATTATTTGTTTATACTACTTGATTACTTTATCAGGACATTACACAGGATTAGCCAAACATGAGGCAGGGGGAAAAAATTTAATTGTTTATTTTAAAGAAATTTGGTGCTCCAAAGATTGCTAATATAGTGGATTGGCCAGTCAAGAAGCAGAAGGGTATTAATTTAAATTTTTGGGTGACACATAGTGGCAGGAAGAAGAGAAATAATGGAAAAGAAACAGAAAAAAAGAGGAGAAAGTGGGACATCTTTGGAAAGAAGAGGATCAAAACAGGAAACTGAATTTAAGGGAGACATTTTAAAAATGTTTACAGAAATTAAAAAAGACATTAAACAAAGTGAGAAGAATTTGGAGATGAGATTAGAATTGATGGACAAAAAATACGATATGACAGTTAATGAACTGAAGGGACAGATGAAGGAAATTGTGATGGCCTGGGAATCTGATTCAGAGGCTGAACCAGAGGAATCCCAGCCTGCACAGGAGTCCCCGCCTCCAGGGCCGGCTGAGCTGGGCAGGGCCTTGAATCTGAAGCGCCTGCACCTGTGCCGGATCCTCAGGAGCAGACACCAGATGAATCCACTCTGGCTCCGGAGGTGATTGAGGACCCATTGCCTACAGGTGTGCCTCTCCCAGCCCTGTCAGGGGAAGGTGAGCCTCCCCCTGGGTCCAGTAGCCCTCCAGCCTCTCCTGAGCTGCAGAGGCTCAGGGCAGAGAGGCGGAGGGAACTGGTTTCTCTCAGGAGGAGTGCTCGCCTTAAGGCCAGGAGAGGCGGGTCACCTGTGGGCCGGGACCGCCCCTGGCCTCAGAGAAGATAAAGGCCAGTCAGCCCGGTCCCAGGTTGCGGGAGCAACGACGTTGGAAACCTGTTTCTGCCAGCACCCAGACCTGTCTTTCCGGAGTTCCCGACCACGCCCGGCTTTTGCTTTGAACCCAGCTTCCCCCTTGGTGGACAGTCTCCAGACCCTCAGCCCAGGACTGGACATTGACCACACCTCACGGTAAACCCCCCCCCCCGGGACCAGCACAGAAATAACAAAATGAACACAAAGCCTGGAAGAAGGAATGAAACGAACAAAACAAGAAGTAAAAGAAATAAGAAAAGAGGAAGAAAGGGTCAAGGGAGAAGTTTCAGAAATTAACAAAACACAAGAGGAATTGTGGGACGCGATTGCTATGAATGAATTGAGGCAAAGAGAATTAAATTTGAGATTGAGATCTGTGCCTGAAGTACAAGGAGAGAATATCTTGGAGAAATTAATACTGGAGATTGCACAATGGTTAAGTATGAAAGTGGAAGACATCAGAAAGACAATTCAGTATGCTTTTAGAATTAAAACAAGGACTGTCAAAGCAAAGAAATTTCCAGGAGATTGTTTGATTATATTTAAAGATAGAGAAATGAGGAATTTGATTTTACAGAAAAATAGAGAAAAAAGGCTTTGCATTGATGGAGCTTTTATAATCATTTTTAAAGACGTCCCACTTCGTTTGTTGAAAAAACGTGATCAATACAAACCATTGACACAGACATTAAGGAAAAATGGAATTGAATTTAAGTGGGAATTTCCAGAAGGGATCTCCTTTTACCATAAAGGAAAAAAGTTCAAATTTACAAGCGTTGATGAAACACACAAATTTCTGAGAAGATACAAAGAGTTGGGGAAAGGGGAGGAAGCAACAGTGGCAGGAGCAGCAGGACCGGCAGGACTGGAAGAAGAAGAAAAGGATAGTAAAGAAGAAGAAGAAGAGGAGGAGGAAGAAGGACAAGTTTAAGACTTTTCTATTTTTATTGGTAAAGGGAACACAAAATGGCACTGAAATTATGGCATGGAATGTTAATGGAATTAACAATAAAAAGAAAAGACATAAAATTGAACATTTCCTTTAAAAAAAGAATTTGGATATCATTTGTCTACAAGAAACTCATGTGGCGAGAAAACATAGAAGAGTATTGATTAATAAAAAATTGGGAAATGAATTTGTTTCATTAGACGGAAGCAGGAAAAGAGGAGTGGTTTTGTATATTAAAAATAAATTTGAGGCTCGGCAAATTTTTAAAGATGAAGAAGGTAGAATAATTGCGGTACAAGTCACATGGCAAGGCAAAAAACTGATAATAGTCGGAGTGTATGCACCAAATGGAAGTAAGACTGAATTTTATAAGGATTTAGAAGAAAAATTATTTGAATTTGTGGATCAGAAAATTATAATAATGGGTGATATGAATGGAGTGGTTTCAATGGAAATGGACAGGCTGAGGTCAAGAGAAAAATCGAAGGAAGGAAAACTACCGAAGACATTTTTTTCCAATGATTGAGAACTGTAATTTGGTAGATGTTTGGAGATTAAGACACCCATTAGAAAAACAATTTACTTATTTTTCAGAACCAAATAAATCAATGTCAAGAATACTATATTTGGATATCCAGTGAGTTAATGCCAAGAGTGACAAAATAGAAATACAACCAAAAATACCTTTGGATCATAATGCAATAAAATGTGAATTAAAAGAAATGGAGGAAAAAACCTTTCGATGGAGATTAAATGAGAATTTATTGGATGACCAAAAAACAAATGAGAAAGCGCAGAAGAATTTGATGGAATATTTTGTGAATAATAGTAATAATGGAACAAAAATGAGTGTGGTATGGGATGCTAGTAAAGCAGTAATGCAAGGCTTTTTTATACAGTAGAATACTATTAGAAATAAATTTAGAGAAAAAGGAAAGAAAGAAATATTAAAACAAAAAATGGAAAATGAGAAGAAATTAGTTAAAAACCCAAACAATGTGAAAATAAAACAGAGCATTAAAATACTGCAAAGTCAATTCACAATGATAAATCGAGAAGTAGAATGGAATATTAAAAGAATGTGACAAAAGAATTTTGAATATGCTAATAAATCTGGAAAATGGCTGGCATGGCAGATTAAAAAGAGAAAGGAACAGAACACAATCAATAAGATTATAATGGAAGGAAAAGAAGTAGACAATCCGAAAGAAATTAGAAAAAGATTTGTGAACTTTTACAGACACTTATATAAAAGAGCTAGAAAAAACGACGTTAAAAAAATAGATTTCTTGAGACAGAAAGGGGTGCAAAAAATTTCGTCAGAAAAGAAAGACAGACTGAATGACCTAATTGAAACAGAAGAAATTAAATTTGCTATAAAAGAATTGAAAAGTGGAAAGACACCGGGACCGGATGGATTTACAGCAAAATATTATAAAGAAATGAAACACGCCCTACTTGTACCGTTGAAAGAAGTTGTGAATAGTATATTAAGAAAGGGAGAATTACCAGAAACATGGAAAGAAGCATATATTACTTTAATACCGAAACAAGACTCGGATTTAACACAAGTAAAGAACTATAGTCCGATTTCGCTGTTAAATAATGATTACAAACTATTTGCAAGTATACTAGCAAACAGATTGAAAAAAATATTGAATGAGATAATTCATAAGGATCAAGCAGGCTTTTTACCTGGCAGACAGATGAAAGATAACATAAGGAATATAGTTAATATAATTGAATATCTGACTGCCAGAAATGAAAAGCAAGTGATGTCAATTTTTGTGGATGCGGAAAAGGCCTTTGATAATATATCTTGGGAATTTATGTTAAAGAATTTGGAACTAATGGATACTGGACAATTCTTTCTAAAAGGAATAAAAGCTATATATTCAGGACAGAGAGCAAAATTGATTCTCAAGTACCGCACAATTGCACTCATTTCACACGCTAGCAAGGTTATGCTTAAAATTCTACAAGGCAGGCTTAAGCACTATGTGGACCGAGAACTCCAAGAAGTGCAAGCTAGATTTCGAAGGGGCAGAGGAACCAGGGGCCAAATTGCAAACATGCACTGGATTATGGAGAAAGCTAGAGAGTTCCAGAAAGACATCTACTTCTGCTTCATTGACTATGCAAAAGCCTTTGAGTGTATTGACCACAGCAAACTATGGCAAGTTCTTAAAGAAATGGGAGTGCCTGATCACCTCATCTGTCTCCTGAGAAATCTCTATGTGGGACAAGAAACTACAGTTAGAACTAGATATGGAACAACTGATTGGTTCAAAATTGGGAAAGGAGTACGACAAGGCTGTATATTGTCTCCCTGCTTATTTAACTTATATGCAGAATTCATCATGTGAAAGGCTGGGCTGGATGAATCCCAAACTGGAATTAAGATCGCTGGAAGAAATATCAACAACCTCAGATATGCAGATGACACAACCTTGATGGCAGAAAGTGAGGAGGAATTAAAGAACCTTTTAATGAGGGTGAAAGAGGAGAGCGCAAAATATGGTCTGAAGCGCAACATCAAAAAAACGAAGATCATGGCCACTGGGCCCATCACCTCCTGGCAAATAGAAGGGGAAGAAATGGAGGCAGTGAGAGATTTTACTTTCTTGGGCTCCATAATCACTGGAGATGGTGACAGCGGTCACGAAATTAAAAGACGCCTGCTTCTTGGGAGAAAGGCAATGGCAAACCTAGACAGCATCTTAAAAAGCAGAGACATCACCTTGCCAACAAAGGTCCGTATAGTTAAAGCCATGGTTTTCCCAGTAGTGATGTATGGAAGTGAGAGCTGGACCATAAAGAAGGCTAATCGTCGAAAAATTGATGTTTTGAATTATGGTGCTGGCGGAGACTCTTGAGAGTCCCATGGATTGCAAGAAGATCAAACGTATCCATTCTGAAGGAAATCAGCCCTGAGTGATCACTGGAAGGACAGATCGTGAAGCTGAGGCTCCAAGACTTTGGCCACCTCATGAGAAGAGAAGACTCCCTGGAAAAGACCCTGATGTTGGGAAAGATTGAGGGCACAAGGAGAAGGGGACGACAGAGGACGAGATGGTGGGACAGTGTTCTCGAAGCTACAAACATGAGTCTGACCAAACTGCGGGAGGCAGTGGAAGACAGGATTGCCTGGCGTGCTCTGGTCCATGGGGTCACGAAGAGTTGGACACGACTAAACAACTAAACAACAACAGTCGGTCAGAATGAGTATAAAGTGAAAGCCTTTGCCGATGACTTGGTACTAACAATAGAAGATCCAGTTACAAGTGCAAAAGTATTAGAGGAGATAGAACAATTTGGGCAAGTGGCAGGTTTTAAATTGAACAAAAAGAAAACTAAAATGATAATAAAAAATATGAAACAGGACCTGGTGGAAGTGTTGCAGCAACAAATTGGTATAGAAGCATTTTTAAAAGTTAAATATTTAGGAATTTGGTTAACTTCAAAAAATATCGATCTTTTCCAAAATAATTATACACCGGTGTGGAATGAAATTAAAAGAGACTTGGAAATATGGGGAAGGATGAAATTGTCATTTTGGGGAAGGATTTCTGCTATTAAAATGAATGTGCTACCAAAGATGTTATTTTTGTTTCAGACAATTCCAATAATCAACGGGGCAACAATTTTTAAAGAGTGGCAAAAAACAATTTCAAGATATATCTGGCAGGGAAAGAAGGCGAGAATACAGTATAAGTTGCTAACAGATGTTAAAGAAAGAGGAGGCTTCGCCCTGCCAGATTTGAAATTGTATTACGAAGCATCTTGCCTCTGCTGGTTAAAGGAATGGATGTTATTAGAAAATACAGATTTGTTAGACTTGGAAGGTTATGGTAACAGATTTGGTTGGCATGCATATTTATGGTATAATAAAACAGAAGTCCATAGAGGGTTTGGAAATCACATATTTTGAAGATCTCTAATAGAAATATGGGATAGGTATAAAAACCTATTGGAACGTAAAACACTGCATTGGTTATCTCCTTTAGAAGCAATGAGCGTGAAAAAGATCAATGTGTGTGGGAAAGGGATAACTTATGGGAAATTAATACAAAAAGAAGGAAGTAAGTGGAAGATGAAGCCATATGAGGAAATTAAAGAATATGTGAATGATTGGCTGCACTACCATCAGGTCAATGAAATGTTTAAACAGGATTTTAAAGAAAAAGGATTTGATGAAAATAAATCAAAGTTTGAAGTAGAGATATTAAGTAATAACTGTAAAATTTTGTCTAAAATGTATAAATTGCTGCTTGAATGGCATTTGAAGGATGAGGAGGTAAAGTTGGTTATGATTCATTGGGCTAAAGATTTTGGGTATAACATACAGTTGAGTGATTGGGAAAAATTATGGAAAGAAGGTTTAAAATTTACTGCATGCAATGCCTTAAAAGAAAATGTGATGAAAATGATGTATAGGTGGTATATTACACCCGTTAAATTAGCTAAAATGTATAAAGTTAGTAATAAATGTTGGAAATGTAAAGAAAAAGAAGGAACATTTTATCATATGTGGTGGGAATGTAAAAAGGTGAAAAACTTATGGGAAATGATATATAATGAGATAAAAAATTTTTTACTGGGCATTGTAGGAAGTGATATAAATAGAAAAGATTTCAAGCTGTTTTCACATGCAACGACGGCATTAAGAATACTATTGGCACAAAAATGGAAGCAAGAAGAATTACCGACCAAAGAAGAATGGAGGATGAAATTGATGGACTATGCAGAATTTGAATTAGGAAGAATCTGAAATCTGCGGGACCAGAGATTCACAGAATACTGGAGTAAATTTACAGACTATTTGAAAAGTAATTGTGATGATCAGATTACGTTTGTAGGTTTGCAAGAAGTTTTGTGAGCTGAATTATTTGAACTATTGCAAAAATGGATAAATGGGAGGATGGTTAGTTAAGACAATTAAAGGCAATATGAATTTAAGAAATGCAGAAGAAGTGACAAGAATGGTGGATCATCAGAGGTGCTGATGGAAGTCCAAAAATAGATGGTATAAGATGTGAAGTTTTGTGGTATGTATTATAATTTATATGTTAAAATTAATAAAAAATTATTTTAAAAAAAAGGAAATGTAAAAATAAATAAATAAAATGAGTTTATCCCATTCATTGCCAGATTAATTTAAGGAGGGGAGTTGCATGTGTGTAAGTGTTTTTAAAATGCAAAACTGCTCCACAGATTGGGCAGGGCAGGTTTTTGGGGAATTTCACAAACAGGCCAGCCAACCTGCCATGTGGACAGGCAAGTTGAGCCACTGCTGTTTCTGGGACAGAGGGCGGGGATTGAACTGAGTGAGGATCTTCCCACACACACATCCAATTATATCTGCCTTGGCAGGTTTTTCCTTTCTAGAAGGAACCACTAGGTGGCTCTGCTCTGCTCTAAAGGTAAAGGGACCCCTGACTATTAAGTCCAGTCACGGACGACTCTGGGGTTGTGGCGCTCATGTCGCTTTACTGGCCGAGGGAGCTGGCGTACAGCTTCCGGGTCATGTGGCCAGCATGACTAAGCCACTTCTGGCGAAACCAGAGCAGATCATCAGGGGGTTGGGCTGGGTGTTCACCACTGTGTGTACCCAGCCCTACGTCTCTTTCAAATCAGAACCAGTGAAGGTTCCCAGCAGATGTCAACCAAAGTGGCAGCCCCTTTGCCCTATGGAGACCAACACATAGGAAACCAACTGAGCTCGTGGCCCTTTGCAGTTCAGCTTAGCAGAGATCACAGTAACCAAAATAACTGCCACGCTCTCGTGATAAAAACAGGAAGAAGGCATCCTGGATTTTGACTTCAAAGTGTTGGAGGGTATGATAAGGCAGCTTTCTATGTTCTTATGTTTGCAGCCCAGACAGCAAGTGGTCCTTCGTGAGCATTTCTGGGTCCTAACAAACAAAAGTATTTCACTGCACCTGCGTTTTTATCTATTTGGACTCTGGGCTGTTTTTATCCCCTCAGCCTTCACTGGTATCTTTATCCACATAAAAATACTCCCTGCATTTTCCTGTGGTCAGCTGCAGGTTGTAATTTAGGTGTGTATTTATGGTCCATGAACAAAGCTATTTAAAGCCCTGCTAACTGCAATCTGGTCTTTAGCAAAGACAAACAAAGATGCAGGTGAAGTAGCCTATGGGCCCCCCTCCTGCCCTTGTCTGTGCTGGAGGGTGAGGGTCCCCAGGATGGGTGAAAAAAGAAGCAGAGGTCAAAAAAGCCAGTGTGGACAGGCACCTGCGGAGAGAGCACATCCGCCATCCTGGTCTGGCACCTTCGCCATGGAACACAGTGGCAAAGAGCCCAGCTGGTCCCCAGATGCTACAAGGTGCATCAGTCCCAGGCAACTTGTGTACAGTACAGTGGTGCCCCGCAAGACGAATGCCTCGCAAGACGAAAAACTCGCTAGACGAAAGAGTTTTCCGTTTTTTGAGTCGTTCCGCAAGTCGAATTTCCCTATGGGCTTGCTTCGCAAGACGAAACGTCTTGCGAGTTCTTGTGAGTTTGTTTCCTTTTTCTTAAAGCCGCTAAGCCGTTAATAGCTGCTAAGACGCTAAGACGCTAATAGCCGCTAAGCCGCTAAGCCGCTAATAGCCGTGCTTCGCAAGACGAAAAAACCGCAAGACGAAGAGACTCGCGGAATGGATTAATTTCGTCTTGCGAGGCACCACTGTATCTGTTTATACTGTTTCAACCTGTCTTGTCTATTTCTCTCTGGCTGCAGTTGAATAAATCCATTGATTGGATTAATTCAATACTGGCTCGTATCCAACTAAATTGTGCTCAGGATAAAAAGGTAAAGTAAAGGACCCCTGACAGTTAAGTGCAGTTGCGAACGACTCTGGGGTTGTGGCGCTCATCTCGCTTTACTGGCCGAAGGAGCCGGCGTTTGTCCACAGACAGTTTTTCCGGGTCATGTGGCCAGCATGACTAAGGTGCTTCTGGCAAAACCAGAGCAGCACACGGAAACGCCATTTACCTTCTCGCTGGAGCGGTACCTATTTATCTACTTGCACTTTGACATGCTTTCGAACTGCTAGGTGGGCAGAAGGAGGGACTGAACAACGGGAGCTCACCCCATTGCGGGGAGTCAAACCGCTGTTTGGGTATCTTCGTGTAACTTCACTGACACCGGGGGTCTTAGTGCTGACCTGTTCCTGACTCTGGCTCCTGACATAGATTCAGGAATCCTGACACTGGGGCCAGGAGTGGGGAGCCTCAGCCCCAGGGACTGAATGTGGCCCCCCAGGCATCTTTCTCTGGTCCTTGGGACTCACCCCAAGCCACAGCCTGCCCCCATACACCCTCCATGATGACTTTTGCCTACCTACCCGGCATCCTTGAGCCTGCCTGGGGGGAGAGACAGGCTGACTGCACCAAGGGAAGTGTATGTTCTCTGCTCCATTAAGCTTTGCCTCTGACCTTGTGCACTGCAGGGATGTGGCCCCCAGAAGGTTTCTTAGAAAAGAATGTGGCCCTTGAACTGCAAAAGGCACCCCATTGCTCTCTTAACCTAAAGGAGGCAATTGTAGTCCTTTTTTTAAAAAAGGAAAAGGAAACAATCTGTGCAAGCTCTCGAAAGTTCTCTGGTGGAGAGGCCTCCTGTTCTCGCTGCAGCGCAAGTGTGCATTTTAACAGCATGACAGGAGTGGGGCTGTTACTGGAGCAGGCAGGAAAGGGGGAGAACATGCCCAATCCAACCTGGGTTTCCGTTTGCAAGGCTGAAATCCAAGGATTCTCAAGCCCCACTGCCAAGTCCTGAGACTCAGCCCAGGCTGTCTGGCTGGGGGATCCCCAGGGCACTGTCAAGTTCCTTTTGCCAAAGATTACAAAACATCCTTTTCCTCTGACCAGAAGCTTTGCTCCCTCGCACTCTGACAGATACCCCCATCCCGTCCCTCCCTGCCTTGGTTCGTCCCCTTCCTTCCTCAAAGCTCCTCCGGCTTCGTCTTCCTACTTCGTGGTTGTTTCTTAAGATGCAAGGAGCAAAGGACTTTGCAGCTGGAGGAAGGTAGGATGCAATCAGAAGAGGGGGGTGAGGGGGCAGCCACACAGAGCTTGGCTGTTGCTTCAGACCAAGGAGGGAAAGAGCAGGGGGAGGAAAGGGACTTTCTGCACAGCACACACATAAAACGGGCAGGGACCCCCACCCCACCCCCGCTAATCCTGGTGACTGCAAGCAGAGCAGAGAGGCTGGCATGTCTCTAAGTTGCCAGGCAGTCCATCAAATAAATTATTATTTGTGTGTATCACAAATGATTTGTTTGATGGACTGTGTCTGATAGCTTAGGGACATGATGTGTACCTCATATGCTCTTTTTTTGGTGACGTGATTGCACTCTCCCCCTCTCCCCCTCTCCCCCTCTCCCTCCCTCTCTGCAATGACTTTCCTAGGCTATGTAGTGAGTAGTGCCCATTGAGATTGGCAGGGCAGAAAGCAGGGCGATCCAGGATGGGCAGAGGCAGAGTCAATGCATTCTAGTCAATGCATTCGAGAGCCAGTGTGGTGTAGTGGTTAAGAGCGGTAGTCTCGTAATCTGGGGAACCAGGTTCGCGTCTCCGCTCCTCCACATGCAGCTGCTGGGTGACCTTGGGCCAGTCACACTTCTCTGAAGTCTCTCAGCCCCACTCACCTCACAGAGTGTTTGTTGTGGGGGAGGAAGGGAAAGGAGAATGTTGGCCGCTTTGAGACTCCTGAAGGGGAGTGAAAGGCGGGATATCAAATCCAAACTCTTCTTCTTCTTCTTCTTCACACACACACACACACATCCTCTTGCAATTCTGGTTGTAACCAGCAAAGTAGGCAGGTGGGAGCAACTGAGGTTGGTGGGCAGTTCCCTATTTGCCTTAATGGAGCAGCCTCCACTGTGTAGTGCATGGGACCTTAAAGTTCATGTACAGGTATTTCCATGTGTGCACTTTGCAGTCAAGATGTACAGGCCCAGAGGTTTAGCTTCTAGAGCAGACGTCATCAACTGGGTGCTCTCCAGATGTTTCTTCACAATTCCCATCAGCCACAGCCTGTCAAAAACATCTGGAGGGCACCAGGTTGATAAAGTCTGTTCTACAGAAACTGGGTAGAAAGCTCAACTCCAAAGAATGATAACTCTAGTAACACTTGCAAACCATTTTTGCAAGGCATTCCTCAAGGACAAAAATAGGGACAAAATAGAGGCAGCTATTTTTCCAACAATGTGTTCCATAAAATAGAGACCATGGTAAATAAGGACAGCTGGAATGTCTGGAATGCATCAACCATGGAGATGAGTTGTGTGCTAGAGTTCATAGAATCATAGAATCATAGAGTTGGAAGAGACCACAAGGGCCATTGAGTCCAACCCCCTGCCAAGCAGGAAACACCATCAGAGCACTCCTGACATATGGTTGTCAAGCCTCTGCTTAAAGACCTCCAAAGAAGGAGACTCCACCACACTCCTTGGCAGCAAATTCCACTGTCGAACAGCTCTTACTGTCAGGAAGTTCTTCCTAATGTTTAGGTGGAATCTTCTTTCTTGTAGTTTGGATCCATTGCTCCGTGTCCGCTTCTCTGGAGCAGCAGAAAACAACCTTTCTCCCTCCTCTATGTGACATCCTTTTATATATTTGAACATGGCTATCATATCACCCCTTAACCTCCGCTTCTCCAGGCTAAACATGCCCAGCTCCCTTAGCCGTTCCTCATAAGGCATCGTTTCCAGGCCTTTGACCATTTTGGTTGCCCTCCTCTGGACACGTTCCAGTTTGTCAGTGTCCTTCTTGAACTGTGGTGCCCAGAACTGGACACAGTACTCCAGCTGAGGTCTGACCAGAGCAGAATACAGTGGCACTATTACTTCCCTTGATCTAGATACTATACTCCTATTGATGCAGCCCAGAATTGCATTGGCTTTTTAGCTGCCGCGTCACACTGTTGGCTCATGTCAAGTTTGTGGTCAACCAAGACTCCTAGATCCTTTTCACATGTACTGCTCTCAAGCCAGGTGTCACCCATCTTGTATTTGTGCCTCTCATTTTTTTGCCCAAGTGCAATACTTTACATTTCTCCCTGTTAAAATTCATCTTGTTTGTTTTGGCCCAGTTCTCTAATCTGTCAAGGTTGTTTTGAAGTGTGATCCTGTCCTCTGGGGTGTTAGCCACCCCTCCCAGTTTGGTGTCATCTGCAAATTTGATCAGAATGCCCTTGAGTCCATCATCCAAGTCGTTGATAAAGATGTTGAATAAGACCGGGCCCAAGACAGAACCCTGTGGCACCCCACTAGTCACTCTTCTCCAGGATGAAGAGGAACCATTGATGAGCACCCTTTGGGTTCGGTCAGTCAGCCAGTTACAAATCCACTTAGTGGTAGCATAGTCAAGACCGCATTTTACCAGCTTCTTTACAAGAATATCAGTGAAGAAGAGCAATGGCTTTAAAAGAGGATTTGACAAATTTGAGGCAGAGAAGGCTGTCAATGGCCGCTAGCCAGGATGGGTCTGTCCTGCCTCCATAGCTGGATGGTCATGGCTATCAGTTGCTGGGAGAGGGTTCTTGTGCTCAGATCCTACTTGCAGGTTTCCCAGGTGCATCTGCTTGATCAGTGTGATAACATAATGCAGAACTAACTGTTCACTGTTGAATAACTGCCCCACAATTGGATCAAAACAATTGCTCTATAAACACCAGATAGAATTTAACCTCCACATGGACTATCAAATCAGAACCAATGCTCAATGAAGGCTGGGCTCACCTCCCCATAAGCTTTGTGCAAGCAAATCAGGAGGAACACTCTGGGGGAGTCCCAGGAGGTGCCGAAGTTGTTTCATAGGGGCTGCATGCTGACAACCCAAGGGATCTCTCCCAGCATTGATGAGATCGTAGCTGTCATTGCTCACATGGTGAAATGGAAATTCCTGAGGGACATTTAAAGGAGCAATGCAAGTCATGGTGAGACAGTTGTGCTTAGTCACACTCCCCAGGAATACATCGGGAAGGCTGCCCTTTGGCCATAGGGTGAGGGAATGGTCTCAGTTTGATCATTTCCCAGCACACGGAACTTTCCATGGGGTTGGTTTGTGTGGCTCATCTTTCCCATCTGTTCCTTTCCTGGCAGCTCCTGCTAAGGCACAGCCTGAGGAGCAGCTAGCAGAAGTTGGAAGCGGTGCTGAGCTCCAAAGGCTCTGGGACGGGTGCTGGCTGCAGAGGACACCTTGGATTTCAGAGGCTGCACCACCTAGGGTGAGTTTGCCACCTCCCTCCACTTTGTCTAAAGAAGTCTGAGGGATGTTTCCAGTGTGTGGAGTATTGGGCGCTGCCTTGGACCAAGTGACTATGGGTTCATCTGGTTTCATGTTGTCCACAATGACTGGCAACAGGTCTCTCTCCCAGTGGTTTGAGGGAAGGGTGTAGCTCAGTGGTAGAGCATCTACCAGGTCGGGCTGGGAGTGAACCTTCCCTGAAATCCTGGAGAGTCACGGCTAGCAGCAGAGTTTGTAACCAAATCCATACTTAATAAACAGAACACTGAATTAAAAGCCTAACATATGGTTCTCTTGGTAGTTTTAAAAAAGTGCTATACAGGTAGAATTTTTCCAGATCTTTATTTACTGTATTTGTTACTTTATAGAACAGTGGCTTCTATAATGCTGGACTTATACAACTAAAGTGGGGTGTACAGCATGTTAGGAGAGGGTGTAGCACCTCTGGTGGGGGACACGTCATGCTCCTTCAAGAGTAGTTTGTCCACCTTGTCCCCATCCTGCACTCAACTCTCACCTGTGGCTCCTAGAAATTGTCAGAATGTAACTGCAGCCACAACCCCAGAAATGGCTTCAACTGGCTGGCTAAGCAGGTGAGGTTGGCTGATGGGTCTTAAACCCTTGGAAAGTTAGGGTCTTCCCTGCATGCAAAGACAGGCACTGGCGGATGGAGCAAATGAGGTCAAGAGTGGGGCCAATGGTCAAGAAGGTGGTTTCTGCATGTGCTGGAGAGGGAAGTGAGGGGCACGTGGGGCTTGTCCACCTGGGAAGGGAGCCCATCCAGGGGAAGGAAAACTCTGATCCTAAACCTCTGTTGCCTTGTGGGTTATCTTTGGGAGAAGGGAAGGCTCAGGAGGAAACCCTACAGAAATCTGGAGTCCCTAAGACGGTTGGGTGGCACCTTGTACACCTCCTTCCAGCTACTACTGCAGCCCAGCTGGGCCAAATGTCTTGCTCTGCCTTTCTTTGGACCCCATCAGTGAGGCCAAGAGAAAGGGGGGCCTCCAAATACACTGCCCAGGCTTGCACCCAGGGGAGGTCATTTCAGTGCTGCCAATGCACCTTACCCCTGGAGGCGCACTCCATTGTCTCTCGAGACAGACAGATGCAAACTAGTATGGTATCAAAATATTTTTTATAAATAAGACTACCTGGTAAAAGCAAGCTCACACCTCTCATTGAGTTTGTACTTAGGGTACATATTTAAGTGGCTTGTTTATAACTCTATTTGGGAATGATTCATGTTTTTATGTAGCAGCATTGTTTTATACTTTTTGGATGTCTCAGGATCATATTATAAAGTAGTTGTGTTCTGTGTTACAAATGAAGCATTGCTGAGAGTTGTTTCTCCACCCCGCCCCCCACATATTTCTTATCAATAAAATATTTGGTGTGGTACCAGCAGATATTTATTCTGAAAGTGTGGCCCAGAGCAGTGGCGGAGGAAGCTTTTCAGGCACCCAGGGCGGGGCGTGCACACGCGGCAGCCTGTACGGACGCTGCGCCCTCAACTGCTGTACAGCTGGGGGGGCAGCAGGCCATCTTGTCACCCCCCCAGGTGGCACCCAGGGCATGCCCCCCTGCCCCCGCCTTCATATGCCCCTGGCCCAGAGAAAATAACTTTGAGACCCACTGACCTAGATGGGCCAGCAGGGCTTTTTGATGCCAAACATGAGAGCAGATGCCAATGGGCTCCACTGCACAATTTAAACAGGTCTTAGGATATGGATGGCCAGGGTGCAGCAACTACCAAACTGGTTGTAGAGCTGCAGGAAACTGCCTTGTTGAAGGAAGATCTTAGGTCCATCTAATTGAGTAATGATGACATTGGCTGGCAGCTGCTCTCAGGAGCTTCAAAGATAGCGAATCTTTTCCATCCTCACCTGGAGATGTTGGGAACTGAACCAGAGGTCTTGTGCCTACAGAATGTGGGCTCTACCCTTCAGTTATGGCCCAGTTCCCCACCCACATCCCCAAAACCACCATATACCCAGCACTGAACAATCTGTAGCACAAATCCTTACCATCACCTGCTCCCTAATCCTTTTACTTAGAGATGTCAGGAACTACATCTGGGATCTTTATCATGCACAGCACCTGCTCTGGCACAGGCTCCCAGGGTCTTCTGCACACACACACACACACACACACACACACACAGCTCCAACTAGGGATGGAGGAGTAATTCAATATTTAAAGGCAAATTTGCATTATTTGTCCCTTCTAAAACAACACAGCAAGATCCTTCGAAATACCCACTTCTCTGAATTTTGCAGTACCATTTTTCCAGCCAAGTAATCTGCACAAGAATGCATATACTAGGGTGAAGCATGCATGGAGACACATGTACTAGTGAAAGTGACATACAAAAATGGGAAAATGTGCTTTGCAAATGTGTATATTGGGCAAAACTGCATATAAAGGTGTGTGCTTCAGGAGAAATTCATACTAAAATGCTGATGAATTTTCACAAGAACTCTTTGAAAGAAATTTGCAAGTTCATGTGGAGGTGTGAATACCAGAATTTAACTTTAGAGAAATCAAAAACTGAGAGAAACCAAAGCAGACATCCCTAGTAAACTGATACAATAAATTCTCATTTGGTGCTTCTGCACCTCTGAGTGTGTTGGCAACGTTTTTACTGTGGATTCCACACATCTAGTTAAAGAGCAAGCCAGGGGCCAGTCGTGTCTGTTTCTCTTTAAAGTTGGGCCTCAGTTTTGTGGGACGGGGGAGGGGGGATGAGTTATTGCCACTTGGCAGAACTCCCTGTTTCTGAAAGCATTATGAAAACCTTCCCAGAGAGAAGCGATGACATTCTTGGGATGCCAGCAGAGCACTGCAGTCCTCCAAGAGCTAACCATTCTGCCTGCTGTCCTGCCATTTATTGAAGAGAATTGACTTGACCATTGTGCTCCATCTTAATCTGTTGCTACTTGGGCTTCATTACTTGACTATGCTTTCTTATTTTAGGCACCTCGAGCTTTTGCCTAAGGAGAAAACAAGGGTGATTTTTATTGCTGTTGCAAATAAAAATAGCTACTGATTTATTTTAAAACTCCACCCACTGCCTCTCCCATTAACAAACTTTCTTTGACCAACCAAGACTTGAGAATCTCACTGATCTCATCTGGGGTCTGTGCCTTTCTTACTTTCTTCTGGTAGGACAGGGTGGGCTTTTCCAAATTCTGCAATTGTGTATCTCTCCAAATCAAGAAATAAGTAGTTTGGACTTCTAAAAAGAGGCAGGGAGCCTTTCCCAGCTCCAGGGCAACGTCTCCCCCTGGGCAGCCTTCCAGGGGCCGCATGCTGGGGTAGGCAGGGCCAGAGGCAAACAGTGTGCAAGGCAAGAAACTTTGTACCACACAAAAGACAGAGGTTTCTTCACATATGTATCTCCATCCAAGTGAGCAAGAGACATTGTCACCGTTCAAGGAAACATTCCAGCCAGGCAAAAGCTCCCAAGGAGGGTGTGGAGCAGGGCAGTTGAGGGACATGGCCTGGGTTAGAGACCTGAGGGCCTCTGGTGCTCTGCTTGGTATTCCTTCCACTGCCACAAAGTGGCAGGAAGTTCCACATGCAGCTTTTGACAGGTGCAGTTTTCTGCTGCTGCTTCCCTCCCTCCACCAGCAAGCAGATTGCTGCTCTTCAGAACAGCTGCATGCACCCTCCTAATGGCATGTCCATCTATCCAGTACTGATACTTTGTTCCAGGACTGGAAGTTTTCCTAGGGCTGCAATTGCATTTTCAGGGGAAGTTTCCATCCTGGCATTCCTAGCTGTTGTACAGATAGAAACACTTCCTGCTAGGAAAATGAGGCGGCTTAGAGCACTGCTGTCAGGAAACACACAGGTGCCCCTCTCACATGTACTTACGCATGGCACTATATGCACACAGACGCCCAAAAAAGAGCAAGCCGATTCCATATGAAGTTGCCATTTTCTTTTGGCTGGATCCCTTCTAGTCCCTTTAACAGCAGCCGGCGCTGCTGGGTGTTTTCTCACCAGCTTCATTTGCACCTCTAAGGAAGCTGCTATATGCACAGAAGCAAAGCCACGAGAATACATTGGCAGCCCCATTTCCAACAACAGCAAACCAGGACCGACCGACCGACCGACCAGCCCTCACCGTGTGCTCCATACAGCAACTTATTTTATTTTATTTTATATTTTACCAACTCCACTCCTGTGCTTTTGATGAGAAATCAGCAAGTGACATATTTCTTGGCACCAAGCAGGAGGGGTTCAGAGAAGCTTCACCTGAGGAATTATTGCGTTATAAAGGCACAGGCGCCCCGCCAGAGAAAACATTGGCTCCCGGCGAAGTTAACAGAAGAGAACTGTAGCTCCCTCGGCTCGCTTCGTCTCCATGTCAGGAAAAGACTCGCCGGCTCAACTTCGATGTCTCTGGGCTTTTATTGGAAAAAAGCAGAGGAGCAGCTGCAGTAGGAAAAGTTGGCAATTCCGGCTCCTACGGTTCCCTCGCGTCCCTTCTGCGCTGCTCCTGCGCTTGCAACGCGGCCGATCTTTGCCCTTCCGCACCTGCCGGCCGGGTCCGCCCCTCCGGCCGGAGCTGGGCGCGGCGCGTCCGCCTAGAGCTGCGAGCCGGCGACGCCCCGGCCCGGCGGGCGGCTCTCTCCGTGGAGCGAGGCGCCTTCGTGGGCGATGGGGGGGACCTTGAGCCGCCGCGGGCAGCCGCCGCCTCCGCCTTGCAGGCTGGAGGGGGCCGGGTAAGTGCGGGGGGAGAGACTGGCAGGTGACCCTCCCTGGCAAGGGGGTGTAACTCCCCCACTGTGACTCCCCCACGAGGAGGAAAAGCTGGTGGAGCAGACAGGGTGGTGCAGTGGTTAGAGCGTCCGAGAGCCCACGAAGTGACCTTGGCCCAGTCCCTGTCTCTCAGCCTAGCCCACCTCACAGGGTTGTTGTGGGGATAAGACGGAAAGGGGAGACGTGTGCGCCCCCTGCCTGCGCTCCCTGAAAGGTAGTGGGATACAGATGACAAAATAAGAGCTCCCCTCTTGTTCCCGTCAAAGCTAAGGCTGATCAGCCCCCTATGAAAATTGGAATTTTTGAAAAGCCCCGGCTGCTCGGAGGGAGACGTTTTCTGTGCATTGTAGTTAGGCTGCAATCCTGATCGTCTTTGCTTCATTGGAGAATAAACTTCCTTGACATCGGACAGGCTTCAGTGAGCCTGCAGAGGATTGGGCCCTTCTTCTCTTGTGGGTCAAAGATGGCTTCTGGGTGGCTGTCTCCATCCCACATTCTCCCCCACTGATGGTCATGTTCTCTCTCCTCTCCTGGAGGCAGAACTAAGGCCTCTGAATGGGGAGGGCAGTGCAGTTGGGGGCTTTCCAGGCACCTGGAGGCAGGGAGCAGGAGGGAGACTTACAGACTGCAGCCTCCTCTGCCCTTTTGTCCCGCGGCTGCTGCTGCACCTGGAGAAGGGCAGCAGGCTGAGCAGCCAGAAGGCTGAGCCTGCCAGCCCGGCCCACGGGCAGCCAAGGGAAGTTTCTGCCATCGCGGTTTCGGGGGGGGGGCTGCTTATTTAGAGGCTCCATAGCCTTGGGCCTCCCCAAAGGGGTATTTTCCCTTGGGGTTTATCCTCTGGAGGGTGATGCAGGTGACATGATTCCCCCTGAACTGTTGTTTGTGGGTGGGCTTCCTCCTTGGTGGAACAACTGTGGCTGGAAGGCAAATGGGGGTCAGACTGGCTTCTAGTTGAGACACGGAAGGTTTGGAGAGTGGAGCTTGGGGTGAGAGCGCAAATGCAGCACCTCAACTGATGGTGTCTCTGGTTTTTGCTGTTTTCTATATCTCCTGTAGTTATTGTACAGTGGTGCCCCACAAGACGAATGCCTCGCAAGACGAAAAACTCACTAGACGAAAGAGTTTTCCGTTTTTTGAGTTGTTCCGCAAGACGAATTTCCCTATGGGCTTGCTTCGCAAGACAAAACGTCTTGCGAGTTCTTGCAAGTTTGTTTCCTTTTTCTTAAAGCCGCTAAGCCGTTAATAGCCACTAAGCCGCTACGCTGTTAATAGCCACTAAGCCGCTAAGACGCTAATACAGTGGTGCCTTGCAAGACGAAATTAATCCGTTCCACGAGTCTCTTCGTCTTGCGGTTTTTTCGTCTTGCGAAGCACAGCTATTAGCGGCTTAGCGGCTATTAACGGCTTAGCGGCTTTAAGAAAAAGGAAACAAACTCGCAAGAACTTGCAAGATGTTTCGTCTTGCGAAGCAAGCCCATAGGGAAATTTGACTTGCGGAACGACTCAAAAAACGGAAAACTCTTTCGTCTAGCGAGCTTTTCGTCTTGCGAGGCACCACTGTAGCCGCTAAGCCGCTAAGCCACTAATAGCCGTGCTTCGCAAGACAAAAAAACCGCAAGACGAAGAGACTCGCGGAACGGATTAATTTCGTCTTGCGAGGCACCACTGTACTTTTGTGTTTGCAATTACTGCAATTTTATTATATTTTATTTTGCATTAATCTGTTCACTGCTTTGGGAGCCTTCGGGCCAAAACGTCTGTATAAATAAACCAATCAATGAGTGAATCTGGTTGAGAACAAGATGCTGCCCTAGATGGGCTTTTGGCCTGATTCAACACAGCAATCCTGATCTTTTGCAATCCTGTTCTCATGCTCTCCTGTTCTGCACTTGTCCACCCCTTTGCAAGGGTCCCCATTACCTTTCATGGACTACTGGAGATAGGACAATAAACCAGCTGAGCCTCTTCTCTATGTGTCTACATCAAAGTAACTCCCACTGTGACCAATGGGGCTTACTTCCCAGGAAGTGGATTTAACATCCTGGCCTCTGAAATTTGTGACTAGTCTAGCAGATTTATTTTGACATCTTATGCCACAATAAATCTGCTAGTCTTTAAGGTGCCACAATTTTTTTGTTGCTGCTGCTGCTTTTGTTGAAACATAATGCTCTCCCCTCTGGAATTTGTCACAATAAGCTAGCCTGATGGTTACTCACTTGGATGCCTTTATAAATGAAAGGATTAGAAGTGTTGGAGGGTGAAAAGGATTGGCTGTGTAAGACTGGAGGAGGATTGTCTCTGTGCTGTGTTGTACCTGTGGGCAGCTGTGAGGTGGGTGGCAGCCCAGCGGGAGAGCACTTGTTTTGCCTTAGGGGCTCTGAGGTTCAGTCTCTGGGATGGTCAGGTAGGGCAGGGAAAATCATCTCCCCAAGGCCCTAGAAAGCTGCAGCCTGTGAGTGCGTAGCCAATGTTCCCCCAAATAATTCTGGGGTGCTACTTGTTTAAGGGTGCTGAGAGTTGTTAGGGGACCCCATTCCCACCCCAGAGCTACAATTCCAGAGTCCCCTGGGAAGAAGGATCAAATGTGAAGCCACTCTGGGAAGCCAGAACATGGTACCCTCGTTCTTTAAATGTACTGTATGTTGTGACTGTGGCCTAACATGGATGGAAAAGGTACAGCGAAAGGGCACACCAGTTCTGCCAGGTGTGACTAAAAGGCAAGGGGACACCTCCTGTTGCTGCCTCATTTCCTGCCAGGCTCTTGCTCCATGACGTTTGACAGCTCCCTGGCACACAGATATTACACAGGTGGAAGGTATCCTATTGCTTCATCTCTCTACCAGCGATGGAGCACGTGCCATGCACACACCTTGTCTCAGGCAGGTTCACTCTCTGGCATCTCTGGGAAGGGCTGTCCAGAGCCCTGGAGAGCTGCTGCCAGTTGGTGTAAACAATATTGAGCTGATAAAAGGCATGGGACTCTTCTACTGAGACCTAGTACTGTCTCAGTGCTTGCTGCTTCCACACACCCACCCCCAAATCAGCCCACCACACCTACCCAACCAGGACATTTGTCAATAAAGAATTAATACATCATAGAGGTCCAAATCCTTGTTCTCTCTCTGTAGCCCTTGAGGCCTTTGATGAAGTTCATGCAGCTGCACAGCTTCTGCCCCCGCACTCAAATCCTGCCACTGAAATTGTGCTTACCGTATTTTTCGCCCTATAGGACACACTTTTTCCCCTCCAAAAATGAAGGGGAAATGTGTGTGCATCCTATAGGGCGAATGCAGGCTTTCGCTGAAGCCTGGAGAGCGAGAGGCGTCGGTGCGCACCGACACCTCTCGCTCTCCAGGCTCCAGGAAGCTATCTGCAAGCCTTGCGCACCCGGGGGGAGATCCCTCTGGGCACGCACGGCTTGCGGGCGGCAGCCTGCAGCGCGGAGCACAGGGCGCCCTCCGGAGGACGTCCTGTGCTTCGCGCAGATGTCGGCAAGCCTTGCGCACCCGGGGGATCTCCCCCGGGCGCGCAAGGCTTGCGGGCGGCAGCCTGCAGCACGGGGCGCCCTCTGGAGGACGCCCCGTGCTTCGCGCAGGTGTCCGCAAGCCTTGCGCGCCCGGGGGAGATCCCCCTGGGCGCGCACGGCTTGCGGGCGGCAGCCTGCAGCGTGGAGCACGGGACGCCCTCCGGAGGATGCCCGTGCTTCGCACAGGTGTCGGCAAGCCTTGCGCACCCGGGGGATCTCCCCCGGGAGCGCAAGGCTTGCGGGCGGCAGCCTGCAGCGCGGAGCAAGGGGCGCCCTCTGGAGGACGCCCCATGCTTCGCGCAGGTGTCCGCAAGCCTTGCACGCCCGGGGGAGATCCCCCCCAGGCGCGCATGGCTTGCGGGCGGCAGCCGGCAGCGCGGAGCATGGGGCGCCCTCTGGAGGATGCCCCGTGCTTCGCGCAGGTGTCTGCAGCCTGCCGCCCAGCGCGTGGGGCACCCTGAAGCAGAGCGCCCCTCACGCCGGGCAGATATTGGCCAGCCCCACAAGCTCGGGGGACAACGGGGAGGCGCAGCGCCGCCATCCCACTGTTCCCCGAGCTGGTTTTGGGGGGGAAATAAAGGAAAAAATTTTTTCCTTTATTTCCCCCCCAAAAAAGTAGGTGCGTCCTATGGGACGGAGCGTCCTATGGAACGAAAAATACGGTATATAATATGTCCCTACTGTACTGGTTGAGAGAAATTAACACAACTAGAGGACAAAAGATCTAGGACTGAGAAAATATGGAAAGTGTTTATTGATCATACACGTGCAAATGCCCCCTGCCCTCAATATAGACTACGGAGCTTTTCAGTTACCTCTTTACCTTGAAACCCTGTAAAGAATAAAGGAGAACCATCAGGATTCACATTAGCAAAGCCCTCTTCATCCCTTGCTCACCTAATGAGGAATCCAGGAAGAGCAAGTGCTCCCCTCCTTCTGCTTGGCTGTGATCCATGTTAAGTAGGAACATCTTTTTTATGTTTCTCTAAAAGATAAGAGACAAATTAAGAACAAAAGGGATACAAAGGGGGAGTTACTAACTGAGGCTTACGACCCGCTCAATACATGCTGATAATCTTCACACTTGCTATCTCTGCATGGCAAAGGTGTCCCTGCCCAGGTATGGAGAGGGTGGTCCTCTTCCCTGCCAAAGCAGGGAGAGAAAAGTGCTTTGCAAACTTGGAAGCCACACTTGCAAAAGTCCCCCTTGCCCACCACCCAATGATTTCACATTTACACAGGCAGCAAATGTGGGATGTCACACAGAGACCATTCTGGAATATGCTGTCTTACAACCTGAGCCCTGGGTTCCTGTTATTAGTTCCAGTTGTATTTTGTTTTGTTTTTAAAAACATTCTAAACTGGATTTAGATGTTATCATAGGAAGTCGTACAGCAATTACAAACTATCTATGAGAACCCATTTATAATTTTTGGTGCAAACAGTTCTGAGATAAGAAGAAGCAGATGCTGTCTTGAGGACACCCCCGCCTTAAAAAAAACAGGTTCCAAATTTGCACCCCACCCAAACATTATTGGCATCCATCTGTCTTGGGAGATAATGGAAGAGTGTGCCTTCAAGGGTAAAGTCATACCATTGGAGAGTTACAGCACCTGCTGTGGCTGTAGAGACTGATAGGGGAGAGACATGTTTTGTTGCAGCTGGGGCAGATGAAGGAGTCTGGTTGTGCTGCTGCAGATGCACCAGGATGTTTCTTTTCTCGCACTCCTGCAAGCGGTCATTCCTCTTCTGGTCACACTTGTGGATGCATGACCTGACTGTCTGCAGGCACTGCACTCATCTGCAAGGGATTCCTACATGGCGGAATTGATGTTGCCGACCTTCATGTCACATTTGCAGATGTCTGTGTTGCACATAATTGGTCTGCCAAAGGGCCCTGGTGCCTAAAGGCAGCTCACCATAGACCAGGTCCTTGGGGATTCTTCTATCTTCCATTCTGTGTACATAATCAAGTGAGTGTTTCTGTCGCTGAGACAGAAGTGTGAAGATGCTGGGAGTAGCTCAGTTGATAAGAGTATGAGACTCTTAATCTCAGGGTCATGAGTCTGAGCTGTGTGTTGAGCAAAATATTCCTGCATTGCAGGGGGTTGGAATTGATGACCTTTGTGGTCCCTTCCAACTGATACAGTTGGGGCATGTTCTCAGGGATTGTGTGAAGAAGCCCAAATGACTGTCAGGGGTGGCAATTTGACCCCTGGGGTCTCTGCACCTGAGGCATTATGGGAGTTGTAGTCCAACAACAGCTGCAGAGTTGCATGCTAGCCGCCACTGCCTAAAGCTTGAGGAAGGGCCAAAGCCCAGGGGCAGAGCATCTGCTTTGCTTGCAGAAGGTTCCAGGTTCCATCTCTGGCATCTCCAAGTAGACCCTCCAACACCAAAGAGCAACTGTTCTACATGGACTATCCTGAGTCAGACCATTGATGTTCCCAAAACAAAGTGTCTTGTGCATAAGCCAGTGGTAGCTGACCTGTGACCCTCCAGATGTAGCTGAACTGCAGTTTCTACCTGTCTCCCCCCTCCCCCTGTCATGGCCAGTGACAACAGCTGGAGGACCCCAGGCTGGTTTGCCATCCCTGACATAAAGTTCTGTGGACTCCAGTCTGATGAGGTGGACTCCCATCCACAAGAGGACCTGCCACAGGACGCTTTTTGGTTATTTCCAGAATACCTGTTTGATGAACTTTGTACAACTTTTGTCTGGAGGTTAGGTAGTATTAACTATTTCGTGAGCATTCATTCTGATTTGTTTGCTGGGTGGGGGAAGACATGAGTGGAATATTGGTACATCTTCTCATCACTTTACCACAAAATGTACAAAATAGTGGTGGGGGAAGCTGGTCTGTTGTGCAAAAACACCAAATGAACTTTAATAACACAACCTGAATTTGCTGGCACGTGATGAAATCCCACCGTAAAGTAACAGCATCTCCTGAAGTGTCATGAGACTTCACTGTTGTCTGCTACAACAGCCCAATACAGCTACACGAATCTCCTAAATTATTTCGGAAGTAACACCAAGCCCACCGATAATGTGCGGGAAAGCTTACAGCAAGCGTACAAGATTGAGGAAAGCACAGTGTGAGCTTTTCAGGTCAAATCCTGTGTTAACTGTCAATTTTGTTGTTGTTGTTGTTGTTGTTGTTTAGTCCGACTCTTCGTGACCCCATGGACCAGAGCACCCCAGGCCCTCCTGTCTTCCACTGCCTCCCGCAATTTGGTCAGACGAGAACACTGTCCAACCATCTCATCCTCTGTTGTCCCCTTCTCCTTGTGCCCTCAATCTTTCCCAACATCAGGGTCTTTTCCAGGGAGTCTTCTCTTCTCATGAGGTGGCCAAAGTACTGGAGCCTCAGCTTCAGGATCTGTCCTTCCAGTGAGCACTCAGGGCTGATTTCCTTAAGAATGGATAGGTTTGAACTTCTTGCAGTCCATGGGACTCTCAAGAGTCTCCGCCAGCACCATAATTCAAAAGCATCAATTCTTCAGCGATCAGCCTTCTTTACGGTCCAGCTCTCACTTCCATACATCACGACTGGGAAAACCAGAGCTTTAACTATACAGACCTATGTTGGCAGGTGATGTCTCTGCTTTTTAAGATGCTATCTAGGTTTGTCATCGCCTTTCTCCCAAGAAGCAGGCGTCTTTTAATTTCATGACTGCTGTCACCATCTGCAGTGATCATGGAGCCCAAGAAAGTAAAATCTCTCACTGCCTCCATTTCTTCCCCTTCTATTTGCCAGGAGGTGATGGGCCCAGTGGCCATGATCTTCGTTTTTTTGATGTTGAGCTTCAGACCATATTTTGTGCTCTCCTCTTTCACCCTCATTAAAAGGTTTTTTAATTCCTCCTCACTTTCTGCCATCAAGGTTGTGTCATCTGCATATCTCAGGTTGTTGATATTTCTTCTGGCAATCTTAATTCTGGCCTGGGATTCATCCAGCCCAGCCTTTCACATGATGAATTCTGCATATAAGTTAAATAAGCAGGGAGACAATATACAGCCTTGCTGTACTCCTTTCCCAGTTTTGAACCAATCAGTTGTTCCATATCCAGTTCTAACAAAACCTTATTAATGTTGCTTTTAATTTGATATGCTCTTAATTTCGACTAACAGTCAGAGGGATAGTTAGGATGATAAGGATATTGCCTCCCTCTGTGGGTGATGGATGTCTTCTACAGTCATACCTCTGGTTACAGATGCTTCAGGTTGCGCGTTTTCAGGTTGCACACCGTGCCAAACCCAGAAGTACCAGAACAGGTTACTTCTGGGTTTCGGCACTCGCAGATGCGCAGAAGAGCTAAATCGCGCTTTGCGCATTCAGAGAAGTGCCGAATCGTGACCCATGCATGCGCAGATGCGGCACTGCAGGTTGCGAATGTGCCTCCCGCACGGATCACATTCGCTACTCGTGTGTCCACTGTATTCTGCTTTTCTGTATTCCTGCTGAAGAGCTTTCTTGCATTTGGTCCTGTTAAGATGTGCACTGGCTGTCTCCCAGCAACGGTGCTGAGTGAGTGTCAGTGTGTTTGCAAAGAAAAGGAAGTTCCATTTTGTTTGAACAGAGTCTGTTCCTCACACTGCAGAGATGTGTAACTGAGAGGTGGCTTGAATGTGTTGTCTTTTCGGCTGTGATCCTGTGGAACACAGGAAGGCGCCTCATGCCACGCCAGGCCAGTGTTACCAGTGTTTGCGTTTCCTTTGGAAATGAGGCACAACAGAGACTGTGGTGTCCTTGTGATATAGGGTTTATGTACACATATCTACGATGGAGGAACTCACAGCATTACGCACAAAGAGGTTCTTGCTTCTCCTGTGGTCTCAGTCTTGGATGCCAGCAGAAATCAGCCACGGCCCTCTGTCTCTCTGCTCTGCACTGCCACTTTTTTTCTCTCAGCTCACATCCCAGCCAACTGCAATTCTAAAAACAACTCCTCTCCTTTCAGCTCTAAAACTCTACTTCAGAGGCCTCTGACACGGAGCCACTCGCTTTGTCCCCCAAGACTCATCTTTAGGGGGTCATCACCAGGCTGGCTCCTGCCTTGTATTTCAGCATACTAAAGCCAGGAATTAGAAGGGGGGTCTTGGAGTCAGAAGGGGAGTCCAGGCACCCCACATATTCATAACAATATTGAAATCTAAGACTGTGGCACAATGTGGTGCCCTCCCTCTGTATTTTGAACTCCCAACTCAGCCCCAGCCAGCATTGCCATTGGTCAGGAATGATGGGAGTCAGTGGCCTGTGGTTAGGCCTCCATGGGGCTGTCCCTAAAAAAGTTTGGCCCAACTCACAGTTGTAGACATGGCTTAGATCTGGTGTTCACCTCTATGGATGTTGGTGATCTGACACTAAGTAAAAGTGAAACAAAAGAAGTGCCATGGTCGGATCACTGCCTGGTGCAACTGGACTTCTCTGCAGCCCTTTCCCTCTGCAGGGAGGTGGGACTGATTCAGATGGTCCGCTCCCGCCACTTAATTGATCCAAATGGATCAAAATGGTTTCCAGGGAGTGGTAGGGGATATTTTATCCCATGCTGATGGCCTTTCAGCTGATTCATTAGTGGCCCACTGGAATGCAGAGTTAACCAGGGCTAGTGACTGTCTGGCTCTGAAGTGCCCTCTCTGATTGCATGGAGCCTGGACAGCCCTGTGGTTTTCCCCTGAGCTGAGGGTGATGAAACAATCTTTGAGATGGCTAGAGTGTAGGTGGTGGAAAACTCATTCTGAATTGGACTGGACACGGGCTAGAGCTCAACGTCGAGCCTACCAAGTGGTGATAGCGACTGCAAATAGGACCTTCTTCACTGCCTCTATTGTATTTGCAGAGAACAGCAGCAGGAGACGCTTTCAGGTGGTTCGCAATCTATCGGAACCACCTTCATCACCGGGGCCTGATAGGGACCCCAAGATCTCCTGCAATGCTTTTGCAAAGTTTTTTGCAGATAAAGTTGCACAGATTCAGAAAGAGGTAGATTCCACTGTGGGAGCAGGGGCGGGGTGGGAGAGTGCTAGAGTTCTTGTCTGGTCAAGTTGTGTGGGATCAATTCCAATCTGTTACCTCCGAGGTTGTGAACAGGCTGCTTGGACAAGTGAAACCGACCACCTGTCTCCTTGATCCTTGCCCATCCTGACTAATGAAAGCAAGTCTGGAAGGGCTGGGCGATGGGCTCTGCGGGGTGGTGAATGCTTCTCTCTGCGAGGGAGCCTTCCCAGACCCACTGAAAGAGGTGGTCATTAAACCCCTTCTTAAAAAAAATCTTTAGACCCGGCCAATATGGCCAACTATCGCCCCGTCTCAAATCTTCCATTCTTGGGCAAGGTGATTGAGCAGGTGGTTGCTCAACAACTCCGGGCACACCTGGAGGATGCGGACCATTTGGATCCCTTCCAGTTGGGATTCAGGCCTCATCATGGAACTGAAACTGCCTTGGTCGCGCTGGTCGATGATCTCTGGCGGGCTAGGGACAAAGGTGAGAGCTGTTTCCTAGTTCTGCTGGATCTCTCAGCAGCCTTTGATACCATCGACCATAACATCCTTCAGGACCATCTAGAAGAGCTGGGAGCTGGGGGCACAATTATACAGTGGTTCCGCTCCTTTCTCCTGGGCCGTGTGCAGAAAGTAGTGTTGGGGGATGAGTGTTCAAACTCCTGGGCTCTCACTTGTGGGGTGCCTCAGGATTCCATCCTTTTCCCCATGCTTTTTAACACCTACATAAAGCCGCTGGGAGAGATCATTAGGAAGTTTGGGTTGGGTTTTCATCAATATGCAAATGATACCCAGCTCTACCTCTCTTTTAAATCAGAACCAGTGAGGGCAGTGGAGGTCCTGTGTGAGTGCCTGGAGGTGGTTGGAGGATGGATGGCAACTAACAGATTGAAGCTGAATCCTGAAAAGACAGAAGTACTGTTCTTGGGGGACAGGGGGTGGGCTGGTGTGGAGGTCTCCCTGGTCCTGAATGGGGTAACTGTGCCCCTGGTACACAGCCTGGGAGTCATTTTGGACTCACAGCTGTCCATGGAGGCACAGGTCAATTCTGTGTCCAGAGCAGCTGTCTACCAGCTTCATCTGGTACACAGGGTGAGACCCTACCTGCCCGCGGACTGTCTTGCCAGAATGGTGCATGCTCTAGTTATCTGCCGCTTGGACTACTGCAGTGCGCTCTATGTGGGGATACCTTTGAAGGTGACTCGGAAACTGCAATTAATCCAGAATGCGGCAGCTAGACTGGTGACTGGGAGTGGTTGCTGGGACCTTATAACACCGGTCCTGAGAGACCTACATTGGCTCCCAGTACATTTCCAAGCACAATTCAAAGTGTTGGTGCTGACCTTTAAAGCCCTAAACGGCCTCGGACCTGTATACCTGAAGGAGCCTCTCCACCCCCATCGTTCAGCCCAGACACTGAGATCCAGCACCGAGGGCCTTCTGGTGGTTCCTTAATTGCAAGAAGTGAGGTTACAGGGAACCAGGCAGAGGGCCTTCTCGGTAGTGGTGCCTGCCCTGTGGAACGCCCTCCCATCAGATGTCAAGGAAATAAGCAACTATCCTACTTTTAAAAGACACCTGAAAGCAGCCCTGTTTAGGGAAGTTTTTGATGTTTAATGCTGTATTGTGTTTTTAATATTTGATTGGGAGCCACCCAGAGTGGCTGGGGAAACCCAGCCAGATGGGCAGGATATATGATTATGATTATTGACTAGGCGGACTAGCGTAGTCCCCTAAATGTTCCTCTGCCACCTCCTTCCCAAAGCCCAGGAAGTTTCTGCCCAGCTTAGGGAGGGAGTCGGAATGCTCATACAGTATGTGCAATGTCACACACAAACCGCCCCATCGTCCTTGCAAGCTGGCATCTCTGGCCCTAACTATTCCCCTACAAAAAAATTCACCACACGCCACCGATGGGAGTTGTAGTCCAACAACATCTGGGGGCACCATGTTGGCTTTTCCTGCTCTCCTGTTGAATTTATTAAAACCATACTTCACTTTCTCAGATTTGGCAAGAATGACCTCCACCTTTTGGTACTTTCTGGGGGAGCTTTGAAGTGCTAGAAATGTGTGATGTTTCTAAACTGAGAAGCTGAGAGTCTTAAGATCTGGCTGAAATATTGTTTGCTGGATGCGATTCTGTGCTAGTCATATGCAGGGCTAGAAAAGGATAGATCCCCTGCTTGAGTGCAGAAGGTCCAGGTCTAGTTAAATAAAGGATTGGGTAGCAGATGCTGGTCGGGGGGGGGGGGGAGAACCTGTGCCTGAGACCTGGAGAGGTGCTGCCAGTTCCAGTAGACAATACTGGGCTAGATGGATAAATGTTTTGACCTGCTAGAAGGCAGCTTCTGATGTTCCCATCCCCAACTGGCAGCATCAATATTTTAGGCACCCAAATAAATCAGCACATGGAGTTTCTTCTACCACTCTGAACCCATTTTCTATCGCAACATTTTGTCAGTGTATGGGGATGCACAGCCTGTTCCTGTGCTTGTTTACTCAGAAGTAAGTCCAACTGAGTTTGGCAAGACTTATTTCCAATGAAGTGTGCATTGTCTTCCTGAATCCTTGGACAGTTGCTGTAAGAACAGCTTATCTCCTCCTGTATTTATTTGCAGGCTTTCTCACAGCCTCATCAGGGCCTCTTCCCACTCCACGTTTCTTAGCAACTGCAAAAAATGTTATGTAACTACGGTTACAGGAAAATTATGTGCTGAGGGATGTGCGTGTGCAGCCCTGATGCCACGTGGTGTGGGAGTAAGCCAAGGCTGCAGAGAGTCTAGAGAATCTCAATGGCTCAAATTCTTCCAGAAACGAAACCACAGGCCTGCTGTTTGCTATTCTGACTCTGGAGAAGGGAGCCTTCTTTTTCTGGTGCTTTCTGTTGGAAAAGCCATCTCAAAGCTCCCTCTAGTGAGTTTTGCTGCTAGAGCTCCCAACAGAGCGAGGATAGCATTTAACAACTCCAAACTCAATCCCAACTGAGATTCTGGACTCCTCCAGATGCTTTGCTCATTGAACATTTATCCTGACCCAGCTCCACCCCTCATCCACGGCGCTTGTGAAGGCCCAGTGTCCTGGCCACTGTTAGCGATGGGGGAATCTAACAGTTTCAGTTTCTTCTTTTTCCAGCCTCAGATTCAGTTCTCCACATTTCCACGTCAGTTTGTAATTTTTTAAAGTGCTCATGAAAATTTACCTGCATTTCAGGGCAAATTTCTCCCATTATGCAATTTTGTCTAATTGATCCATTTTTGTTTTTAAATTTTCATAGTTTGGTGTCTACATTTTTTTACACATTACTTGGCTGGAGAAGCGCACTGTAGAATTTGGAGAATGGCTGAGTTTGTGGCCACCTATTGTTTTGGAAAGTGCAATTTCAGTAGATTTGCCTAAGCATAGAAGAGCTTACAGGAGGCATCAAAAGGTTGGAAGAGAAGGTGCCTCTTGTTGCTGAGGCCTGCTGTGTTTCGTTCTAGGTGCTCCATCTGGCAGTCACTTCACTTTCACATATGTGCACATGCAATTAAAAAGGGGGAGCCTGCAATGAGAAAGGGGGGCCTGTGCGCACATCTAAGATCACTTCTTAATTTTAACCTTGAGTGGAAGTGTTTGCAGGGGCGTACGAAGGTGGGGGGTGGCACACCTCGGGTGCCACCCGGGAGGGTGACAAGATGGCCTGCTGCCTCCCCCCCAGCTGTAGAGCGGCTGAGGGCACAGCGTCCGTATGGGCTGCCGAGCGTGCATGCTCCCCTAGGGTGCCAGAGAGGCTTCCTCTGCCCCTGAGTGTTTGCATTTGGCTCTGAGCAGCAGCTGGTCAACTGTGTGCTGGCTGTGAGAGGAAAGCCTTCTGGTGCTCCCTGCTTGAACAGCCCTGGCAAGGCACAGATTGAAATAGAGCCAATTCCCTTTCATGTGAGCCTGGCATTGGCTGTGCCATCATGTTTCATATGCTCCCACAGTATGACTGTCCTGCATTCAAGAAGAGATGCTCTGCTGGGAAGGAGCAGCTCTCAGGGAAGATTTCAGCCACTGTGATGGGATCATGTTCCAGCACCTAAATCTAGTAAACACACAGTGTTATCAAGAATAGACCTGGACGGATCTTTTGTTTCAGTTTCTCCCAATTTCTTCTTTTTTCTAATATTAAATTCTCTTCTACCCATTTCCACACCTGCAAGGGTTTGGGTTTTGTTTTTTTTTTAAAGTCCTGAAAATTCAGAAGTTCTTTAGTGGGAATTTCTTCTCAGATATACAATTTTGCATGTGATTTTTCTTCATATCATGCATTGTTGTATGTTATCTTCATTTTTATAAGACTTTCCCCTAATATATATGATTCTGGAGAACTGTGTTGCCAAATTTGGAGAAGTGCAAAATTTCAATGTTAGCTGTATTTTTGCTTATGTGTTTTTGGAAGTGTAGATTAAGTATTTGTACATAAAAATGGACTTTCTCTCCTGAATTGGGAAGGGAAATGAATTCTGTGAATTTCCATGCCCTTTATTTCTGAGGCTCGTCATTCCTATTTAATTTTTTCACCCTGTACTTCATAAACATCTTTTCTACCCCGGGGTCTTTTTGACCACCACGGGGCCTTTCTTCACCTTCTGAATTGCTGGTCATTGCAGGAACAATGGTTTAGAAATTGGTGCCTGGGTATTTCTTCTTCTCTCCTTGTTCATTTTCCCTTGTGTATTGTGCTTTTTTAAGACTGTAAGCCTGAGGGTGAGGACTGTCTTGTTCTGCTTGTAAGTAAGCCCCTCTGGGAGACTCTTTGGCTGAAAAGTGGGGTGCAAGTGCTCCAGATAAATAAAGGCATACATGGAGAAGCCTTTTGAAATTGAACCTGGGACTTTCTGCCTGCATTGCAGATGCTCCACTTCTGAGCACACAGCAGCCCTCCGGATCCTCTGGGGCTGTGTTCCCTTTACCATAGAGCAGTGATGGTGAACCTTTTAGAGACCGAGTGCCCAAACTGCAACCCAAAACCCACTTATTTATCGCAAAGTGCCAACACGGCAATTTAACCTGAATACTGAGATTTTAGTTTAGCAGGGGAGGTTGGCGCAGCAACACAGTGGTGCCTCGGTTTTCGAACTGCTTAGTTCTCAAACTACTTGGAACCCAAACACTTCAAACATGGAAATGAGTGTTCCGGTTTTCAAACTTTTTCCAGAGCCCATGCTCTGTTCTGAGTATAACTTCCGTTTTGAGTGCCACACTTCCATTTTCAGAGGGAAGGCGGGCTGAGCAGCAAGGGAGCAGGCACCTGCTACCCTCCAGTGCTGGGTCCCTCCACTGCCACAACAGCAACCACCCCATCCTCCAGCTCCGGAGGCGCTGAGTGAGGGAAGGCTGGGCTGGGGCGAGCAGGCAAGGGATGCCGCCGCCGCCACCACCCCCAGCCTGCTCCTGCTCCGGCTCCTGGATTGGGCTGCTCCGCTAGGCAGTGTTGCTGCTTGCACAGGAACAGGAGCTGGATCGGGGCTGCTCAGCTGGGGAGGTGCAGGCTCCATCACACTTTCCATTGAGGGGTTCGCGGCTGCACTCCCCTCAAGGGAGAAGTTTAAAAGAGTGCCCACCTCCGCATGAGATCCCCTGCAGCCCTGTGAAGGCAGCCAGGCTGAATAGTTGCTGAGGTTGGGGAAGGTGGAGGCAGCCCAGAAGCTGCATCTGAGAGCCCCTGCACCACCTGAAGGCAGCTAGGCACTCCCCAGCTGAACTGCCCCATCCCGCTCCTACTTGCGAGCAAGCAGGAGCATGGCTGGAATCTCTCAGAAGTGGAGGCTTCGTGCTTCCCCGCCCTGCTCCTGCTTGCGTGCAAGTTGGAGTGGGATCGGGCAGCTGAGCTGGGGAGTGCCTAGCTGCCTTCTGGTGGTGCAGGGGCTCTCAGATGCAGCACGAAGCCTCCGCTCCCACACCGCAGGGTGTGTAAAGCCTCAACCTCGCAGCAGCAGCAGCAGCAGGAGGAAAGCGGCTGCTTGGAAACCTCGGCGGCCCACCAACGCAGCAGTGCGCTTCTGAGCGCGTGCATAGCGCTATGCCCTCCCCACCCACAACGGAGGCTCCCCAAGGGAAAATGTGCACCCTGGAGGTTGTGGCTCCATTCTGCACACCCCCCACACCCTATCCGAGGCACTTCTACTCAGACACAAGTTGAGCTGAGGACTCGACGCGCTGCCCTTGCCTTCTGCCGGCTCTGTGCTGGGGTGAGGGCTCTGGAGTGCCCCCTCTGGCACGCGTGCCATAGGTCTGCCACCACCGCCATAGAGTAATCCTAGCCTGACCTGGGATTTGGAGGAAGAACATGCCTGTGAGTCTTTTGTGGCCGCCCCCCTCGCCTGCCCTCTCTTCTTGCTCACCTGGCAGGAGTCTCTCTTCTTGGCAGCACATGATGTCCTGCCCAGACAACTGAAGGATGTTGCTAATGCCCTCCTCCAGATTGGCTGCAGCTTCTCCTGGTCCTCATCTAGCAAGTAAAGGAATTTGCTGTTCTGCGGCCTGACATTTGGCAGTCAGGAGAAAGTTGAGCTCTGCAGCATCTGCTCCTCTCCTTCTGTTTTGCAGCATTATCTGCAGGGTCACGTGGGGCTCCTGTGCTGCGAGCCAAGTGTTGCAACCAGTTGCACATAAGCTATTCCTAGGGAAGGGGCTTTTATAAGAAAATTGGCACCAACTTCTGCCTCATGAACCTTAGAGTTGTAATGGGGGATGATCTGACTGTGTGGCTATAGGAGGGGGAAATTGCTCCCTGTCTTCCCTTGCAACAATCATTGTGTGAAGAATTGCTTAAAACAGATGCTTCCCCCCCCCCCGTCCTTTTGTTCTGACAGAAAAATCGACCCTGGCAACCATTTCTAATAGGCGATCCATCCGCATGCCTTATTGACATGAGCAGCTCCAGAGGTCATTGCCTGCATCCTCCAGGGCAAGCTTTGTGTTCTCTCCTGCTGCTGCTGCTGCCCCAAAATGCCCTTGGATAAGCCCACATCCCAGACTTGCCATTGGGGGGCTGGTCTCCAGGCTCGCTGGAGAGAGAGGTTTTTCTCCAGGGGGGCAGTTCAAATGGACTTCATGCCCAAAGGGAAAGGGGACTCCAATAATGCCAAGAATCTTGGGCTGTGCCTGTACTCTGGAGATTGCATTAGAGATTGCATTAGCACCAAAGGCAACTAGCACAGCTGGACGGGTCACCAAAGTCTGTAGCAACTAAAGGGAGGGCAGCTGTGGTGGGGGCTTTTCAAGCAAAAGTTGGGTGGCCATCTGTCAGGGATGCTTGAGCTGTGCTTCCTGCATTGCAAGGGGCTGTAGATGACTCCTGGGAATCCCTTCCTGCTACACAATTATGGAGTTCTATGATCTCTTTGAGAAGTGTTCAGCTGAGTGAAGTCTGCAGGATGAGAAGGGACCTGCCTGCCATTTTACAGTTGTACTCCCTGTGCTTCCTCATGAAGGAAGGGATAAGATTACTCAGTAGTAAGGGAAATGCACACTGCATATTATCATGAACCCATCCTTCCCCTTGCTTTCTAGGCAGCCTCCCTTTGCTGAAGTTTAATGGACTCCCTTGGAGTAGACTTGTCATCCTGATGGCATTGTTCTATGGAAGTGTCATTTGTCTGGGTGGCATGTTGGCCGCCATGGTGTCTTGCCTTCTCTGCCGGCCATCTTTTGACCTCTCAATGCATGAACATGTCCTGACAAGCAAGCAGGCACAGGGGACCTGCAGCTTTAACCCTCCTTGAATAAGGAGTTTCCTTGCCAATACAGGTCTTGCTACAAAAGTCGGGTGCCTCCCCCACTCCCTGCTGAGCTGCAGCAAGAGTCCATGGGGCTCCAGGTGCTCACCGCGTCTGTGTTCCTTTGGAGAATTGACACATGGCAGAGACTGTTGTAGATTTAAGAACTATGGCTTATTCACCTTTTTACACGTCTGCATGGAGAGAGTCCAGATCTTACAGCTTGGTCATTTCAAGAGGAGCTTGTCCCCCATGGCAGTGCAACCCTGGAGTCCAAGGCATCTCTCCCAGCCAGCCTGCAGACAACCTGCCCAAGATGGATCCCAATCTTCCTTCCTCCTCCTTCTTCCCAGAACGCAGCTCTGCAGCTTGTACTTTCATCCATATCCCAATTAATAAAAATCCTGCCATTTATTAATTTTTAGGGTTTAGGGGGGCCCCACCCCCCAAAAAATCTATAACAATGTTATATATATCTTATTGCAGACATCTCTAGTAACACTGTTTGAAACAACCTGTTTGAAAAACGCTCCCTTTCTCTTCAGGTCACATCCTTCAGTAGCCATGCTTCATACCCTCCACCATCAGGGGTTTTCTCCTGGCTCAAATATGTCCTTGAATTCCATTAAGAACTCTGGACTTCCGGGTCAGCGCCATCGGTGAATGGCGGAGTTCCTCCGACCGGAGGAACGGGCTCCGTGGAAACTGGGTCTTCCCACCGCGGCGAAGGTGGGGACCCGCTAGAAATTCCAGGCGGAGGAAGCCTGGGAACGTGGGGTTCGGCAGGGCACCAGGAGCGCCCCTCCTACTCACTGGGAACCCCATTTTGGGGCGCTGGAGCGAAGTGGGGTGGAGCGAAGTGGGGTGAGTGGCACGGTGCTGCGAACTGATTGCTATTTTCACGGAGTGAAGCCGCACAGCCATTGCCGGAGAGCGCTGACTTTTTCCTGTGGACAATTGGATTTAAAACAAGTACCCGTGAGTAGAAACGGAAAATTGGATTAAGAAATATCTCAATTTGGCATCGAAGCGGGAAGGTTCAAAACAGGAAGTCCGCCTTCCGCTTTTTGTATATAGACTAAAGCGAAAACTTTGTAAGCTAAAGCCTGGAAAGCTGTTTAAAAAAGTCTACATTTCCTTCATTCATAGAATCATAGAATCATAGAGTTGGAAGAGACCACAAGGGCCATCGAGTCCAACCCCCTGCCAAGCAGGAAACACCATCAGAGCACTCCTGACATATGGTTGTCAAGCCTCTGCTTAAAGACCTCCAAAGAAGGAGACTCCACCACACTCCTTGGCAGCAAATTCCACTGGCAAACAGCTCTTACTGTCAGGAAGTTCTTCCTAATGTTTAGGTGGACTCTTCTTTCTTGTAGTTTGGATCCATTGCTCCGTGTCCGCTTCTCTGGAGCAGCAGAAAACAACCTTTCTCCCTCCTCTATGTGACATCCTTTTATATATTTGAACATGGCTATCATATCACCCCTTAACCTCCTCTTCTCCAGACTAAACATGCCCAGCTCCCTTAGCCATTCCTCATAAGGCATCGTTTCCAGACTTGAATACATCTAAACTAGCCAAGTATTATTGTACTATCTCCTTAGTTATTCTGGGCTGTGTTTCCTTTGCTGAATCATTTGCTCCAAATTCTTCAGGTCGGGCATTGTTTTCTTTATCGGAGAAGACTGAGGCAAATAAGGCATTGAGGAGTTCAGCCCTTTCTGTGTCCCCTGTTTGCATTTCACCATCTTCTCCTCTGAGTGACCTCACTGTTTCTTTCTTCTTCCTTTTGCTACGAACATACCCATGAAAGCCTTTTTTGTTGCTTTTAACCTCTCTAGCAAGCCTGAGTTCATTCTGTGCTTTAGCTTTTCTGACTTTGTGTCTACACGTGCTGGCTATTTGTTTGAATTCCTCTTTGGTGGTTTCCCCTTTTCCATTTTTGTACACATCCTTTTTAATCTTAACTCAGTTAAAAGTTCTTTAGATAGCCACCCTGGCTTCTTTAGGCACCTTCCATGTTTCCGTCTCATTGGTATTGCCTGACGTTGTGCTTTTACTATCTCCCTCTTAACAAACTTCCAGCCATCATGAACTCCCTTTCCTTTTAGTATTACTGTCCATGGGATCTCACCCAGCACTTCCCTAAGTTTTATGAAGTCGGCTTTCTTAAAGTCAAGAAATTGAGTCCTAGTATGCTTGGCTGCTCCTTTCCGCTGTATAGTAAACTTCAGAAGAGCATGATCACTCGCGCCTAATGATCCTTCCACTTCTACCCCACTAACCACTACCCCACTAACCAAAGTAATTCAGAATTACTGAAACCCCCTTGGAAGCAGGAGAAATGGGGGGGGGGGACTTTGTTCAACCCTAGCAGGAGAGGGAGTGAAGAAGGATAAGTTTCCACCGTCTCTAACCTGGGAACGGGGTGTCAGAGACAGAAATTGTTGGAGAGGTTCATCGACTGTGAATGGAATACTTTGACAGATAGCTAAAGAAGAGAAACAAACTGATTCCAATGTTGCCTTTTGCATTCTAAAGAAACAAAATATCTGGAAAATACCTGAAAAATGAAAGTATTTTTCCTTTGTTGGACTTGCCTTTTAAAAAAAATAGATACAAACAGAAATTGTCTCCTCTAGAGGGAGCTTGTTAAATTGTTGCTGCAGTATACTTGAGGACTCAACAGCTGTGAGATTAAGATCGTGGGACCAGTCTCTTCTGACCTTGACTAAAGATGAGCTGGGAGGAAGACTGGGTGCTTGCTCTATGCAAGACAAGTGCTTTGCTGGAACAGATGCACGAGAAGATGGATTTGATGAATGAGAAAATGGATTTGATGACTGTTGTGGTTAACAACTGTGGACAAACAGGGAACATTGATACAGAAATCATTCAGGGACCAACTCATGAACCTGTACTGTCTGGGCAAGTGCAGAAGATAATGGAGGAGGATGCGGTTGCACCTCAAATAATACAAATGGAGAGACCCGAGGCCCTACAGGAGCATAAGCCGCTGTCATTGAAGATTGAAGTTGGAGTGGGCCAGGGGGCGTTTAGAGCTGAGGAGGTTCCTAACTTTGGAGAGACCTGGAAATATGCTTTTAAATACTTTTTGGATTATATTGATGACTGTGGGGAGTGGGACTGTGGGGAATGGGCGGGTTTGATGAAGAGAGATGGAGACAATTTTGGGTTGGAATTCCCCAGAGACCTATTCCTCAATGAGAAAGGAAAGAAATTAAGAAAGAGACCAACAAAAGACAAGGAAAAGGGCAAGTATAAACAAGAAGAAGAAGAACTGCAGAAGGGACATGGAAGAGACTTAAGGGCCTCGGACATAAGGCTTCCAGGTTGATGGACTAGATGGAATAGACAGTAAGGACTGACACGATCCGAGACCAGGAAGAAGAGACGTGGGATGAAGATTGGAAAAAAAATTATAAATAAAAACTTTCTATTTAGGGAACTAGCTTAAAATTAATGAATATTAGGGAAAATGTTGGAATGAAACTATATGACTCTAGCAGAAATGATATCAGGAGTTATGTATATTTGAAAACTAAGATTTAAGCTTTAAGGTATTTTAGGGTAAGATAAGGTTAAATAAACTAAGGTAATTTGAATAACAGAATATGGGGAAAGATGGAAAGGATTTGTTGAGCTAATTATTAGGTTAAATTGTTAAGATAAATTTTGTAACAAAAATTGAGAAAGATGGAAAGAATTTGCTGAAATAACTAATTGAACTAGAATGCAAGAAGGGAGGTGTGAGGAGGTCAAGGAAACAAGCAAATGGAAGTTATAGATATGTAATTTGGGATTTGTGTTTTTTTTCCTTTTTTTCTTCCTTTCTTCTTTTTATCTTTTTGCTGTCTGCGTTTTTTCTTCTTTTTTATGTATTATTGTGTTGTTTTTTGTTTTTTCTTTATTTTCTATAATTCTGAAACTACTAATAAATATTATTTTTTTAAAAAAAGAATTCCATTAAGAACTCCTTCCTACCTCCGTGGAGGAGAGAGGTGTGTGTGAGTGTGTAGAAACAATCCTATTGTACAAAAGCAAAATGTATTATTATTAGAAGAAAACAAACCAGTAAGCCCCGCTCCAACAAACACATTCAAAAGGCCATAGAATGTTAATCAGCCAAAGGCCTGGTTATAGAGGAACATTTTTGCCTGGTGCCTAAAGGTGTATCATGAAGGCACCAGGCAAGCCTCCCTGAGGAGGGCATCCCACAAACATGGAGCCACCACAGAATAGGCCCATTCTCCTGTTGCCACCTTCCGGACCTCTCGTGGAGAAGGCACTCAAAGAAAGGCCTCACATTATGATTGCAGAGTCTGGATCAGTTCATATGGAGAGAGGCGGTCCTTGATGTATCGTGATCCTGAGCCATTAAAGGCTTTATAGGTCCAAACCTTTATGTATCCAAATTGCTCATCCACTTCTGCCTCTGGCTCTGCCCTCCAGTGGCCTGTGTTCCCCAGAGGGTTCCCAAGAAGGGAAGGTGCCCCTTTGACTGGAAAAGGTTTGTCACACACCCCTTACAGCTGGGTCCCTTCTCCCAGAGGCTGTCGTCAGAGTGCCCCTGCCATAGGAAGTCTAGAGTTGAGTTGTGAGAGTCAGTGCCTTCGCCGTTTTTTTACCAGCACCACCCCATGTGCTCTGAATGCTTTCCCTGAGAAAGATCCCTCAGCTCCCATGTTGTTCTCTCCCCAGAATCAGGACAAGGTAATTTTTTCAGTTCTTCCTGTTTTATGGTTGGAGGTTTCAGCTCTTCTGTTTTTTACTTGTTGGGTCTTAGTTGCTGTTTTTAGCTCCTATGAAGAATTTTAGCTCTGGTTTTGTGATTTTTCAATATATATGTACTGGCTTGGATTTTATGTCTTATTGAAGGTGTGTGTGTGTGTGTGTGTGTGTGTGTTGCTATGTTTTAAATGCATATGAAAACCCATGCAATACATCTAGTAGATATCAGAAATGCAATGTTGTTGTTGTTGTTTAATCGTTTAGTCGTGTCTGACTCTTCGTGACCCCATGGACCAGAGCACCCCAGGCACTCCTGTCTTCCACTGCCTCCCACAGTTTGGTCAAACTCATGCTGGTAGCTTCGAGAACACTGTCCAACCATCTCATCCTCTGTTGTCCCCTTCTCCTTGTGCCCTCCATCTTTCCCAACATCAGGGTCTTTTCCAGGGAGTCTTCCCTTCTCATGAGGTGGCCAAAGTCTTGGAGCCTCAGCTTCAGGATCTGTCCTTCCAGGGAGCACTCAGGGCTGATTTCCTTCAGAATGGATAGGTTTGACCTTCTTGCAGTCTATGGGACTCTCAAGAGTCTCCTCCAACACCATAATTCAAAAAGAAATGGCAATACTGACTGCTTAATTTCACCATCAGTGACAAACAGTTGCAAAGCAAGAAAACATGCCTGTGTGTGCGCACACGCGTGCACACACACACGTGCACACACACAGAAGCCAAATAAGGAAGGGCATTGCCCTGAGTGTGGGGGAGAGGTAAAAAGTCAAGAATGTAAATAACTCAGGCGTATGATGAAGGAAAATACAAGTGAAGGCTGTCTTATCTAGATCAGGCAGAATTGGCTAAGAATGTAAGAATCCTGCTGCATCCAGCCTGTTACCTCTGGGGAGCTTACAGGCCTGGGCCCAAGGGCAATAGCCTTCCCTGCTGCTGATCCATCAACAACCCATATTCAGGGGCCTAAGGTTGCTGATATTGCAGATAATATGTAGCCCTCATGGCTGGCAGCTGTTGATAGCCATATCTTCCACAAATTTCTCTAATCCCCTTCTAAATACATCTTGGTTGGTGCGTAATCCCATATTTTATGGCAACAAATTCCATACTTTAATTTGGATGGGGAACCAGACCTGTCCATCTCTCCTCTACCAAGTGCAGGCCAAATGTGACAGGTGGGTGCAGTGACTTCAAGTCTGCTTTCTGCAGGGATTAGCTGTGCAATTGAGTTCCCTACATCTGATGTCACACAGGTATGGCTCTGGGAAAACAGCCTTGTGGGTCAAACTGGAGCACATGCTAAGCCACATCCAGCATGCGGGCTAGAGGTTCCTCACTCCTTGTTTCACTAGATGCTATGTGAAGAAGCACTTCCTTTTGTCCACCCAGAATCTCCCAATATCTCTTCTTCACTGGATGACCCCAGGCTCTAGAATTATGAGAGAAGAAGTTTGCTTTCCTCCTCTTCCTTATCCACCCTCTTCCCAACATGGTAGTTTTTCTTTGTAAGATTATCCTACAATCAGAATGTTAGCAGGTTGCATGTGGGGGCTGAGGAATGTGATTGTTTTGTGACATGTTTTGAGAGCCTGGTTTTGTGCGCAGGTGTTGTGCTCAGTGGAGCAATCCGTGGTGCTGTTTTGCCCCTCCAAAAGAGCTGTTCCAGTTATGCATTTCCCTAAAGTCAAGCAGTGTGCTGCTGACACTTTCTTTTGTAGTTGCTTAGCCCTGAGAAGGTGAGGTTGTGGCTTCAGATGTCACATCGCAGGAGAGAGGATGTCAGCATTTGTATCAAATCAGTTGCCAGAGGCAGGACATTAGCCACTACCTGGACTGCAGGACTCAGAACCGCACCGGCGGTTCCGCACCGACCAAGTTACTGGGAATGGCAACCAAGTTGTGCTCAGGTCCTGCTTGCAGAGTTCCCAGGCAGTGCTGGATTAAACCCTGTGGAGACCCCATGACAGTTGAAATCTTGCCCCCCGCCCAGTGGGATAACATTGAACTAAGAAAGCTTGAATGTAATTTTCCCCCAAGATCAAATCAATATTATTTTGATTTGGTAAATTGGTAAATTTACCAATACTATTTGGTAATCTGGCACTGTTCCCAGGGGCATCTGGCTGGACAGAGTGCTGGTCTGGAAAGGCCTTTGGTCTGATCCTGCAAGGCTGGTTGGTTGGCATCTGTCTGTCTCCATTGGAGACAAGGGAGGTCAAGTCAAGCTGTTGGGAGGTTGCAGCGCCTGCTGTGGCTGCAGAGACGCATGAGAGGCATGCTTTGCTGCAGTTGTGCTGCTGCAGACGCACCCGGGCGTTTCTTCGCTCTGCTTCCTGCCAGTGGTGCGGATGCCGGGCCTGACTGACTGTCTCCAGGCAGCCCTGGATTTAGGGTGGTGTGGGAAGTTCCCCCGCACACGGTGCCGAACTGAGGGGGCACAAAATCGAGCAGACCAATTTGGGGGTGCCCAAGATATTCGTGCGTGCTCCGGGAGCTGCGCTCGTCTGCCAAGGCTCGCCCCTTGTCTCCGGCCCTGCCTCTCCGTCTCCGTGGCGCCGGTGCGGCTGATGGCGACTCCTATCCTCTCCCGGCGACCAGCCCGCAGCCCGTGCTGCTCCCTCGTGAATGCGCCTCCGCAGCCCCGCCAGACGTGGCGGGTTCGGGGCACCTGCCCGTCTTCCTCCCCGGGCCCGCTGGATGGCCGAGCGTAACGTGCGAAGCGGCCGTGCGCGGGCAGGCGGGGCGAGCTCGCCGGGGCGGCGCTCGGGCGGCTTCTGCTCCGGATTGGGCGCGCTCCTCCCGCGCGGCGGCGGCGGCGGCGAGTCCCCGCTGGGGCGCCCGGAGCGGGCGCGGCAATGGGCTGAGCGAGCGCGGCCGGTCCGCGGAGGCTCCTCTGGCGCGGCTCCTGGGCCCGATCCCTCCCCGGCGGCGGCGGCGGCGGCGAGCGAGGGAGGGAGGCGGCGAGCCGGGCGGAGGCGGCGCGCAGAAGCGGAAAGCCGCGCTCACGCTGGAGCCCGTCGGCGCCGGATCCGCGCCTTCCTGCCGGCGCCTCTGGGCCGCCCCTCCATTTTGAAGGCAGCCTCGTCCCCATGGCGTTCAGCCTCGTCGTGGCAGCTGCTGTCGCCCGTGCAGTGGGCCAAGTGGACGTGGTCGGCCGTGCGCGGCGGCGGCGGCGCGGCGGGGCCCGAGCAGGACGGCCTCGCCGGGGCGGACGGGCAGGGGCAGCCCGAGGACGACGACGAGGACGCGCAGGCGGACACCAAGTCGCTGAGTCTCAGGCAAGGCGGGCGCCCTCGGGGTTCGACGGGGCCGTTTCACACGAGACGCGCCGGGCGCAGCTCGGGGCGCGGGCGGGCGGGCTGCGCGCCGGAGGGGCGCCTCGTGGGTCCCCGGCGCCGCTCTGCCCAGGCCGGGCTTCCCCGTGGCGCCGGGGGCCAGTCCGGCCGCGGGGATCGGCAAATGCACGTCGGAACGGCCTCGGTGGGAAGGCCCATCTTCATGTGCAGGGCATCCTCTGCCATGCTGGGTGCGTGTGTGAATTAGCCCAGATCGGGCATCCGTGAGGAGCAAACCTCTGTTTTAGACCTGATTGCCACATCCATCCACAGCGTATGCGCAGCTAAAACCGTGCTAGATGCCTATTTTGTTTCTTGAATGAAGTGTTCAAAGAAGCTGGGTCTTAGTCCTTCCACCACTTTTTGACTATCTTTACTGTGCCTGGAAGAGAAATACCCAGTGGAGATGTGTCTCTGAGTAAAGGCAAAATGTCTTTACTTACCGTAGCGGTTGTATTCGGGGCTCCATAGGTGAGCCCCCTTCTCCTCTTGCAGCCGGTTCTCAGGCCTGCCTTCTGTGGCTACTCTGTGATAAGAGGAATGCTCTCCGCATTTGGTGCTGCTTCTCAGGGAGATTTCAGAGAGGTCAGGGTTTCTAGGTCAAACTTTTTTGGCAGCATTAATTTCCAGGAAGTAACTGCAGGGCTTAACTCTCCCTGGACCTCACTTCATCTCTTGGAGGTAAATGTTCTTACTTCTAATACCAGATGCTTCTAACACATGCTCAGAGGCACTCCCTGGGCTGTATGCTGCTGTAGAAAACTGGTTGTGGGAGGACAGCCTTACAAAGCGAGGCTCAGCCAAAGTCCTACCTATAAGCAGGTGAAGCAGCAGCCTCAATTCATCCGGCAATGAGGCAAGGTGGGAGTCTGCCTGAGTGACATTCCATAGGCAGGGTGTGAACCACCTCCCTCCCTCTATCCCAGATTTCTGTTGGGGTTGCTAGTGCTTGCTCTGGAGAGCGAAGGCACTTGACACATGCTTTTAAGGCCAAATTCTTTATCACGGTTTCACAATTTCCATGCCTGAGCCCTGGCACAAAAACTGGGTCTTGGGTTTTGCTTTACTTCTTAATGTATGATGAATTAATACTGTGAAATGCAGCCCTCTCCCAGTTTGCTGGGGGCCACTGACCAGGGAGTCATGCCTAGTTTGCAACTCCCTGCAGGGTGACCCCCAAGCAGTTGCAGAACTACAGTTTCCTATCCTGTTTTCTGTTACGGGTTAGCAAGTGGCAGCCCTAGGGCTGAATCTGGCCCTCTGAGGCAGCAGTGGGGCTTGCTGGCTCTCTGATTTGGAGGGTTGCCCTGAACCCTCCTGCTCAGAATCGCTGCCCAGTGAAACTAGATGAGCAACCAGGGCAGGGATGGAGAACTTGGGGTCCTCCAGACTTTGTTGGGCCGCAACTCCCAACGTATTTGGCTATGCTGACTGGAGCTGATGGGAGGTGGAGTCCAAGAACATCTGGAGGGTTGCAGGTTCCCCATCTGTGGTCTGCTTCAACAGCTATTAGCTCTGTGTTATGGAGAAAGGGTCCCATCAGCAGAAGCCTGAGCAAGGACTTCTGCTTGCTCAAGGGGTCTTCACCCCACATGCATCCCCTGCGCTCCCTAAAATTGGCTCTGAGGAGGCCAGAGAACCCCAGAAGCATGCACGGGTGGAAGAGAGGCCAGCAGAAATATTTGCCCTGATCAACACTCTGCAATATTGAATTCCTCCCTGAACCTCCATATGCAGAGACAGTTATGCTTCAAGTACTAGACATAGGCAGTAAACCATGGGGAAGGGTTGGGGAACCTTGATCCCAGGGGCTAAATTTGACCCTCCAGTCTTCTCCACCTGGTCCTTGGCCTCTCCTCAGGAAGCACCCCTCACTGGCTTGACCAGGGACTCTTTTTGCCTGTACGAAGTTTGCATTCATTGCTCCTCCCACTTTTGCCTCTGGCCCTGCGGGCCACTGGCATGTGGCCCTCACAAGGTTACTCAGAAGGAAATGTGGCCTTTGGACTGAAAAAGCTTCCCAACCCCTGCCATGGTGGGGATGCTCTGCTATGTGTGTTGGAGCATGCATGTGCTGAGAACAGCCCCATGGCTGTCAGGGACGCCATGAAGTCCTGAGCCAGCTCATTTTGGCCACCTCGGCTTGGATATTGAAGTCCCCCAATACCACCATGTGAGTGAGTGGATCCCCCATGGGCACCATTGGTGAGTTTTCTCCCTGTGCAAACCCTACTGGCTGTTTGCCTTTTAAGAACATGTGTCTGTTAACTGCAAAACTCATAATGACATTGTGCATCGTTTGGCCATGACATAGACGGTATTTTGTCTGATTCATCAGAAGTCTCAGTAAGAGAAATTCTGAGTGCCTGGCAATGGCCGGGAAGGTTTGTTGAAACCCTACTTGAGAAGATGTTCAGAGCTGGGCTGGGAGGAGTGGCTAATTTGTCCTTCTCTTCCCTCTCCTTGTCTGCAGTTCAGATTCAGAAGGCCATTTTGGGACTCCTGAGGCAGAGACCCCAGTCCGCTCGCTGGGAAAGGAGCTGGAGGAACCATCCCTGCACCTGTTGGAGCCTGAGACTGAGCCCCAAGGTAAAGAGGCATGGAGGTTCCTTTTTGCACCTTTTCAATGGAGTTAGAAGATGCCGTTTGATGCACAGGTGCCTCTTGTGCAGGCAGACTTGATGGTCTTTCAGACCCCTCTGTGAAGACCAAGGTTGCAGATCATCTCTGTTTGGCTGCTTTGGGAAACAGGATGCTTGGCTGCAGCCATGTCTAGCAGACAACAATTGTGCATCAGCATCTTGGTTTGTGTCTGTCAGTTTCTATAAATAGGTGATGGCCACCCCTCAGTCCCTCTGGGTTGTGTGCCGTCTGAGGGAAGGATGTCATTTCTCAGGGGTCTCCCTGAAGTCTCTTAAGGCAACCTGCTATGATAGCTTCTAGAGGTGAGATGCTCCGCCACTGAGCAGGCTTCTGTTAGAATGAACATCTTCGGATGCTTCAAGATGACCTGCTTATTGGGCCTTCATTCTGATTTGCTTGCGGGAAGGTTTGTGTCCAAGCAAGTGCTATCTTGCACTTCCTAATGTGTTCTTCTGTCACTTTTCTGATCTGTTGGGGAAGTGTGTTTGTTGCACAAGATCTCTTAATCGGCTTCTGTTTCACAACCTGAATTTGCTGTTACGTGAATCCCACCTGAAAATAGTAAGCATTCTTGGAGGCACCTTTCATTGATTTTTTTTTTCTATTTTCTTTTTGCTGTAACCAACTAAAACTCTTCCCCTCCAGGAGTTCCTCAGCAGCATGCAGTTCCAGAGCCTTGGCCTGGAATAGTGCAAAGGCTCCTAGCATGTTCAAGGTGCAGCTCTTGGAAAGGCAGCTCTTTGCTTCCCCCTCCCCATAGTCTATTGGGACCAGTTTTGGGCTCGGGGGGCTGAACCCTGTGACCATGAGGTGGGAAGCTCAGGCAGAGAAGCCTGGCAGCTGAGCTCTAGAAGGCAAAAAATCATTGCATCTGCTTTGATCTGCCCATGCTGGAAAGTGGAAGAAACACTTTTTTGCTATTGTGAGTTAGAATTTGTAACAGTTCATTCATAACAATTTGTGAATTTCCAATTGATCTTCCATAAATTTTCCCATTGGGCCATGGTTATTGAATGGCCAAAATCCTGGGACCACCTCACCATTGCCACTGTTACCTCCTCCTGGACAGTCAAGGAGGAGTCGATACATTTTGGAAAGAGTTTTTCTTTTAGAATTTATAAGATCAGATTCGAATCGGGAAATTTCTGTTGAGAACCCCTTTTGTTTGTCAGATTTAAATTTTTCAAATAACTGATGGTATTGGAACCAGTCTGAGATGTGTTCTCTCATTTCCTCAAAGTTTTTTAATTTTATTTGGTTATCTTCATTTTTTAGAAGTGTTTTATATGTTGGCCAGCTTTCCTGAGTATTTTTCCGTTTTACTGCTACGGCCTCTATTGGAGAAGTCCACCACGGGACTTTAGGCTCCATCAGGTCTTTATATTTTTCCCATACAGCAAAGAGTGATTTTCTTATTATATGGTTGGTAATTTTTAAATGAATTTTCGCCTTTCCATATATCAGGTAGGCGTGCCATCCCCAGCGGTTGTCAAAACCTTCTAGGTCCAGGAGGTCCGGATCCTGCAACGTGCACCAATCTTTTAGCCAGGTGAAACAGTTGCCCCCTCTCAATGTAGCCTTCCCCCAAATAGTCTAGCCGTGCTGCGCCTTCTGCGTGTTCCAGGTGCATCCTGAATATGGATGCTGCAGCAGTCTGGAACATGATAGCTCTTTACCTTAGCTCTGGGGCAGCTTTAATCCTTATTGGTGACGCTGCTAATGTTAAAAAGAGATTTTTGTGTCTCACAAAATGGCCAGGGACTTCCCCTTGGTTGTGGCAGTTGCACTCCCATTATTGTTGTGAGCGCCTAGTATCTTTCCATTGTTCTCTCATGCCTCACTGACATTTCTCTACTTCCTCCTGGACTCCCCACTGCTCTCTGCAACACCACAATCCTTTTTCCCCCCTGAGGAAGTGACACTTCCTGCCTGCAAGGTTCTGATTGCTTAATTCCACCCCTTTTGAAAAGGCTTCTTGTGGCCGTTGAGGGTGCTTTGATCCTCTGACATCCTTCCAGCAAATGTATTGAGAGAGGCAGCCTGGTAGAGAAGCTGCCTGGTTTCATGGCATATGCATCTCTGCCAAGGGAGAGAGGAAAGAGGCCACTTGCTGCAGTTTCTACTGATGGGCAATGGGGTGGGGGGAGAAGGACATTTCAGGGCATCCCACTGTCCCCATCTGAAAACTCTTGGTTAGTGCCCAAAGAAATGTAGGTGACCTGGTTTACTCTGCCTGCAGCGATATTTAGCCAGTGGGTGTTTTGATGTATTGCAGCTTGCAAATCCTGTGCTTTTTAAAAGGGCTATATTTGGAAGAGCCCACCTAGTCCTACATCCTGTTCTCAGGATGGGCTGGGGTGGGGGAACCAGATGCCTGTGGGAAGCCCATATGCCAGATCTGAGTCTAGCAGCAACTTACGATTCTCAACCTAAGCTCAGCATTCAGAGCCATTTTGCTTCAGACCTTGGAGGTAAAAGATAGCCAGTGTGGCCATTAGCCTTTGCCTTATTCTGTGCCTGCAGAATTCTAGGGGCAACCTGCTATTTCTGGAAGAGTTTGCGTTCCTGGGAACTTCAGAACTTCTTTCAAAAGCAGAAGAAAGTTACTGGTTCTCATGGCTGCAGCCTGATAGCAATACTTTGTTTTTATCCAGCATTTCACCTAAAGCATTCACCCCCCCCACCCCCCGGTGCATTATCTTAATACTGTGCTTAATGTTGCAAGATGGGCCAGTATTATCGCACCTGCATTGTATTGGGACTGAGAAAATGTGGCTTGTCTAGGGCTGCTACTGGGTCGTGTGCAGCGGACACTGAATTTTGTTGAGTTGACAGAGTGGCTGATATCCAAAGTCCTGCTCCTGGGAAGGCTGTCTTTCAGCTCTGTTTGGTTGACAGCTGGCTGTGCTGGGCCAGGAAGGATGGTGCACATCCATCTCAGCTAGTGACCATCCCTACATTCTTTGGAAGAGAAATATGTATTTGTATCTGTTGTTGTTTAGCCATCTTGGGTAAGGCATGTGGTAAGGCAGGATGCAAATGTTCACACATTATAATAAGTTAATTGCATGTTATTGGAACAAGTACTTTTTAAACCCCACCTGAGCCAACTGCCAAGGCCTGCTGTTGTGAGAGGAAAAAACTCCACACATTCTTGGTGGTTGAAGTGTTTTGCTCCAACCTGGGAGAAGGGGGTTTAAATCTCTCCTCAGCTCACTGGGTGACCTTGGACCAGTCAACCTAACCCCCCCCCCCCCCGGGTTGTCATGAGGAGGAGCTCATTGGAGGAAAAGCAGGATAGAAATGCCAGGAAGAAGAAAGTTATGAGGTCCAACTGCAGTGCCTCCTTTGGGTGCTGTGAATAAGCCACTGGCCCCCATCACGGGAGATGAGAGGTGTGGAGTTGTTGTTGCTATTTGGGAGGGAATTGCGAGACTTTTTGACCTTGTTTAGGCATTGTAGGAGTAGGTACCATATAGACTGCCTAAGAGTTGTTGTTTGGACTGAAGCCTGCTTTTTTCTTTGAGCATATAAGGAAAGGTCTTGGCTAGTTAAGGAGGTCTTGGCCAGTGATGGCGCTCAGTCTCCCTCCCTCCCTTTCTCTCCCCGCCCCCAAAACTCTCTGGAGCCAGATCTGATTTAATGGCTGTTTGGGAGGAAGAGAGAAAACCGTTTCTCCCTCTCAGCTGAGGTTGACTCAGCACCAAGTCACAGAAACCACAATGTGTTGTTGTTTTTTTAAAAAAAGAAGAATCAGTATTTGGACTCTTCCCTGATTGAGTGTGCGTAAGAGTGCAAGGAGGGTCCTGCTGGGTTGGTCCAAGAGTCTGCCTTGTCAGCATCCCATTTCCCACAGCAGCCAGTGAGGTGCCTGCAGGAAACCCACCCGCAGGGCTTGGCAACTACAGCCCCACCTCTCTGCTTTGGCATACTGCCATCATAACTTGCAGCCTCCATCTCATCTGCTTCTCAAAGCTGTTTCAAGCTGGAGGCCATCACTGCCTCTTGTAGCAGAGAATCCCAGAGTTCAGTTGGGTGCTGTGTGAAGAAGGCCTTCCTTCTGCCTGTCCTGAACCTCCCTTGTGTCCTAGTGTTACGCAAGAGGGAGGAAAATGTGTCTCTGCTGTTTCCAAGCCATGCATACTTTTAGAAACCTGTAAGTAGGGGCCTGATTTCACCTTCATAGGCAAATCATGGGATCTATGGATCCATCTTTTCCTGTCCTTAGCTGCACTTCTTCTTACTGCTTATATCACAGCAGGTTGAGCCTTGGCACTGTGAATAGGTTCAAGAGCTCATCTCTGAAAGGAAGAATTTAGCCGTTCAAGGGTGCAGCAGTTCCTCCTTCCTCTCCACTCCATTGCACAAGACCTGCTTGCTGGGTGAACTGTGCCTGCCAGTTTGGAGATCTCAGTAGACTGACTTTCAGAATTATCCAGTCAGGCTCCACCTATTAAAGCAATGGTATTTGAGGCTGGCCAAACATCACACAATGGTGCCCTTCTCAGCAAATCCTCAATCCTCCTTCCCAAAGTATGTGCTTGGAACAAATTGTGTCAATGAAGGGAGTTTGTGTGCTTCTGCACAAGTGATCCCCATTGCAAGGTTCTGGTTTGGATAATTCACAGTATTGCTGGGAGACGGAGGGAGGAAGGCAGACAGAGGATCTATAGAGGTGCTCAGGATAGAAGGAGCCCTGAAAACGCCTGCAAAAGGTTTTATTTGGCAACCTATGCAAGTTCAGAATTTCTCTGCAGCTGCAAAATACATTGTTATTTATAAAGAGAAAGGAAATTGAGATTCCAAGGAAATTATGTTCAGCATTTTATTCCAGATTTTGACAGTTTACACACACACACCCATTTCTTTCAACAGGGCTTGCAAAAGATATTTTGGATGGGTGGTGCCCTGTGGCGTAGCGTGGGTTGTCAGCACCCGGGGCAAGGCAAGTAATTTGCGCCCCCTAACCCGTGGATTTGCGCCCCCTAACCCTAACCCCCAGATGTTGCGCCCGGTGCGGCCGCCCCCCCTGCACCCCCCACGCTACGCCACTGGTGGTGCCAGAAGTGGGGAGGATTTGCTACCTTGGACGCCCAAATGTTTTCCCTTAGCCCTGTATTCTGCAAATGGACAGATGCATGGCATGCAAATGGTTTTGGGTACTGTACTTTTGATTGCTGCTATGAGGCCTGGCAGCCTCTATTTCTGCTGGAGCTTGACTAATACATCCATTGAAATTCTCTTGACCTGAATGGCTTTGCTAGATTCCCAGAAGGCCAAGAGAAGCATGTTTTCTGCAGGTAGCACATGCCGTTTGTGCAAGCGACCTGCTGCCAAAGAGGTAGGGAGCTGTAAAAATACAAATAAAATGTACTAACTAGGGTATCTGTTTCATTTAACACACACTTGTCAGTGGCTAAATAACAGAGGTGCCATTCCACAGCGATTAAAGGGTTTTCTCTTATGCACCTGTTGTATGTGAGGCCTTCAAGCAGCCACACTCCTAAGTGGAGGGGCAACCCCACTGCCACACATTTTTCTCTTTTGATGCCTCTGCCCTGCCACTTTAATTTGGCTGATCCCGGTGCTAAGCTGGGCGACCTTTGGTGCTGAACCACAACTCCCATCAGTCCCAGTAAGCAGGACCAATGGTCAGGGATGGTGGGAGTTGTAGCTGAGCAATGTCTGGAGTGCCAATGATTCCCTACACCTGAGCACAAGCAGGTTGGTTTGGGCTCATTCCATAAGGACCAGAAACTTCATTTTAAAAGAAGAAAGCTGAGATTCTCCACAAATGGAACCCTGCACAGCTTTCCAGCACACAGGTCTCCAAAGCTGCCCACTTTCAGGCTGGCAAGGCAACTGTGTGTTTTCTCTGAAACCACCATGTTCAGAAGTGACCTATATAATTTTTGTGTACCTGCTGATTCAGAATAATTGCAAGTCTTTGTTTCTCCATGCAATTGGGAGAATTTAGCAGGCAGACATGGCAGGATTCCCTTCTCTGCATGGTGTGTATGTGTGCATAGATCACTAATTTACAAACATAGCTACCTCTCAGGATCTCTGGCTGTGGTCACCCATGTCACCCACCCAGGACGCATGGTGCAGCAACAAAACTGCTAGCAGATTTGCAAAGCTAAACAGGGTCTGGTCTGGTTTCAAATTGGACAGAAGACTGTGTGTTGAGATTCCTGCATTGCATGGGGTGGGACTAGATGCCCCTTGGGGTCCCTTCCAATCGATCACTCTCATTACCTCATCCACATTACCTGCTCCTTTTTTATGGCAAGGCTGGGGGTTGAGCCTGGACCCCTTCTGCATGCAGAGGTGGTGTTCTCCCACTTGGGAGTCCTAGTCGCTTGTTCTCTCCCCTCCAGCCACAGATTCCACCAAATGAGAGGACCCCCCCCCCCATCTCAGTCAGCATGCCTGCAGTCCTTGAAGTGCAATGGACTGAGCACCAGTAGCTGGGAGCCTTCTGTAATTCAGTGGGCCTCTTGCTGCTTACATTCAGCCCCCAAGATAGAGTGGTACCTTGGTTCTCGAACGCCTTAGTAGTCGAACAACTTGGAACCCAAATGCTGCAAACTGGAAATAAATTTGTGAACTTTTTTCAGAAGCCGAACATGCTTTGTTTTGAGTGCCACACTTCTGTTTTGAGTGTCATGCGCCGGTGGTTGTAACCGACAGTAGTAACCATCAGGGCAAGGGAAGAACAGCCCCCCCCCACCTGCACCACTCGCACCACCTGAGAATTCAAAGCTTCCCCTTGTCGCCCTCTCAGCTGCCCTCTGCCCCGCTCACTGTGTCCTGCTGTCAGGGCGAGGGAAAAGATGCCCAGTGGTGCCAGCACTGAGTGAGGGAAGGCTGGGCTGGGCTGCAAGTGAGTGGGCAAGGGTTGTCGCCGCACCTCCCAGCACTGGGTCCCTCCGCCACTGCTGCAGCAGCAACCCCCACCCCCTGCAGCTCCTGCTGCCTCTGCCCTCCTCCGGTTCAAGGTGTTGCCCGCGGCTGCCGCTCCAGCCCCCAGAGCAACACCAAGCAGCTCAGCCCCATCACTGCCTGCCTCTGCTTCCTCACAGGGTGCGGGACGGCGTGGCCAGATGCAGCCCCGCTGCTGCAGTGTGAGTTCTGCTTGTGCCAGCCCTGAAGAAAGGGGGCTGGGGGTGGGGGAAGGGATCCAGAAGGGCTGGCGGGGCAGGGAGAGAGCTGCTTTGGGGGAGGGGTCATTCCACACCAAATCACCTAATTTTAATACTCGACCGTGCTCTCACGACATTTTTAAAGTAAAAAATAAATACATACTTTTTCTTTTTTTTTTGCTGATTCAGAAAGGTCATATTGCATGCAGTGGTCAAAACAGCATCTTTGACCATATTCCATGTATGGAAAACAAAGTAGCTTTGACCATAACATTGCAGAAGTGTTTTACACAATAAAATGAACAAGGGCTCTGAGACGTGTTTTGTTTTTATTAAATAATCAATAAAACTTAATTTAAAAAATATATCAGATGACATTGTAAGAGGGTACAATTTTAACTATTCTCATGAATGTGTGAGTTATTTCAGGCTCAAAGAGACCTTAAAACCTGTACCCCCCCCCAAAAAAAATTGTAAATCAATTTATTTTATAACGACAAAAAACACCCTGCTTATTTGTAAAACATAACAAGTACATGGTTAGCCCATTCAACAAAAAAAGGATGATACATGTGTTAGTTGTGGTTTGCGCGCTATGACTTATCAAACCTACCAGGAATAAAATGAGAAAAATTCACTTTGAATGGTTGATGACCCTTTTCTGTGGCACTTAATACCATTTTTATACCTTTTTTTGAAAGAGACCACAATTAGCTTTATTTTGATACCAAAATAAGCCCAATTGGTCGAAAAATAACGAAATAGCAGCTTTTTCCTTCACTGACGCAGAAATTAAAGGTAAAGGTAAAGGTACCCCTGCCCATACGGGCCAGTCTTGCCAGACTCTAGGGTTGTGCGCTCATCTCACTCTAGAGGCCAGGAGCCAGCGCTGTCCGCAGACACTTCCGGGTCATGTGGCCAGCGTGACAAGCTGCATCTGGCGAGCCAGCGCAGCACACGGAACGCCGTTTACCTTCCCGCTAGTAAGCGGTCCCTATTTATCTACTTGCACCCGAAGGTGCTTTCGAACTGCTAGGTTGGCAGGCGCTGGGACCGAGCGACGGGAGCGCACCCCGCTGCGGGGATTCGAACAGCCGACCTTTCGATCAGCAAGTCCTAGGCGCTGAGGCTTTAACCCACAGCGCCACCCGCGTCCCACAACGCAGAAATTGCATTAGCCTAAATCATGTGAAAATCGAAATTTAAAAAAAAATTCTCCTGCGCCCAATTTTGGACCAAAAAATCTTTAAAAATTAATTTGTGGTTATCTCATAGGTATCTACACATAAAATTATTTTGAAGAAAACCTGAGTCGTGAAAGCACATGGCACCAGGTAATTTGGCGTGGAATGACCCAGAGAGAGAGAGCGCTGCTTTAGTGGGGAGAGAGAGAATTTATTTATTTATTTATTTATTTATTTATACATACATACATACATACATACATACATACATACCCTGCCCATCTGGCTGGGTTTTCCCAGCCACTCTGGGTGGCTCCCAATCAAATATTAAAAATACAATACAGTCATTTGCTTCAGGATGCGAATGGGCCTCTGGAACGGATCCCGTTCGCATCCTGAGGTACCACTGTACAGCGTTAAAAATATAATACAGAAAGGGCTGGCTTGGGGGAAGAGAGCTGCTTGGGGGGGGGAGAACTGCTTTAGGTAGGGAGAGGAAGGGCTGGCTTGGGGGGTGGGGGAGAACTTTTGCCTCCCTTTCCTTCCCCACTGCGTAAACCCCCCCCCCTCGTGTCCAGTTAGCCACCTGCTTCCACACACGCATCCTGCATGCACTCCTCATCCCTGCAATGACAATTGGTCACTGCCAATTTTTGATACTGCCAGAAAGGTTGTTTTCAGCTGCTCCAGAGAAGCGGACACGGAGCAATGGATCCAAACTACAAGAAAGAAGATTCCACCTAAACATTAGGAAGAACTTCCTGACAGTAAGAGCTGTTTGACAGTGGAATTTGCTGCCAAGGAGTGTGGTGGAGTCTCCTTCTTTGGAGGTCTTTAAGCAGAGGCTTGACAACCATATGTCAGGAGTGCTCTGGTGGTGTTTCCTGCTTGGCAGGGGGTTGGACTCGATGGCCCTTGTGGTCTCTTCCAACTCTATGATTCTGTGATACTGGGTAGATCGTAGTTTATTTGAAGTTGGTTTATTGCTTTCATTTTATGGATCAATGGTCTCATTAGATAGTAAAATTCATGTTGAATTGCTGTTTTAGGCGTTGTTTTTAAAAGTGGAACAGATTAATTCATTTTGCATTACTTTCTATTGCAAACCATGCCTTGGTTTTGGAACGCTTTGGTTTTGGAACAGACTTCTGGAACGGATTAAGTTTGAGAACCAAGGTACCACTGTACTGAAGGCTGCAGGAAGGAGACGTGCAGGAGGGTCTGAGGGGCTTGCACACCCCTCTTCCTATGCAATTGTAATTGTGTGTGGCAAGTGAGGAAGCAGGGGAAGGGTTATTCCACCACTTCTCTGGATTATTCAGTAACTCCTGAAGCAACACAATTTGCTGCCCTTGGGGGATGCTGACCTGCTCTGTCTCTGCATGAGTCCTGGAGGTATGGAATGCTTCATTCAGAGCCAGTGGATGGCTCTGTAGTTGGATAGTTCATTATATTCATTGCCATGATCCTACACTTTGTCGAAGGGAAACTCCCCTCTGGAGTAGAAATCATATATCTCTTTAATTTGAGCAGGCTGAAAGCAAAGAGTAAGGCTACTGTAACTTCCATCATAGAGCTGTGCACACACACAGTGTGCACGCATAGTGTGCGCACGCACAAAAGATTACCTCCAAACCATCCTAAATATCTTCGCAGAAGCTTACGAAAAGCTTGGCCTATCCGCTCAACATCCCAAAAACCAAAGTGCTGCACCAACAAGCACAAAATAGCCCCTCTGCAGTGCCACAAATACAACTTAATGGTGTAACATTGGAAAATGTCAATCACTTTTCCTACCTGGGCAGTTATCTTTCCATGAGGGCCGAAATCCAGCATTGCCTGAGCTCTGCGAGTGCAGCTTTCTTCCGATTTAAGGGCAGAGTGTTTGAGGACTAGGACATTCGCAGGCAAACGAAAATGCTTGTTTACCTTCCCACCGGAGCAGTACCTATTTATCTACTTGCACTTTGACGTACTTTCAAACCGCTAGGTTGGCAGGAGCTGGGACCAAGCAACAGGAGCTTACCCCATCACGGGGATTCGAACTGCCGACCTTCTGATCGGCAAGTCCTAGGCTCAGTGGTTTAGACCACAGTGCCACCAACAATTGGGAAATACTGGCCTGCAAGCACTCCAGTTGGATAACAGACTTTAGCAAAGGTGTCATGGGTTTTGAAGATGCTTGAACTCAGGAGGAAAGGGAGAAATGTGCTAAAAGGGAGGCACACTTGGCAAACCCTCACCATAATCAACTCCTGCCTGGAAACCTATGTGATCGCCAAAGAAGGCTAGTTCTTAGCTGCTCCAAGCTCAGAAAGCAAGTATTTCAAGATATAAGTCATTATGTAGGAAGCACTGGCCTAGATAGCTGGAATAGGGAGCAAGAGAGAAAGGAGCAAAGATTTGGACAGGGTGGCAACAAAAGTCAGTACCTAAAGAGCAGCCCTATGGGATTAGATCCGAGTGCCTTTAGTCTGGCATCCCATTGTGCAAAGTGGCCCCAAAGATGCCTCTGGGAAGCCCACCAGCAGCACAGGAGCACAATAGCAGACTCCTGTTCACAATCCCTAGCAGCTGATATTCAGTGGCATGCTTCTCCTGAGCCCAAAGGTCACATAGAGCTCTCATGGTCTCATCCAGGGCTTCCCAAACAGGAGTGTATGGACCACCCGTTGTCTGCGAGCTACATGCAGGTCATCTATGGCTTATCTGTGGGAGCAGCAGCTGCTTTTGCTGCTCTTAGAACCTGGTGGTCCATCTGGAACAGGGTGGTCCAATGTGTGGCCCTCCAGGCCTTTTCGGGTGGCCCTTGGCAACATTTGACACCCTCTCCAGGCCTTGTGCTGCCTTCCCAAGGCCCAGTACGTGAGGGGCTTTGGGAAGGAAGCTTGAGGGCTCTGACAGAGTCCTCCTTCGCAAAGATGAGTTTGTGCTTTCCCAGCTTTGGGAAGGAGGTAGGAGGGCTGCTGGACCCTGCCAGAGCCTTGTGCCTCCTTCTCAAATCCCTACCCGGCTCTGGGAAGGCAGCATGAGGACTGGGGAGGGTGTCAAAATAGTGTTTGCCTGCTGATGAAAGAGAAGCAGGGGAAGGGCAGTCCACCTTCTCATGGATGGAAGGAAGTTCTGTGACCGAGAAGGCCCTCTCTGATATCCTCATAAAACATGTCTGTGACCAGGAGAAAGGCCTCCCCAGAAGATCTCAAAGCCGAAGCCAGCTCATCTAAGGAGATCAAGTCCTTCTTTAGGACTTTGTAGGCCAGAGCCAGAACTTGGAATTGTACCTCGGAAGGGACCAACAGCCAGCGGAGCTGTTGTAACAAGGGGTTGCCATTCTCCTTGCAACAAGCTCCAGTCAGCAATCTGGCCACAACATCTTGGACTCCCCAAAGGTTCTGAAAACTTGCTGAAGGCAGCCCCACGCAGCTCGCCTGACAGTGATCCAAATGGGGTGCAACCAAGGCATGTGTTGCCATTTCTTCTTCTGTCTGTCCTGAATCTGCTGCTGTCAGTTGGCCTGGGTGTTGTGAGTTATGAGAAAAAGAGATTCATTTCACTCTTACCCTCTGTTTCTGCCATGCGTCTGGTTCACACATCACTTTGTTCCTCTGCCCTTGATGACTGACAGCTAAATGTGGCAGGCTGATTTCAATAGTCTTACACCCTGTGGAACTCAGAAGGGACTTGCTTCTGTGTGTGTGTGTGTGTGTGTGTCTAGATTTATAGATAGATATAGAATTGCACTCTGAACAACATTTCATTTGGGGTGATTGGTTGATACAAAAGTTATACGTGTAGTGAATGTTGGTGGCTCATTGATGCATGAAGATCATTGGCGGACGTCATGTTGGACTCATGAATTAACTGCTGAGTCCCATCGTTATCCCACATCCCTAGACATATATGTGTACCTTTATGTATCTGCATATAGGAGGACACTGCTGTTTTTTTGTTTCAAAATCTCCAGGGCTACGGAGGAGGGCTGGGATTAGAAAAACAGTCTCTGGATTTTACTAAGTAACCTGTCAGTTCTGCTGGTTTGACATAGCAAGTTTCTCTTGTCTTTCTGAATATTCTTCAAATGCTTCAACATTTCAGGAATGGCTTCTTTGCGTGGCGCTCCTGTAATTTTCTGTGGAGAGAAACTCTTTGGGTTTAGGGCAGATGGGGCTGTGGCTCCACAGGGGAATTCAAGCTATGCAGTCAGCTCCCTGCCCAGCTCTGGGCGTGTCCTGAGCAGGGTGGGGTGCTTTGCTAGAAACCCCCTCAGCCAAGAGCCCTGCTGGCCCAGACCACAGAAAACCCATCTGGGCCAGCATCCTGTTCTCACAGTGGCCACTTGGATGCCTTCCTCAGGGGGAAATCCCATAACAGGCTTTCAGGGGAGGCAATAGGTAGTGCAGAGCTGGCCCAAGGCTTTTTGTTGCCTGAGGCAAAGAACAAGGTGGCTCCTTGGAGATCCTTTCAAGAACAGCCTTTCTTTCCCCAACCTGGCACCCAGCTATTTTGGACTATAGCTCCCATTAACCTCTTGCTGGCTGGGACTGATCTGAGTTTGTAGTCCAAAACATTTGGAGAGCACCGGGATGGGGAAGGCTGCGTGAAGGTGCTGCAAGACTCTTGAATTGTGTATGCAGTTCCTGATGAGTGAATAAGGATCAGTTCAGGACAGACCATTCATTCTGCTAAACAGCTTCAAAAAAGTTGCTTCTGAAGCCAATTCAGGAAAAGGCTTTTGCAAAGTAAATTAAGGCAGCATCCAGCAAGCAAATGAAGCAAAGGATAATTGGCTGCCGGTGTGTGTGTGTGTGTGTGTGTGTGTGCGCGTGCACACACACCTCTGTGCCTGTGCCTTGTCAGACAGGCACTGACTCTTGGTGTGGATAAATATGAGTGGCCTTTTATGCATTGTCAAAATAACAGAGGGGGCACAGATTTGTCTAAAATGTGCATGTGCTAATTTGTATGTATGGGGTCAAATGTGGAAATAAATACGACAATGTAAATAGAAACAGGGAGGAAGGCTGTCACCAGGCGGACCTGGGTGCCTGCTCACTCTGCTGCCTAGGTGCAAACTACTAATGCACAGCTTTGAGACCCTGCACATCTCCCTTCTGTGGGTTGTCTCTCTTTAAACCTGACTGGAATTGGACAGTCCTTCCAAGAGAGGACTGTTCTCTGTTGCCCAGGACAAGTGCACCCCCAATGGTACCAGCCTCAGCTGTGAAACACTGGCAGATTGGATGGTACATCACACACATGTATTTTTCCTTCCAATATTCTTCCTGGCTCTTCGCACAGTTCCTTTCTTGTTTCCTTGTTAATAAATGTTTGTGTGTGTATTTGAGGCGGAGCATTACAATATAGAATTTCTGTTTCAGGTACCGAGATGCCATGGGCTTTACAAGTTATGCCACTAGCCTTTAACTATCTATGGTTCCTTAAAGTCAGTATCTTTCCTGTGTGAAGCAAGGTGTCTGCAGCTGTTCAGCCCAGGGGTTTTCTCAGAATAGTTCTTCATTGGTATATTTATCTATGCACATGTCCAGATGCCACAGATTCTGAATAAACACACTGGGCCGCTCCCTTAATATAAATAATAAAGACAATGTTCAACTCAGATGGGTTGACAGGTACCTTAGCAATTGCACACAAACAGGCAAAGTTTACCAGCAGCTTGGTGCACCCTGTGGTAATCTTCTGAAAAATCTTCTCCCTCCTGCTGCCAAAGGAAAAAAACAACAAAGTTTTGGAAATCCTGGGGAAACTGAGCTTTTGAGCAGGCCCAGGCAGTTCTTAAATCTGACATTGTAAATTGCAAAACTCACTTTTATAGCTGTAACAACCAGGAATCTCCCATGACATCTTAAAGGTGAGCAGATTTATTGTGGTGCCTGCATAGCTGATGAGGCAAAAGGGTTTGCCTCATCAGAAGTATCTTTTCCTTTCCTAGATGTTATCTAACACAGTGCTTTCTTCATTAGACAAGTGCTTTACAACTACTACTACTACTACTACTACTACTACTATCATCATTATTTATTGGGTCAGGGAAACTCTTTTGCACAATGTGATTCCCTGCGGAACAGTACAGAACATACCTGTAGGTACACTGAGATGATCTTTAGAGGTCCTTCCACCAGCTGGCCGTGGGAGAGAGTTTCTTACCCCCACATTGCCCCACACCAGGGGTGATGGGTTGGTGCCCACGTTCACGTCTTTCCAACACACAACCCCCAAGTTCCCCTACTCCTATGTGACTCAGGCCACAACCTCCCCACACATTTAAAGCATTATGCTGCCACTTTAGCAGTCATGGCTTCCCCAGACAATCTTGGGAACTAGTTGGGGAATCTGGTTCTAGATTTTAAGCTGCTTGGCGTGAGGACCCTTCCTCTCATTCCTTTGAAAAGAGCCATGTACATGGATAAGGCCGTATAAATAGGTAATAGTTCTCAAGCCGTGTTGAATTCTATGGATTGTGCTGCTTCAATTTTGTGCCTCTGAGTGTCCTGTTGTTTTAATTGTTTGATATTTACAGTCATCTCCAACTGATTTCTCCTCAGCGTTGACTCTTTTAAATTAATGGACCTAAGTTCGCCATGTCTATTAATTTCAGTGGGTCTACTCTGATGTAGAACTAGCTTTGGGTACAACCCTTGATGATGAGGTGGTTGTTTTGAAATCATTTTTGTAAGATGCCTTGGAGGTAGCAGTGCTGGTGGGTGTGCAAACATTTTTTCAACAAACACGTGAAGCCACCTGGTTGCTCCCTTTTGCTGTGCCATTCAATAAGTTAGCTTCATTAACTATAAATCCCAAAATCTGGGATCCCTTCAAAATTGGTGCCAAAGTTTTGCAGTCGTTTTTTCAGTGAAAACCCTGCGATTTGCAGCGCCCCACAAACAGAGCAATAGAACGTCAAACCTGGAGGTCACCCAAAACCCCAACATCATCTGAATCACCGCATACTGGAACCACGCTGGTTTGGAGTGAATTGGACAACATTGGGCTTTTGGGCGACCCTGTGGCCCCCGGGTTTGAGGGTCTATTGCTTCATTTGTAGGGTGATGCAAAATGCAGGGTTTTCGCTGCAAAACATTTGCCGAAGTTTGGTGCTGGTTTGGAGTGAATTAGACAACGTGGGGTTTTGGGGTGTTTACTACGAACCCTTGTTTGATGTATCAATTACTCCGCTTGTGGGGTGCTGCAAAACATGGGGGTTTTGCTGCAAAATGACTTCAAAAAATTGGCACCAGTTTCAAGGGGATACAGATTCTGGGGTTCATAATCAATGAAGCTAAATAAATTCCCTAAGTAGGCTTAGGCACTTTGATTTCCGCCTTGCTGCAACCTCGTTAAGTAATGACACAGGCAAATAGCTTGAGGGGAGTTGCTGGTTGCAAATTCTGCAGCTCCCCTATGAGTAAATGATGGGAATTTACTCAACATTCTACATACTACAGAACATACTACAACATTCTGCAAATGTTGATTTATTTTGAAAATTGATCGAACTCCTGTGGACTTGTGTAATTATCTATCTATCTATCTATCTATCTATCTATCATCTATCTATCTATTGTCCCTTGCTTTGAATGTTAAGGAGAATGGTTCTGATCTAGCCTCCTTCTTGATAGGTTAGAAGAAAAACTTATCTCTATCCATCACCTCCACACTGTTTGTCATGTCATAATCCCTTTATCATGTCCTTGGTTAGTCTCTCCCCCTGCCCCCGCCCCTGCCCAATACTTTAACCTACAGGTGGGCAACTTGTGAATTTTGGCCTAATTGTATGTGGGTGGCCCCAGCTACCCAATATACAGTCATTTACAATTTTAAAACATTTTATATAGTGCTGATATCCATGTACATGGCACTTCTGTAGAGGAATAACAAGATAATAGTCCCCTGCCCCAAGGAGCAAACACTTTCATTTTTGAAAGGAAAGAGGGTAAAAAGAAGGAAGAAGAATGCTGTCCACCACTAGGGTTTGCTGGGGAGAAATCTTTATTTATGAGCCATATTCTTTATTCTCTTGCCCCCTCACTCTCTTTCCCTAGAATCACTTGAAGATGACATGCCATTTGTGGCTGACATTTTGGAGGAGAATGTGCACCTAAAAGGCTCAGCTTCAGCAGAGAATGAATGGAAAGCAAAGCCTGCAGTCCCACACGACAATGAGGTGTTCACGGCAGAAAGCAATATTGGGATTGGCGTAGGTCCATCCATGACCCCATCTGCACCAAGGCCAGAGCCGTCCACGGAGCAGCAAATTGTGGAAGAAAGCGCTGCCCCAGAGAGGTCGGATCCAGACCTAGCTTCAGCAAGTGCTGTGCCCGCAGCAACTCAGGAAGAACAACAGGGGACGTCTTGGGGATGTGGAGGAGCACCCATTGAAGGGATTTCGGAAGCCAAAGCAGTTGGTGAGACACCTGTGATCAGCAAGAGTAAACTCCCCAGGGCAAGACCAGCTGCCCTCCTGAAGAAGATGGGAGGAGAGAACCCTGAGACCGAAACAGCCGCAGAGAGCTGCCCCATCCCCAAAGCCTCCTACCGCTTTGACCCAGAGGAGTACAACGAGAACACCAACCCCTTTGTGATTGGGGGCTCCAAGCTCCAGAACTCCCCCCCGGCACCCCAGCCAGGCTTTGCTCTTCCACACAGTGACCCCAAGGTGCTGGGACTGGGACTTGCTGGTGAGTCGCAGGGCCGGGCTGTGAAGCTTGAATTTGATTTTGCCGATGGTGTGGAAAGTGCAGAGTCGAAGAAAGCTTTGCCAAGGAAAGCCGGAAGGAAGCCAGCCAGCAAACTGTCTCCTAAGAAGCAAAGAGCTGGTGCCAACCGACCCACTGTGGGCACTGAGGGGGCAGAGAAAGCCCTTGCTGCAGATCCACCCGAGGTGCCCCTCCCCAAGCTCTCCCACCAGGTGGATGCCGTCCATTGGGATGGACCTAGTTGTAACCCCCTTGCAGGGAGTGTGGGCTTGCAGAGCTCGCCAGTCCTTCCGAGAGATTCCTACAACCTGGACGCACCTGATCCTTTCAAGCCCACCCAGACCTTGGCTGGCCCAGGAGCCGACTCCTGTCCCTCTGCGGAGAACAGTCTCAATGAGATATTGGAGCTGCAGACCCTGGAGGCCTGCGAGGGCGAAGAGCTGCAGAGTGGTTTGGCCTCTCCAAAGAAGCCCAAGTCCCGGCTGATAATGTGAGTGAGGACGGGTGGGGGGGGGTCTGGCTTTGCTGCAGGGTAGGACAGAAGCCCCATAGTTTACAAGGCTCTGGGCAGGGCCGAGCGTTTTCTGGACCCACCAATGCACCTCATCTAGCACCCCAAGGAAATTTCTTCACCCTGCTAGAATCCCCTGATTCTGGTGGAGGCAGCAAGAAATAAAAGCACAATGGCCCAGGGCTGGGCTGGGCAAGTTTCTTCCCCTCTGGCCAACCCAGCACCCCAAGGGTGCTGCATATTACCCACCCACACAGGCATCTGGTCCCTCAAGATGTTTTTTGTTACTGTGGGTTGTGGCCAGGTAACCTCTACTCAGAGTAGAGCCATTGCAGTTAAAGGACTAGTTTATATTGTCTATTCATTTCAGTGACTGAGTGTGACTAAGATTGGATGTAACCCTACAAATGGGGTTGGTGGAGTCTGTTAATATCTGGGGGTATTTATTACTTATTTATTGAGAGTATTTGCACCTGCTCTTCAGCCAAAAAGGCCCCTGGAGTGGCTTACATACAATTGAAATAAGACAGTCCCCACCTGCAGACTCACAACCCCATGAAAAAGACACACAAGGGGAAATGGGCAGGGAGGGAAGAGGGAAAAAACAGCCTCAAGCCCCAATTCTTGACTGTTGCTCTGATAAGGAATGGCCGGCCCAGTTCAGGAGCAGGAGGCACCTGGTGCAATGAGCCTCCCACTGAGGCAGCCTGGCAGAATGGCTGCCCCAGTTGACAGCAGAGAGGAGAGAAAGCCTGCGGGGGCTGCCCTGAGCTTCCCCTACCCCCTTGCTCTCCACAGAGTTTCTACTGGGATTCTTCATTTTTCCCTCTGGGGTGCAGGGAGCAGTGTGGTGACTGTTTTTCTCTCACTCTGAACTCTTCCAGGTATGGAGTTTTGCTGTGAAAAAGTCCCAGAAGCTCATGGGCTGCCCGGTTCCCTGGCCTGAATAAATATTTGCAGCTGGAGAGAGGGCAGTGTCTTGTTGTCTAGCTGCTCTAGGAGCATAAGGATGGAGGATGCAAGGGTGTCCCGTGGGCCCAGGGCAGTAGTCGCGAAGCTCTGTATTTGCAGGGATTCTAGCAAGATGTGGGGGTGCAGAGGGGCCACGAGAGAAACAGCTCATCGTTCCCAAATGCTACCACCCAAGCCTTGGGCCATTAAATAACCTGTGGCCTGTTCAATGTGGGGTGAAGGGGGACTGTTGTTATGACTGTTTCTTTTTTATGCTGTGTATTATGTTTTTATTATTATGCTGCGTAAATTATCTTCTTAATGTTGTAAACTGCCCTAAGATCTTTGGATAAAGGGCAGTATAAACATTGAATTAACAGCAACCACAACAGCTTCAGCAGGGATGGGAATCTCTGGCCTGGGGAATGAATGCAGTCCTCCAAGCCCTTGGGATGCCGCCACACACACACCCGGCCTTGCTTCACGTCCTCCTTGATTGCTTTTGCCTGGCTGGAATGTGTCCTTGAACTCTGATAAGGTCTCTTGCTTGGATGGAGGGAGGATTAAAAGCCTTGTGTAGAAACTAGCCTATTGGACAGAGGTAAAATTTGCATCCATTTCTCTGCCTGCCACTGAGAAAAGCTCTCCAGCCCTGAAAAATGGAGTGCAAGTGTGGGAATTGCCTGATCGAATGCTCCGTCCTAAGAGAGATTGTATGTGTATTGCAATTTAAATATTAAAGCTCCTTGCACACAGAAACCTAGTATAGTAGTACCTCAGGTTACATACGCTTCAGGTTACAGACTCCGCTAACCCAGAAATAGTGCTTCAGGTTAAGAACTTTGCTTCAGGTTGAGAACAGAAATCGTGCTCCAGCAGCGCCACAGCAGCAGGAGGCCCCATTAGCTAAAGTGGTGCTTCAGGTTAAGAACAGTTTCAGGTTAAGAACGGACCTCCAGAACGAATTAAGTACTTAACCCGAGGTACCACTGTATGCCAAGGGGAATGGTTTTAGCCTTTTCTTCATCCTGACATGTTAGTTTTCTATATATGGTGTACCTCACGAACTTCCTCTGTGGAGAATACAGCCCCCCCCCCTGCTGTGGTAGGATCCAGCAATAGGTTTTCCACATTTGTTTCCAGGGTTCTGGGTCCCTGCAGCAAACATAGGTTTTTAGATTCCAGCACTGAAAATTAGGAAAGTTCTTGTTTAAGAGAAGCAAAAGATTCCTGTCTCTTCAGGGTGCTGTGGAGCAGGGTCATCTCTCCACCTCTGCCAGGCTGAATAATCACTGGATGTCAGGATGAAGGTTAGTTGATGTGGGGCTTTGAAGTCTGGATGTGCCAGGATTTCAAAGCACAGGGTAGATTCTGAAAGCCCTTTTGCCAGCAGTCCCCTGCTGCACTTTAAACCTCCAGAAACACTGGGCTTGTTGCTTTCAGACAACCCCACACTGCTTTTGCCTGCACATGCCTGCTCCCAGCAGGGGAACTGGGGTGTGCAGCCAATGGAGCAGGATTTAACCCCAGCTCATCAGCATGGGAACTGTCATGCAGCCAAAGCAGAATAGAGCCCCTCCCACAGGACGGAGGTTCCCTAATCCTGCGATGGCCCCCTCGGCCTCTGCTTAAATGGCCACCTTCCCTGGGAGGTGAGGGGAAAGCACTCCCCCCTCAGGCCCCGAGCCAGCCCTAGCTGGAATATGAAACGATCAGAAAGCTGGTGACTTTGGAGGTGGGAAAATCTGATTCTGCCTGCGAAGCACAAACGCTTATTGTGCAGGAAACAAATCCTTTTCTCCTTGGGCCCTCCCAGCCCTTTGCTATTTACAGCTTCCATACAGTCTCGGGAGCCAGGGTTCCAAGGGCACTGGTGCCGGCCGGAATAGCCACAGGCCCCTGGGAGCAAGCAGACCCAAGGCCTTGGGGAGGGTGTGGTAGTGCTTGCGTCTTGCTGCATCTTCTTCTCCTGTAACGCACCAGGGTTCAGCAGGGACTAGCAAAGGGGTGAGCTCCAAAGCAGTTTCAGCCCTGACGAGATTTCTGTGTGTGAAGTGCTTCTGCATCCAAGAGAGCGCATGTATACCTGGTGGGAATCCTTGGTGGGTTGAGGCTCCCCTGCAAGCACACACCAGCTGTGTATGCCCACAATGCCAAACAGACAATTCTGGCTTCAAAAACCAGTTAGTGCACAAGTGGTCTGTGCTAGAAAAGGGTTTCCTTTGCAGCCACTTCACTGCTTCTTTCAGGTGAGTAGCAAAACAAGCCAGGATGCAGCTCACAACTATAGTTTCCTGCTACATGTAAACCTGGAAATTTTGGTTAATGGATTCAACACAAGCCGGGGTTGAAGCCATGGTTTGATACTGGCTTCATATCTTGTCTTCATTTGAAACTGTGGTTTCCAGGTTTTCATTCAACAGGAGACTATGGCTGTGAGTTGGGTCCTGGCTTGTTTTGCTACACAGGTGAAAGGAGGAGCCAAACAGCCTCAGAGAGGCTCTGCATCTGCAGAAAAGCTCATGCGCAAGTATTTTTGCCTTTGCATTGTGTGCAAACACGCCCCTCCCCCTATATACATGAAGCAAAAGATGCTTGGGCGTATGCGAGCATCACAACTTGGCCACATATGGCTCCTAGAAGGGCTCCACATGGAACTAAAACGTAAGAGTGTTGCTATGTTGGAAGGTGGTCTGTATTGTTCCAGCCCTAGTAGCGTGGTTGGCAATGCACAGTATTATGTAGAGGTTCAGTGCATGTCAGGAACTGGGATGTCCTGTAGGAAGAGGACAGATGTCATAGATGTTAAGCAGCTGTTCATAGCCTATGCAAATTAACAAATACAGTGGTACCTCTAGTTACATACTTAATTCGTTCTGGAGGTTCGTTCTTAACCTGAAACTGTTCTTAACCTGAAGCACCACTTTAGCTAATGGGGCCTCCTGCTGCCGCCGCGCCGTCGGAGCATGATTTCTGTTCTCATCCTGAAGCAAAGTTCTTAACCCGAGGTACTATTTCTAGGTTAGCGGAGTCTGTAACCTGAAGCGTATGCAACCCGAGGTACCACTGTATATGGGTAAAAACTTGGCAACATAGCCCTGCCTCTGAGTTATGCACTCATTTGTAAGGTTTCTGCACACCAGCAGCAAACATTTGAAGTTTTACATCTCTTCTCCGCATAGACTTTCCACTCATAGTATGACTTCTATATTTATCCAGGGAGAAAATATATATACTGAACACACACACACACCCCCACACCCCTGGGTCTTTTACATGTTCTTTTTCTTTTTCCTCTCCCTCCATCTCTCTACCTTTCTTTCTTGTCTGTTCATTTTTGGTGCATCAGGACTACAGAACAAGTGAAATTTCTCTGTTTTCTGTTGTAAGTACTCATTTCCTTTCTTTTTCTTGTGTTCCTCTTTGGGTTTTGGTGTTTTTGTTGATCTTTTCTCTCCCTCCCCCTCTCTCTCTTCACTGCATGCAGCTTCCTCGCCTATTTATTCTGAGATTTTTGTCTGTCTCTTGTCTCCAGCCTCCTCTTAGAAGACCATAATTTCACCTGGCAGCTTAGCTTTGCAGCAGAATGAGGCCAGGGAGATGGCTGGGCTGGCTGTTGTGGCACGCTTGCTTTCTATGGGTTTCCAAGGCATAACAAATTCTGTGTGTTTGCTGTGTGCCCCCCCCGCTCCCTCCCCCCAAAACATTATGGCTCTTCTTTCATTCCAAAGCCAAGAATTCATTTTTGGTTAGCCCACCTTTGTTCAGAAACAAATGTCTGGGTCTTCAGTAAAAAAAGCCACATAGTTTCAGAGAACATGGCCCTTCACAGTCTCTAGTGGGGAGCTTCAGCTAGCTCTTATCTTCCACATTGCAGAAATGGAAAACCTACAAACTAGGCACGGTAAAAGTTTCCCCAGAACAGAGTGGGGAGGATGTGGTCCTCAAGTCCCAGGTGTCATGGCCAACAGCGTAGGGAGTGACACCAGTTATCCGCCCTGCCATCTGAAGAGAGGCTGCAATAGGCGCCTTTTCTTGCTTTAGGAAAAAGGAGAGCCTGAGGCAGCACTTGGGGAACCTTCTTCATCCCAAGGGCCACCTTCTCTTCTGGGCAACGTTCTGGGGGCCACCTGCTAGCAGTAGGCAGGGATCAAGGCAGAAGTGGGCAGAGGAAGGACTGCCATGTTGATCTTTGTTTATAGGACCAGTTTCCACACACAGCTGGGACGCAAGAGGCATCGCTGCCGCTCCGGGACACCTTTGCCAGAGAGGGGTGTGGTCTACAGGGAGGGGCATGGCCTGGAGAGAGTCCCAAGGGCTACAGAGGCCACACTGGGCTCCTGGGCCTGAGTTTCCCCACTCCTGGTATAAGGCCAAGGCATAGATCCTCTATCAAATGCTGCACAATCCTGATGGAGATTTTCCCCATCACATTGGATGGATGGGCAGTTTCAGGGCAAACCAAAGTCAAGTCTTCCTTCATGTTGCTGTGGCAAGATGACTGTGAGGGCTAGAAGCTTAGAAAGGGGGATTAGATGCCTATGGGGTGGGTCTTACTGCATGACGCCTCCCTGATCAGAGGCAGCAAGTGGATGGCAGCTTCTGGGCAGCCGTGGCAAGAGGGGGCTCTTGCTGTCCAGCTTCATTGGTGGGTTCCTAGCACTGTGTTCAGTTCTTTATGGACCTGAGCTGCTTTGGGAGGCCAGTTCTGTATGAAAAGCAGAACGAAATCTGCCCAGCCTCTGGCATAAGTCAGGCTTCCTGGCTTATCATGGTGTTTCTGTGAATGAGCTGCCTGCTGGTGCACTCTGCCTACTCTCGCCTCCCCTGGCAAGAGGCGCTGTGCCCATTACATCTGAATGGGGTATCATGATTTGCACAGGGATTCGCAGGCAGAAGCAGCTCTCCTGCTCCTGGGGAAAGCTTTTTGTTCCACTGTGCTTTCCTCTTGTGCCCTTTCCCGCAGTGGCATCACTTGGCTTCCTCTTCCAAGTCCACAGCAAGAAAGAAAATCTGTAAATGCCGCCACATCCATGGTATTGTTCCTCTGCTTCTCCTGGAAAGTGTTAGTCCACTTGGACTAGATGATCCTTGCGGTCCCTTCCACCTGTACAATTCTGTGGTGCTATGATTTCAGTTTCAAACATTGTTGAGCCAAAGTCATTACAAGAGGCAAAGTTAACTTCTGAGATGCTTTAGCAAGAGACCAGTAGCAGCGTAGGAAGGTGCCTTGTATCAAATCAGATAATGGATCAGTCTAGCTCAGTATGACAGTCTTCTCTGACTGTCAGCAGATCTGCCGATATTCAGGAAGGACTCTTTCCCACCCTACCTGGAGGTGCTGGGGGTTGAACCCAGGGCCTTCCTGCATTTGACAAGTACTGTGCCGCTGAATCGTCACCCTTTCCCCAGCTGGAAAAACTGACTCTGCTGCTTAATATCCAGGATTGGCTGAGTTGGCAGCAGACCTGTGTTTGCCCTTGTGCAAAACGGCTTTTAAGTGTTGGCTGTTTCAGAGTCTATGGTCTTTTGAGCACAGTAGCCGTTGTGTTGGTCTCTCCCTTCTTCTCTCCCCACCTCCTGCTTTAAGAAAGAACATGGCCTTCCCTGCTCAGGGCTGAGATCTGCTATGCCAACAACGTGGGTGCCAATTCTGGTCCTGGCATCTGGTCCTGCCTACTTGCCTCCCTCCCTGACTCCTCAGCTCCCTACCCCACACCCAATAACAGAAAGTCCAACGCTGACCCCGTCCTCCCTTTCTCTCTGCAGGAGTGGCTGCAAGGTGAAGAAATACGAAGCACCATCCCTGGTTCTCGATGTCTGCTCCCAGGTATGGGGTAGCCAAGAACTGCCACTTGCTCCCCACATTCACAGGAGAGAAGGCCCACACGATGGCTATAGTCTCCCTCCACTGTCAGAGGCTGTGCACCTCTGGGGGGGTTGGGGGAGAGCCGTGGCGCTCAGGTCCTGCTTGCAGGCTTCCCTTAGGCATCTCCTGGGGGGGACGTGAGAGCAGGAGGCCGCATTCAATGGGCCACTGGCTGGATCCAGCAAGGCTTTTCTTAAGTAGTAATCCATGTGGAAGAGCTTTGGATTTGGAGAAGGGTTCCTTGCACAAGCAGCCGGGGACAGGTGCACCTTCCCTTCCAGAGTTGGCATCCTTGGGACTCTGCCTGGGCCCACGTCCCTCAGAATTACTCTCTGCTGTTCCTGCCTCTATCTGCCCTCTTCCTACTGTCCAAAAGGAGACAAGGGAAGAAGAAGGAATGGCAGTTTTTGCTTGCCTTGCTCTTTCCTGCAGGGCAGCGGAGCCGATGGAGCACAGGGGAAGAGGGCAAATGGCAAAGAGGGGAATCCACTCAGGGAACGGTCCACACTGAGAGCATCTTAAGAACCTAAAGCAGACCCTGGAATATAGGCTGAGTCAGACCATTGGTATTGTCTGCAGTGGCTCTCCACCAAGCTACGTTGGGAGCCGCCTTCTGCCAGAATAGGCTACCTATCAGCTCCAGCACTGGCAGGAGCTCTCCAGTCTTCCAGAGAGGGGTCCCCCCGCCCCCAGCCTGCACAGGAAGAACCAGAGCCTTGTTTGAGATACAGCATGAGCCGTACCACTGAGCCACGGCCCTTCCCACGGAGGCATCCGACTGCCTGCCTGTTAGGAAGACAAGAGCTGCAGGCTAAATTAACTCTTTTTCCAGAAGCTTTTTTAAAAAAGAATAATAAAAAAAAATATTTATTTATTTATTTAAACAAGAATGTACACCTCAGTTGCTCACAAGAACCGGGGGGTGGGGGGAACGAATGAAAACTAAAATTAAACATGCTCATACAAAGCACAAATCTGAGTTGTTTCCTTCTCATTTCCCCCCCCCCTCATTTCCCCCCCCCCCCATTATTACTGGCGTTGAGAAGTGGCAGCATTTTTTAAAAAAAAATTGATTTATTTAAAAATATCAGGATATTGTCTTTGAGATCTTGTGATATTCTCACTTTAAAAGGTTACTAAGAATTCCAAATAGAAGCATATTTGAACATTTCAATCATCATTAATATATGAAATACATTTTGCCATGTACCGTATCAAGAATGAATCTTTTTTAGAGGGGTGTCCTCTGGTGTACCTTAATTTTCAAGTTTGCTTTTCAGTGTATTAGCTATGGACCAGATTTGACTCTACCAGATAGCCTTATTCAACCCCCCTAAATATTTTCATTTTCTTGCAAGAACCATTTTGGTGGCTGACAATAAATATAGAATCAATTCAATGTTTTAAGAAGCTGGAAAGTGAGAAGGAGTGGAATGGAAGGCACAGACAGCTGTCCCTGGGCACTTCCAGATTCCTCCCCCCGATTAATGTTATCCAAGTCCTGGGCAACGGGCTGATCCCTGTTTAACTGTCTCCTTGCTTGTGCAGGACAAAGAGGAAGCCGTGCTTGCCTCCAAAATCCCAGACCTTTCCAACCGAGATGGGCATGCCACTGACGAAGAGAAACTGGCTTGCACATCCTCCAGTCAAAAGGCAGCGGACTTGGAGGCGAAAGGTGAGCCAGAGGAAGACCTGGAGTACTTTGAGTGTTCCAATGTTCCTGCGTCTGCCATAAATCATACGTTTTCATCCCCAGGAGAAGGTACGAAAGTCTCTCCCTCTCTGTTTCACGCCCCCTTGTCTTAACCTTTAACCTCCCCATCCTATGCCCTCCAAGTATTTGGGACTACAGCTCCCAACAGTGCTGGCTATTCTGATGGGAATTGCAGTTGCCAACACCTGGAAGGCTCCAAGGGAAGAAGCGGCACTGGGGGAACGTGTGTGTGTTTCTTGAGAGGACTGTCAGCTGATAAATGGATTTTGGGTCAAATAGGCACCTGCCATTTTGAAAGAAACTGTCTTCTGTGTGTTCACTCGGATGTAAGCCCTGCTCTATTTGATGGAACGCTCAGTCCCTAGCAAGTGTGTTTAGGATTGTAGCCTTAATTCCAGTTAAGTTTCACTTAATGTGCTTATCACCAAAGCCCATGTAAAGGTGTCTTTTTGAGATTGGGAAGCAGACATCTAATTTCATGGCCATGCATTCACTCACCACCACCACCCCCATTGCTAATTTTGCACTCTTGGTGTAAATCTCCTACCCCCAGTGAACTTCGCTTTATCATGAAAGTGCCTGTTCACACCAGGAGAACCTTTTCTTCTAAGGCCAATTGCAGTGAAGGGGGGTGTCGAAATTACAGCTGGGGAGAGAAGACTTTCTCCTCTCTGGGTGCTGCGCTCTCAGTGAACAGGAGGGGCTCCCACATGTATTGGTATTAAACTTTAGGACAGAGGAAGAGGCCTTCTTCCAGTGACCGTTGGTTCATTTAACCCCGTATTGTGTGCCCTGACTGGTAGTGGCTTTCCAGGGTCCCAGGCGAGGGTCCCTCCCAGCCCTGCCTGGGGATGCTGAGAATCCAACCCGAGACCTTTGGCATGCAGTGCAGATGCTGTGCCCCTGAGCCCTTCCCCTTTTAAACACCCAGACATGGTTGCTGACCCTGCAACTGGAGTAGCACCAAGTTTGTCCCTAAGCCAGTGTACTGTGTAATTATTAGGTGGCTGGACATCTTTTATGTTTTCCACATTAATTTTCTGGTAGGGCTATGTAGCAAAACCAAAATGGCCTACTAGAAAAAGAAAACTGAAGAGGGGAACCTTTAACCCTGATTAAAATTTATCTAGTCCGATTAATTAATTAATTAATTAATTAAAGCTTTTTGTAATCTACTGATTTAAAACTATTGAAACTTCCTCACCTTGTAGACTCTCTTTCATTAACTACAGAACCATCCTCATTCCATGCTTTGCTAGATTTTATATCTCAAAAGCATTAGAAAAAGCTCTAAATGTCTCTTTTTGGTGGGTGGCAAGAGAAGGAACAAAGCCTGGAGCCTTACTTATCTCTGCATTTGACAACAGTGTAAGCAATTACAGGAACATGTTCAGCATTTCCGAAGCAGAAGGACTGAAGTCTGTGCTTATCAGCTATGAGCATAGAATTCAATCCAGCGAGGAGTTCACTGGCAAAGCAGACCCCTGCCTGCAGGCCAGTTGACATATGACCTCATGGTGGTCTCAGATGATTGGCAGGTAGATGGCCCTGCCCAGCTGCCAAAGTTGACATGTGCAGCAAGGAGAGAGAAAGATCTGACCCACCAGGTTCTCCACTCCTGAACTAAGTGCTGGATCATTCCATGTCAAGTGATCAAATGCCTTTTATCTCACCATTTCATACTGCTTTCAGTTTCAGTTTTCTAAAAGTAGTCTAAGAGAAGGTCCCAGGTCTCAGTTTTTAATTTTTTATCTCATCCTGTTTTTAGTTATGAGGGAATGTCAAAAAATGGACAATTTTGGCCTTGCCATGCTACATAAAAACCTTTAAAGCTCAGCCCAGAATTGTGATACTGTATTTCAAAACTAAAAATACTAATCTCTTCAGATCTTCATGGGCTTTAATACGATATGTCACACGATGGGCTTGCTTTGAATTCTAAATTTAAGTTTCAAAATTTAAAAAGTCATTAAAAATTAATATGATTAAAAATTTCCTAAGTAATGTATTGATTACACCATATTTCTAAGAGTTACTTGCAAAAATTCATCTTGGGATCTCAATGTGATCACATTAAAAATATATATATATTGTACATACATGTCTGCCTTATTGGGTTCTATTTAGGATAAATGGGTCTTCTTGGAGTAAAATATAGCAGAATAAACAAGATTTCAAACTATAATATCAGTTCCTTCAGGCATTTCTTTAAAATGTTATTCCATTAAAAGGAATCTGAAGAGCCAGTCAGGCTTTTCTTTTAACGGTGTGTTCCAAGGCGGAGGGATCTTTTGTTGTTGTTGCAGGATAGAATTAATGCTTTGAAAAAACTCTTGTTAGCTTGTGGGTTGGCTTGCTTGAAACAAACTATGAGTGATAACCCAGGACAAAATTTGGCTGCAGTTTGTTTGGCGTGAGACAAACCGTAAGCCTCGGTTCACATGGCCCACTAAGCAAAAATACGACCCACAAGCTATAGCCAAGGTTGGTTCTTGGGTTCATAGTATGTCCTGAGTGAGACAAACCACAAGCTTTGGTTTGCATAAAACGCAGAGCAAAACCATGGCATAGATCCCCAAAGGCCAAAGCCCCATGGCTGAGTCCAAGGGGCTTGAGGAGCATTCTGAGGCAACTGGAGATGGCATTTATTGGCCTAGCTGATAAGAATAGAAGAAAACACATGAAACTTGTTTCGATTAGCTTTGGCTATTATGATGCTTGCATTCTTGTTATTCTGGGGAGAGAAAACAGCTGCTGCTAAGAACCACATGCAAATCTCCACAGGGTGTGATGCCCCATTTCATGGAGTGGAGCAAAATGACAGCTGTTTTTCCTGCAAAGCAGTAACAACAAGGAAGGGAGAACAGAGAAGAACAAAAACTAAGTCACCCTATTCTGGCACTTCTTATTTTCTGCAATTTTTCAATGTTAGTTTTTGCATGTCGAGGAATTCACACAAAATCTTACTATCTGAAGCAGAAAAGCTAAGCAGCAAGCCCCCCTTCTGTTCTGCTAGTCGACATGTGCTATGATCTGCAATGAAGTTTTCCTGCGCATGCCTCATTGAAATGAATGGAGCTGCACAAGAGCAATGGATTGTTTCCTTCCCCCATCCCTGCACATCCATGTGTTATTCAGATCCTAAAAGCACAAGAAGAGCCTGGCTAGATCTGTCCAGCATCCCATTCCCAACATGCCACCCAGACGCCTCTTGCAGAAGCCCACCCCAAGCAGGAGAAGAGGGCAAATGCTCTTTCCTACTGTTGTTCCCCAGCGACTGGTATTCAGAGGCATCCAGCCACTCAGACCTTGTACTCCATTGGCCCAGCTGGCTGCAGCAGATGGAGATGGGAAGTCTCACAACATCTGGAGCACCACATCCCATTGACATGGAGGTGTCTCAGGTTACCTGCAGAGGGTGAATGGCTTGGTTCAAGGTCAGGCTTTATGACTGATCTGGGATTCCGACCGAGCATTTTATTGTAACCAATTATGCAGCACTCTTGGCTTCCTCATTGTCGAGCATCCTCCAACCTTTCTCTCCTAGCCCCCTCTCAGGCTCTGACATTGATCCGAAGGGCTGCTTCACACATTACAGGAAGCTGCATGCAGGCTTTCATAGCATAGCTAATCTTGGTTCTCTGGGGCTTAGATTTGCATGCTGCAAGCACTTCCAAATGTTTCCAGCAGCCACATTCTTGCTTTATACACACAGCAGATGTACATCAAAAAGGGGGGCTGTAATTCTGAAGGAAGAATGTGAGGAAGCGCTTCTCAACATCTAAAATGTGAAGGATGGGCAGTGCAGTGCACACCCAGTGACTGCCAGAGAAGAGGTCTGTTGGATCCCAGCCCTTTCCCTTCTGTAGGGTCTTGGCATTGCCAGGGACATTCAGGTGGCCTCCCAGGATCTCTTTAGGCAGTTTCCTAGGTTGTCCATTTTGCAAAATTGCCCAGCTGGAGAAGGTGTCTGTCCTTCCCATCCTCGGTCATTGAGCCACTCCAAATGAGGGCCACTTCACTCAAGTGTCATTTGTGAAAAACATCAGAAAATCATCCCAGATCTAACAGCTCAGCTGGTCCTTTCATGTCATCCAGGATCTCCACAAGTGTTTCACATCTGACCGAGATGAGATAGACGCTCAGTTGTTGAGCTGCCAACTAATAAAAGAATCAAGTGCAGGGATGAAGCAGGGAGGGCCCCAGCTCACTGAGCGAGCACATGCTTTCCATACTGAAAGCTCCAGGTTCAATCCCAGGAGTCTCCACTTAAGAAGGCACAGGTAGATTAGGTGATAGGAAAGAGCCTTCTCTGCCTGGGACCCTGAAGAGACACTGCCAATCAGAGTAGACAGCAGTGGACTGGATGGACAAGTATTCTGGCCGGATATAAGGCACCTGCCTAGGATCTGGGCTGGATCTACACTGATCTCCTAAACGTATTGAAAAATAATGTAGAAAACTGCTTAATAGCAGTTTCCCACTGCTTTTGGCTTGCTGGTGTGCAGCGCCCTCTGGTGTCACATTTTAATAACACATTTTTAACATTATAAATGACAAGTGTAGATCTGCCCTTGGTGACCCTTAGAGTCCTTCCTATCAGGACAGGTCTGATCCCTGCATATCAGTTCAAAGCATTGGGTTTATCTGCCCAAGACCCTGGAGAAGTGGTGCTTTTTTACTTGTCCTGAATTTTTGAACATTCTACTTCCCTGGATGTCCAGGAGTGCTGGTGTGATGAGAGAGGGAGGCAAGCTTTTCTGTATCCCAGTTCTCCAAGCCATGCATGATTTTATAGGCTCCTCCTCATTAGTCTCAGTGTTGCCCTTGTAGAACTCAGCAGGGAAGAGGATCACAATGCGTTGACTCTCCCTGTCTTTGGCTCTGGTTCCCCCTAGAGTTGGGCCCCCTGCTTTCCACCCCCATCAGTCACAGCGGGCACCAGCCACCACTGCCCTGGAGAGCCACTGCCAGCCAGAGCAGATAAGACTGAGCTGCATGCTCAAATAGCCGAACCTGGGATGAGCTATCTTCCTCTGAGCCGATGCAAGGAAGCACAGGGGGGAAATCTTCCAGGTGCAACTTTGGCATCCCATAGTCTTAAAAATAGGGGTTGGGTGGGAGGGCAGGAGAGTCTCGACTCAGAGAAAAGGGCTTCCACTTTCTTCTTCCAGTCATCACCACTGAGACTCCAGCAACCAGTGTGTGACCCACTTATTTCTTCTGCTTTAGGTTTTGAGAAGGACACATCGTTGAGCAAGGTGGCGGAGAGGGGCAACCCTGGGGATCCCTTGGTAAGCACAAGAGCAGTTTCTGCCCTCCATTGAGCAAAGAAATGCAGTGGCTGCACCCGTAGAAGCCGTGGATCTTGCTCTTCACCTGAATGCATTGCAGCAAGGGTTCTTTCACCCCTCCCTTACTTTTGAATATATGTGGGGTTGTTTCTGCTGAAGCACGGAACAGCCACAGGTGGCATTGCTGGCTAGTGAATCCTGCCTGGGAAGGACCTCTGGTTTCTTCTTTGTTGTGTGGGTGTATATGCATGCATGATTTCTCTGACTTTGCCTTAGAGCCAAACTATGCATGATGCTATAAAGGGCACTTGGTAGCTACGCTTGGTAGCCTATAAAGGGCACTTGGTAGCTTCCTGCGTTGCAGGGGGTTGGACTAGATGACCCTCGGGGTCCAACTCTACGGTTCTATGATTCTGTGCTTACTTGGATGTAAGTTACATTGAGTTCAGGGGAGCTCACCTCAGATAGCAGGTTGAATTATGCAAGTGAATACAGTTGCACACATTTTGCAATGTACACACACCTGACTAATTTTGTTGACAGCTGCCTTTTTAAGGTTGATGCTTTTGTGCAGGACTTTTGGGTGGAGTGGAGAGCAAACTACACAAAAGTTAGGTGTGAAATGTGAAAGAGCAGCTTCAGAAATTACCCTGGAAGCACCAAAAGAAGTTGCATAAGATAGTAACACATCTCCGGGGGCGGGGGGGGGTATTAATTATACCTCAAACCTCTTTTAGAGATGGGGAGTTTATGTGGTCCCAAACAGCAGGGCCAGCTTATGACATTTTGCTGCCTGAGGCAAAGGACAAGACCACAGACTCAAGAATTGTACAGTTGGAAGGGACTCTGAGGATCATCTAGTCCAACCCCTGCAATGCAGGAATAGGCAGTTTCCTCATACAGGGATTGAACCTCATTTTAGAATCCGAATTGTAGAGTTAGATACAGCCCTATATGGTTGATGTATCAGCACCTTGGTGCTGCCCTGGCCATCTTTGCTGCTTCTTTTTCCTAAGCCCAGTTTTCCTGGCCAGAGCCCTTCCCCCTCCTTTGACATTTCCCCCTCCTCCTCAGACTTTCCACAGGATTTTAGACTTCAAAGACCCACAGATTTGCCCCCCATCATCACTTTCCAGAAACAATTGAAGACATTTTTGTTCCAACAACCTTTCCCAGATGGATGGCTAGGGATCTCTGCTGTGGGTCTCAATTTTATGTTTGTGTTTTAAATTGTATTCTATTTTTGGTGTCCTTTTAAATAGTTGTTTTTATTATATCTTTTTCCATTTCCTTGAAATATATATGTGGAAGGTGGTTTATAAATTCTGGATTGTATCCAAAGTTGCACTGAGTAACATGTTCCCATCTGCTTGGAACTCTTGTTTGGACCACTGGAATCGGGGTAACGAGTTCAGGAAGAACTTTCCCAGTTCGAAAGGGATGGCTGGTTTTTGTCTTGACGCAGTCCTTCTTTCCACAGGGAAGTTCTGAACTATCCTCTGGGGAAAAGGCCTCTGGAACTGCACCCCATGAGACGCCAGGGAGTGCTGAAAGCCCCCTAGATGCGATTTGCCTCAGTGAATCCGATAAGATGGCAGTTCTGACTCTGATCAGAGAGGAGGTAAGAGCTGCACGGGGGGGGGGGGGGCATCAGGATGTCAACCATGTAAGGCTCATTGGTGGTCTATGTTTCTGGAGTGTGTGTTTTGAGTATGTTAATTTAAGTCACTTAAATAATGAAGACAGTGTTCGGAGGGGAAAGAAATCCTTTTCTTTCCCCAAATTTTTTTATTCATTTTATAACACAAATAAAAAACACAAACAGAAAAAACAAACAATACAAACAAATTCTTGTCATATCCTTATTTTTCTAAACATTGTTAAGTGGACTTCCCCAAGTCCCACCTATTTGATTTTCATTTTACTTCATCTTTGGCAGTTTACATATATCATAATTTCTAACCATCTTTTTCCCCCCACGCTTACTTTAACCATAAAAAACTTCACATTTTATCACTTATAAAATACAGTATCATCTTTCTTCTAACCCTACCCACTTCCAAAGCTATTCTAAGATTTAAATATTAACATTTTTTTTCAAATATTCTTTAAACTTCTTCCAATCTTCTTCCACCGTCTCTTCTCTCTGGTCCTGGAGTCTCCCAGTCAGTTCGGCAAGTTCCATATAGTCCATCATCTTCATCTTCCATTCTTCAATAGTTGGTAAATCTTGTTTCTTCCAATTCTTCGCTAGTAATATTCTCGCAGCTGTTGTGGCATACAGAAAAAAAGTAAGATCTTTTTTTGGGATTTCACCCCCCACTATACCAAGTAAAAAGTTTTCTGGTTTTTTAATAAATGTGTTTTTCAACACTTTTTTCAATTCATTATAAATCCTTTCCCAGAAGTCTTTTACCTTGGGGCACGTCCACCACATGTGGTAAAAGGTTCCTTCTTTTTCTTTACATTTCCAGCATTTATTATCATGAGTATGATACATTTTTGCTAACTTCACTGGTGTTAAATACCACCTGTACATCATTTTCATCAGATTTTCTCTTAATACATTACAAGCTGTAAATTGGATTCCTTTTTTCCACAATTTCTCCCAGTCCACCTTCATAATATTGTGCCCCACATCCCTAGCCCAATCCATCATCACAGATTTCACTTGTTCATCTTTCGTATGCCATTCCAGCAATAAATTATACATTTTAGATAGGTTTTGTATTTTTGTGTCTTGTAATTCCGTTTCCAGTTTGGATTTCTCTGTTTGAAAACTGATTTTCTTATCCATTTTCAACACTTCATTTATCTGGATGTACTGGAACCAATCATCTAATTTATCTTTCAACTGATCATAAGATTTTAATCTAAATTGGTCCCCTACTTCCATCAAAATATCATTATACTTCAACCACATATCTTTCATATTCAACCTTTTATGGGTCTTAGATTCCAATGGTGATATCCACCTGGGTGTTTTCCTTTCTAACAGATCCCTGTATCTTATGCAAACATTGTATGAAGATTTTCTAATTATATGGTTTTTAAATCCTTTGTGGGCTTTTATCTTATCGTACCATAAATATGCATGCCAGCCAAATACATTATCAAAACCTTCCAAATTTAGAACATCTGTATCTTCCAATAAACACCATTTTTTCAACCAACAAAAGGCTGCAGCTTCAAAATAGATCCTTAAGTCTGGCAGGGAGGAGTCCCCTCTCTCTTTCACATCTGTTAATAATTTAAACTTAATTCTGGGTTTCCCCTCCTGCCAGATAAATTTAGATAATACCTTTTGCCATTCCTTAAAACAATTCAAATTATCAATGATAGGAAGTATTTGGAACAAAAATATCACCTTAGGCAATACATTCATCTTTATCGCAGAAATTCAGCCCAACAAAGATAGTTTCAACCTTGTCCAGATATCCAAATTTCTTTTGATATCTTTCCATAACTTTTCATAGTTGTCTTTATACAAATTCAAATTTTTTGCAATCATATTTACACCCAGATATTTCACCTTTTTCACAAACTTCAGCCCTGTGGTTTCCTCTAAATTAAGTTATTCATGTTTCGTTAATTTCTTTTCTAAAACTTTGGTTTTATTCTTATTCAATTTGAAACCTGCAACTTGTCTGAACTCTTGAATTATCTTCAGTGCTTGATTGCACTGATCTCAGGGTCCTGTAAAGTCAATACCAAATCATCAGCAAAGGCTTTTAACTTATATTGTTTAGTTCCCACTACTATGCCTTTAACTTCCTCATCCTTCCTTATCATGTTCAACAGCACCTCTAGGACAGAAATAAAAAGCAGGGGGAAAAGTGGGCACCCTTGTCTAGTTCCCTTTTCAATCCTAATTTCTTCTGAGACCACATTGTTAATTATAATTTTTGCTTTCTGCTCAAAGTAAATTGCATTAATACCATTTTAAAAGTTTTGACCGACCCCCATATTACATAAGTTCTGCTTCATAAAGCTCCAAGAAACATTATCAAAGGCTTTCTCTGAATCAATAAACATTAACATTGCTTTAGTTTTCCTTTTTACCTCTAATCTTTCCAACACATCCACTATGTTCCTAATATTATCTTTCATATGCTTCTCAGGTAGGAAGCTTGATTGATCTTTATGTATGTGCTTATTCAAAACCTTCTTCAATCTTGTAGCCAAAATATTTGCAAATATTTTATAATCCACATTTAACAAAGAAATTGGTCGGTACCGTATTTTTCGCTCTATAACATGCACCTGACCATAACACGCACGTAGTTTTTAGAGGAGGAAAACAAGAAAAAAATATTCTAAACAAAACAGTGGATGTATGATTTTTGTGGTTCATGCTGTGGCCACAGACATGTTATCTGACGGTGAGTTTGGGGTAGCCCAATGCAAAAATCCTGAGGGTCCATGTGGATCCATGCTTTGTAACCATGTTTTTACGCCATTGCGGCCCCACGAAACAGTGGGTGCGTGTCTGTTTTTTGGTGCAGGCTGTAGCCATGGACATGCTATGTGATCTGATGGTGAATTTTGGGTGACCCAGTGCAAAAATCCTGAGGATCCATGTGGATCTGTGCTTTGAAACCACGTTTTAAGTGGGGAGGGAAGGAAAAGCACTCAAGGGACAAGGAGCACGCGTGGGGTGTGTGGAGAAGGAGCTTTTCGGGGAGCTGAGCGGGGAGGAAAAGAGCACTGTTGCTTTAAAGGTATACTTAAGGTATTTGCCCTGTGCCTGGGGTTTTTTCCATTTAACAGTTTGCAGCCTGTTCCTTCCGCTCCTTGTTTTGAGGCAGAATAGATTTGAGCAAGTGAGGAGGACTTGGATTGCAGGGGATTTGCCATTAGCTGTGTAAAAGCGCTCCTCCTTGCAGCCTTCTACTTTGTTTGTACATGTGGCTACTGGTATCAGGTTCAGTTTGAGTGATAAGCAGCCACCAGCAGCAATAGAATGGAGAACAAAAAGGCGATAGGGGCACTAGGACCCAGACAATGCTCTAATCTATCCTGCCTGAAAACAGCTGAGAAGCGGGGGATTTGCCTAGTTTTCCCCTCTCCCTCATCCCATGCCTTCCCCATCCTTTTTTTTTACTTCCTGGTTTTTACTGCACTCGTGGCTCAGAGCTCCAGGTTGGTTTTTTTTTTGTTTTTGCTGCTGGTTGCTTAAATTTTATCCTTCCTGATCCAAGCCCTTCTGTGCCCTGCTGTCCCTCAGCAGCCTCATTGCTCTGTTTAGAGAGCGCGCGGACCTTTGCTAGCTGAGGCTGCAGCAGCTGTTGCTGGCTACTTTAAAAGCACCTGCTGGCTTTGAACCGCCTGCCTCCTCCCGGCTCGCTATGGCTCCCGTCTGTCCCTCCTCCCATGTAAGCGGCTGCTGCCCGCTTTGCTGCCATGGCTCTCCTTCCCTCCCTCCTCCCCGGCTCCTCCGTAGGTCACTTTAAAGCAAGCAAAGCGAGAGCCTCGTAGAGCGTGTAAGCGGCTCTCACTTTGCTTACTTTCAGAGAGCCCCTCCTCCTGGCTGTAAAGCAAGCAAAGCTAGAGCCGTGCAAAGCCCTGCAAGCGGCTCCCACTTTGCTTGACTGACGGCAGCCATGACTCTGATCCAGTGCATTCGCTCCGTAACACGCACAGGCATTTTCCCTTACTTTCTAGGAGCAAAAAAAGTGCGTTATGGAGCGAAAATTACGGTAATTCTTTACTTGAGCTCTATTTGTGTCTGGTTTGGGTATCAGAGTGATGAATGCCTCTTTCCAGGACTCGGGTGCTTTGTCCCCCTGTAATATTTTGTTACAAACATCCATCAAAGGTTGTATCAACCAATCCTTAAATATTTTATAATACTTGGATGTTAAGGTCCCGGTGCTTTGCCTATTTTCATTTGGGCAATTGCCCCTTCAACTTCTTGTCTTGTAATCCATTCATTTAGTAGGCTCTTTTCTGCAATCTATTTTTGTCCAGAAACTGTTCCATTTTTTTTCCTTTTCTTCTTTTTCCTTTTTGTAAAGTTGCTTGTAGTACTTTTGAAAACATTTTCTAATCTCTGCTGGGTTCTCAATATTCTTACCATCCTCCATAATATTAATTATTGTACTCTCCTTCTGTCTCTTTTTCAATTGCCAAGCCAGTAATTTTCCGCATTTATTTGCCAATTCAAAGTCTTTTGTTTCATCAATTTAATTTTCCATTCAATTTTTTGGTTGACTATTTGTGAAGACTAAGATTGTAATGCCTTAATTTCCTTTTGAATCTGTTGATTTTTTGGGTTACATCTCAGTTTTTTCTCTTTCTCCTTTCATTGAGACAGAATTTTTTCCTTTTTCTCATTCTGTGCTTTCTTCCTGATAGAATTCTGTTGAATCAAAAAACCTCGCATTACCACTTTACTTGCATCCCATACAACCCTTGCTTCAATTCCAGGATTCAAATTCAACTCAAAATAGTCCTTTAGGGTCTTCTGAGCTTTATTTACAATCAAATCATTTCTCAGTAAAGCATCATTCATCCGCCATCTAAAAGAACTCTGTAGAGACAATTTTAACTCTGTCAACACAGCATTATGATCGGAACAAGTCCTTGGGCAAATTTCAGATTTAGTCACTCTTGGAGTCAAGTCTTTAGTTAACCATATATTATCTAGGCGACTGCACGATAGATTTGCATCTGAAAAAAATGTAAAATCTTTCTCCATTGGATTCTTCAATCTCCAAATGTCTATCAGGTCAAAATTGTCCACCATCTCGAAAAACGTCTTTGGTTGCCTCCCATCATTAGTAAGTTTTTGCCTTTGGGTTCTGAAGAAATCCCGATAACAATTTACTGAGGAAACTGAACAGAAAACTATATAATTTGAGGAGAGAGGTGTTGTCATTCTTATTTCAGGCCTTGTACATAGCAGGGAGACATTCAACTAAACATAGACAGGAAACGACACAGCCAATTGGGTGAAAATCATACCATTCCAACTGGTTGCTGAGCAACACCCCCTCCCCCTCTTGTCTAGCTGACTTTAACACTTACAGGATTAACCCTTAAGTTTCACACAGAACGATCTCTGTCGTTGCAATTCCAGTGGGGTTATGTTTGAGAACAGTGCTTTGTCACTAAGAATGATAAATTACTTTTAAAATCAGTTACAAAATGTTGAGGTAGAAATGGGCTATAGAGCCATCTGTTTTTGAAAAGCAGGGATGGGCAACCTGCAGCCTCAGGCCTAAAAGCCAAAGACATCTGTGAGTGATCAGTCCCTCTCCTGGGAGGAAGAGGGAATGAGAAAGGAAAGGCAGAGAGAGAATGTGCTGCCCCCCCCCCACAGACTGCCCCTGAGGCACTGGCCTTCAAACTCTTGGGTCAGCACCCACTGCCAGGACATCACAGCATGACCGAGGGCGAGTCACAGGAGCAGCACTGCCACTATGCAAGTAGATTATTTAAAAATTCAGAAATGGGTCCCCAAATGTATGTTTGGGTTGAAGCTGCGTTCCAGGTCTGCAAAGGCCACCCTAAGAGAAAAGCTTGCCCACCTCATTGTATGGTGTACAAGGGATCAGGGTTTTCAACCAGGAATCTTCTGATCTGAGGTCAAACCCTGTGAGCTACAGAGCACTCAGGCTTTACAGCCTCTTCAAACACAGACAAGGACATCAGCTCCTCTGACTGGCAGGCAGTATCAGTGGCCAGGACTGGCAATAAATGCCAGGAGCCTGCTCTAGCTCTTTCTCACTGTTCTCCCCTCTGGAAATGAGAGAACCACAGTCTGGGCCTGAGCCTGAGCATGTGAAAGTGGAAGGTAGCCTTGTCCAAAGTCTGCTAGTACCTCAGATGTGCTGGGGTCCAGGCCTGCCAGGGGGTCCTCCCAGTCTGAGGTGGGTGACGTTTACATGCAAGCTACTAGACAGGTATGGATGAAGTGACCCTTCTTGCCCACAGAAAGGGTTGCCATGACAATTTAAAAGTGGCAGAGGACTTCCGGGTTGGCGCCATCGGCAATGGCGGAATTCCTCTGACCGGGAGGAATTTGCCCCGTGGGAAATTGGGTCTGGACCGCCACGGCGAAGGCAGAGACCTGTAAAAATCACAGGCGGGAGAAGCCTGTGAACGTGGGATTCGGCGGGCACCTTCTGTGCCTCCCCTACTCGCGGGGAAACCCGTTTTCGGGGCTCCGGAGCGACGTGGGGTGAGTGGCGCGGTGCTTCGAATCGTCTGCTTCTTCCACGGAGCGAAGCCGCACAGCTGTTGCTGGAGAGCGCTGACTTTTTCCTGTGGACAATTTGACTTTAAAGTAATTACCTGTGAGTAGAGCTGAAACGGGAGAATTGGATTTTTAAAAGTATAATTTGGTATCGAAGCGGGGAGGTTCAAAACAGGAAGTCCGCCTTCCCCTTTTGTAAATAGACTGAGGCAATGAAGTTGCAAGCTGGAGTCCTGGAAAGTCTTTTGTAAAAGATTAAATTTCCATCGGTAAAGAACAAAACCCCCCTTTGGAGGCAGGAGAAGAGGGGGGGAAGTTGTGGACTGAATATGCCTGCAGGAGAGAGCGAAGAGATGTAAAACACCGCCACTCTGACCCTGGAAACGGGCTGCTAGTAGGACTGACGTATTTTGGAATGTTCATTGACAGCGTTTAGAACGTTCATTGACAGCTAGTTAAACAAGAGAAATACATTGTTTCTACTGTTTCCGGCTGCTTTAAAAAGGAGTAAAAGTAACTGAAAATTGAAACTAACTTGAAACTAATTTTCTGATTGTTTAAAAGAGGATGCTATTGACTATTACAAATAGAAACTGTTTCCCCCTAGTGGAAGCCTTTGAAACCGGTTGCTTTACAAGAGTTGGGTTAGGGAAATTTCCAGCTGCAAGTTAAAAACCGTGAGACTCTGGGACTGACCTTGAATCTTTTAAGTGTTATGGTTAATGGAAGAGGAAAAACAGACCAGTCAACTGCTGACAAAACATTAAGGTCTGGGAGGACTTGGCAACAATCCAGGAGAGCTTCACCATCAGGCCCCCCTGCTTTTTGTTGCAGCCTTTGTACCAGTATATGTAAAACCAAGAGAAATGTTGACAGAAGAGGCTCTAGTGGCTGCATTATTTAAGATAAATGATTCATTGAATCAGCTTCACAGGAAAATGGACACGATAAATGCGAAAGTGGATATTTCAATCATTAAAACTAACTTAAATATAGAAAGTATAAATAATACTAATACAGAAACTACCCAGAAATTGACACAGGAACCTATTTCGATACGGCAAACTGCGGAGGAGGCCAGGGAAAAGCTGTTGTTGCTGAATGTAAAGAAACACAACTGGAGAGAAAGAGCAAGAGAGCCCCAGCCCTACAGAAGCAACTTGATGAATATAAGTTGACGCTTGCTATGACTGAACTTAAAGAAAAACAGACAAATTTGAGGATTAGAGTTCACCTTTGGTGGACATGCCCAAGGATTAAGACACTTTGGGAGATGATTCATAATGAAATGAAAAAGGTATTTAAATATACCTTTCTGAAGAAACCAGAGGTCTTTCTCCTGGGCATGGTCGGCCAATTGGTGTTAAAGAAGAATAGAACTCTTTTCACGTATGTAACAATAGCAGCAAGAATACTCATTGTGAAGTACTGGAAGACACAAGATTTATTTTTCCGGGAAGAATGGCAGATGAAGTTGATGGACTATATGGAATTGGCGGAAACGACTGGCAGAAATACTAGACCAGGGAGAAGAGACGGTGGAAGAAGACTGGAAAAAGTTTAAGACTATTTATAGAAATATTGTAAAAATAATGAATGTTAGAAAAATGTTGGAATGAAGTTATATGGTTTTAGTAGAAATGCTATAAGAAATTAAGTATAAATAGACTAATAGAGTATTAAAGGGAAAAATAAGATTAGAATATGTTAAGATAATTATAGGATAGAAAACAGAGGAAGATGGAAAGGAATTGCTGAAACAATTAATAGAAGTGGAATACAAAAAGGGAGGTGTGAGGAGGTCGTGGAAATAAGGGAATGAAAGTTAAGATATTGAAATTGTTTTGTGTTTTAAATGGTTTGCGTCTTATTTTGTTAATCTTATGTTTTTTCTTTTCTTTTCTTTTTCTTTTCCTTTTTTGTTTTTTCTGTTTTATTGTGTTTAAATGGTTGGAAAATCAATAATTTTTTATTTATTTTTTTAAAAAGACAATTTAAAAGTGGCAGGCAGAGTTTTTACATTTGCGCCTAACCACTCCTGATATGTGCCTTCTGTGCTGAGTCTATCCCATTAGGTATTTTTGAAATGCCTCGTAGTGGCTTCACACATTACTTTTTACAGTTAGGAGGGCTCTGAAATGGAAAGCTAAATGATGTTCCTTGTTTCCATGTTTTGTAGATCATCTCCAAAGAGATTGAAGCAAACGATTGGAAGTGGAAATATGAAGGAAGCCGGCAAGAGGTTCTGGAAATGAGGTAACTCTCTCCATCCAGCCCAGGGCCCTGGTGGGAACGTAAATTGCCCCCTCTCCTGTAGTTTGATCAGTCATTTGATGAGCAAGGCGAGTGATAGCCCCCTGCCTCAGCTGATGTACGTGTGGGTGTGTATAATTTTTTATTTCATAAAATTTATATACCAATTGAATGTAAAAACAAACAAACAAAATACCCTAAAAACTGTTTTCAAAATAATAAACCAATAAAATTACTGGTAAAAACAGTTAAGAATAAGTATTTAAAATGTTAAAAAAAAATCATTGATAAACTAAAAACATATTAGAATACATATTAACATTATCTATATTTGGGTATTTTGTCTAAACAAAAATGTTTTTCGCAGGCACCAAAAAGAGTACAGTGACATGTTCTCTTAAGTGTGTAGAAAGGCAACATCCACTTTTGTCCGCAGCTGCCCATTGGCATGCAGCCTCTGGCGGGTTGGTCAAGGGCAAGTGTGGCCCCAGAATGAAAAAAAGCCATCCCTGGCCTAGGAATTTGACCTGGGCAGGGAAGACCCCAAGTCAATCTCCACTCAGCCACAAGACTTCCTGGGTGATCATCAGCTTGTTCCTCTCAGTCCAATCTGCCTACCTTACAGGGTGGTTGTGAAGATAAAAGAGCAGGACCTTTGTGTGCACCATATTAGGAGAAAGAACAGGATACAAATGGAATAAATTTGTACATAGTTGTTTGTTTGTTTGTTTGTTTGTTTGTTTGTTTGGATGTTAACAAAAAAGCACCCAAATCAAAAAAAGGTGTCAGTTTTCTTTACCTACATTTTTGGAAAGAGTTCTGGAAGCCAAACAGGTCTATGCAGTGAAATGGGTGTGCATGTAACCATTCTCAAGTTTGCATGCATCTTAAGATGCCTGCAGAAGAGAAACTTTGAGTGATGGCTGTCTGTCTGTCTTGCATAAGGATGAAATAATGTAAAAGGCATCCCACACTAGGATGAGTGGGTGGAGCTGGTTCACCGAAGCAAGAAGTGAGCGATTCTGATTCTTGTGTGCTGTTTCCTGACTTTTCTGTTTAGGAAGATTGTAGCTGAATACGAGAAGACCATTGCCCAGATGATAGGTAAGCCATGGCTTTGTGGGTAGAAGGGACAAGAAAGCTGTGCCTCACCCTCTACTGATCATCCCCTCCAGCTAATCCAGGCCATAAATGTGCAGGAGGCATATCTTTATTTATTCATTTTATTAAATTTGTATACCGCCCTGTCTGTACCCATAGATCTCAGGGCTGCTCACAAATGCAGTTTCAATGCAATGTCTCTGTGTCTGTGACACGACGTGCCAAGTTTTCAAGTGGTAGCTTGGAGTCTGGTCAGCGCTTGGAGAAGCAGTTATAGTCAAGTCTCCGTGTAAATGCTGCAAGCCTGATAAGAACATAAGAGCCAGATAGATTAGCCCAAGGCCCATCTAGTCCAGCACCCTGTTCTCACAGTGGCCAACCAGATGCCCATAATAATAAGAATTTTTTTATTTGTACCCCTCCCATCAGACTGGGTGGCCCCAGCCACTCTGGGCGGCTTCCAGCATAATAAAAACACAGCAAACATCAAACATTAAAAACTTCTGGATACAAGGCTGCCTTCAGAGGTCTTCAGAAAGTTGTGGGGTTGTTTATGTGTTTGACATCTGGTGGGAGGGCATTCCACAGGGTGGGCGCCACTACCAAGAAGGCCCTCCACCTGGTTCCCTGGCTCCGCAGAGGCAGAACAGAGCACAACAGCACTCTTTTTAAAAAATATTGGCTAATTGGTGGGAAATAGCAGATATCAAGGACAGGATACTTCTCCATTTGGAATTGGTATCTGAAGAAGTGTGTATGCACACAAAAGCTTATACCAGAACAAACTTAGTTGGTCTATAAGGTGCTACTGGACAATTTTTTTTTTTATTTTGACTACATCAGACCAACACGTCTACCTAGCTGAATTTGGAATTAAGTTAGCCTTCCCCAACCTGGTGCCCTTCAGAGGTTTTGAACACCAACCCCTCTCCATTTAGTTCAGCCTTGGCCAACCTTCAGTCACTAATGGGAGTTGTGGTCCAAAACCTCTTGAGGGCGCCAGGTCAGTGAAGGGTGAACTAAACCTTTGGCGGAGCTCTTGAACACGTGAAAAGCTGACGATCTGCGCTGCTGTTTAGCACTGTCTTCTCCGTTAGGAATCACAGCTGGGGAAGAAGGGAACGCCCAACTGCTCCTTTCCAGGTAGGCTTAATGTTCTCCTTTTCATTTGAATCCACAGAGGATGAACAGAGGACAAACATGGCATCACAGAAGAGTCTTCAGCAACTGACGATGGAGAAGGAGCAGGCTCTGTCTGACCTGAATTCTGTGGAACGGTCCCTTTCCGACCTGTTCAGGAGATATGAGAACCTGAAGGGGGTCCTGGAAGGCTTTAAGAAGGTCCTTTTTCTGCATAAAAAGGCCTTTTCTCCTCCTTACCTGCAGCTCAGAATCCCTGCCTTATCTGCTGTAGGCCAGAGGTGGGGGACCTGTGGGCTCCAGAAGTTCCTGGACCCCTAACCATTGGCCCTGCTGGCTGGGCTGATGGGAGTTTGAATGCAGCAATTTCTGAAGGGCCACAGGTACCCTGATGCAGGAGGGCGTATCTTTTTTCGGGGTGAAATTGAATTTTTGCAAATTTCTTCAGTGATGCATCTTAAAAGTATGTTTCTGGATATGATTCAAATCTGCTATTCTTTTTGTGATTGGACAATATTCAGTAAGTCTATGTCTGAGGAAGAAGCACATAATCTGCTTTTGGAAAACCAAAAAACCCCAGAGCTGTTAAATTTTTTGGGGGGTAGGCACAGTTGTTTAGCTTTTGGGGGGGGATTGCAGACAATCACTCACCCACCTGACCGCCACTGCCAATCACATACCTCGCCAAAGCCACTGTCCGATCACCACCAGCAGCCGACAATCAACTGCACAATTGCCATATTTTAGCAGAGGAAATAATCCCCCTCATATATTATTGCATTTATTCCCCTGTGTTAGTCAAGGATTTATGGATTAAGCCTCTTGCAAAGTCTCATATCTTTTTTAAAAACACCTAGTTTATGAAGGTGTATTCTTTAATATTCATTATCCAAATGGGTGCATTCATTTTGATGAATGTATAATCTCCATTGGAGGGCTGGATCCGGAACTGGCCCACCCTCTGTGCACCCCTTTTGACCGATAGGTGTGGGCCTCCACCAGTCTGTTTCCTGACATCACATGGCAACAGGCGATTCAGATTTTCCCCAATGGGGCAGTATCAGGAAGCCAACAATTCTGCTCCAGGTCAGATTTCAGTCCACGCTGGAGAAGAATTTAGAGGCTCATGAAGCGTGAATGCTATTTCCCTATGGACTTTAAGAAGCCTCTGAAGCACTTTCCCCAAGTTCAGCTCTGGAGAACTTTGCTAGCTTCTCCATCTTGATGCTCTGCTAGTTGGCACACTTGCATCTTTTTGTTGCTAAACCTTTTGCATCTTCCTCTAACTTTTGTCTTCTAGAATGAGGACGCATTGAAGAAGTGTGCTCAGGATTATCTCACTCGGGTCAAGCAAGAAGAGCAGCGGTACCAGGCCTTGAAAATCCATGCTGAAGAGAAGTTGGACAAGTAAGGAATTTTTGGCTTTCAAGGAAAGAGAGAATGGCAACACTGAACTGTGGTTAACAGAAAGCGGGAGTGAAAGCTTCCAGATTCCTCCCTGTGGGTGTGCTGGAGGAGGAGAAGGGGAAGCAAGGGAGGCCAGAGGAAGGATCTCATGGTGTCTTGATTTAAGGGGGGATGGGGAGCAAAAGCGTCTTTGCCTGCAACAGAATATACAAGTACAAGCTCAAGTTTCAGGAATAATAATGACGATAAGCAGTTGAAGGCTAAGTGGTGGCTGATGCCCTTTGGGGAGTGATAAGATGGAAGCAAAGTGAACAACAGCTGGTGCAGCCAGAGTCAGCGACAAGCAGAGCTAGGTAATTTTAGTTTTGTCCCCATCCTCCTCCATGCTGGGTTCTACACAGGGAAACACTGAGACTTAAGGCAGAGGAGGCTCGGAAAGCAGGCGGGTGGCAGCTGTCTGAGGGCAGAGCTACCTGTTTGCTGCAATGGACCAGCCTCCACTGCCAGAGGATTGCAGCGCATCATGAATAATATCAACAGTGGGCTGCTATATTGCGGACAGCAAATCCTGCAGTTGAAAGCCTTCACCCACAAACTGAGAGTCAGTTTTCTCTGCTAAGGACGTTTTCATTACAGCCTGGCTGAGCACAATACTGTCCCTCTCAAGGGCCATCCAGAAGATGAACCTTATTTGCATCTCTGTTTCTCTTGCTGTCTTCCCCCTTCAATGCAGAGCCAATGAAGAGATTGCTCAGGTGCGCAACAAGGCCAAAGCGGAGAGTGCAGCTCTTCACGCTGGGCTCCGAAAAGAACAAATGAAGGTGGAGTCTCTGGAGAGGGCCCTCCAGCAAAAGGTGAAGGAGCCTCTCTTATCTTTTTCCTGCTGCAAAGAAAAGAGCAAATTGTCTGAATCTACCACATGCTGCTTGAAATTCCTTTAACATGGACAGCAAAATGTACATTGAGTTTTCAGTATTCTCCTGATCTTGTGATATTGCTATTTTTTATTCTTCTTAATTGTTCAATGGCCTGGTTCATTTATTGTGTTTATACAATATTTCTATTGTGCTTCATTTGTCCTATATTTTTAATATTTTCTTCTGGGTTGGGGGAGCCTTATATACTGAAGGGTGGTACAGTCCTGACGATGCTATACAGTAATCTGTACTCCTGAATCTGTTTGGGTTAACTTGGTTATTGGTTGATTTCCTCAATACCAAGACCCTATTGCTATGGTCCCTAACTTGAGGCCCACCTTGGTGCCTGCAAAAGCCCTTCCTAGGTTTCTTTTTCAAATACAGTGGTGCCTCGCAAGACGAAATTAATTCGTTCCGCGAGTTTTGTCGTCTTGCGATTTTTTTCGTCTTGCGAAGCACGGTGTCGGGAAAGTTTTGGAAAAGCTTCAAAAATCACCAAAGTCTTTAAAAACCTCAAAAAAGGCTACCACACCGCATTCTATGAGTTGCTCCTTGAAGTCAAGTCGCAACTGTATTAACGGTGTTAAGAAAAAGGAAACAAACTTGCAAGACGTTTCCGTCTTGCGAAGCAAGCCCATAGGGAAAATCGTCTTGCGAAGCAGCTCAAAAAATAAAAAACCCTTTCGTCTAGCGAGTTTTTTGTCTTGCGAGGTACCACTATACTAAGTTTTGGGGACTTCTTGTTCTGGTGGATGGTTTCCTTAGCTACTTCTTCTGTCAGTGTTTGATTTGGTTGGGGGGGTGTAGATGTTTTGCCTGTTTTGAGGGCATTTTGTGATGCTCACAACAGTTTCTTTGGTTTACAAATGTGGCCCAGGGCACAGAAAGGTGACCTAGTTGAAAATATGAAAATATGATTGCACAAGCATTTAAAGGAGACTCCATTGCACTACAGGTGCCTTATTGGATTTTGCAGGTTTCAACTTTTGCAAGTCTGTTGGTTTTTTTTATGGAAATGCTCTACAGTAGGGATTGGAATCCTGTGTGGAGTCCACCAGCATGTTGACTCGATCGCAGGCTCCCCATCCCTGGACTGTGGCCACTGCCTATACCAGAGCTTTCCAAACTTTTCATGTTGGTGACATACTTTTTAGACATGCATCATTTCACGACACAATAATTCAGTTTTACTAGCACTAACCCCTTGCCAGTCCCAGGAGGAGCAGCATTCACATGAAACGCACACTGCACACTGAAGGCAACATGCTAATGTGTCACAACACACAGTTTGGAAAGCTCTGGCTTATCCCATTATCCCATTCGCCAGCCCAAACCCTCTGCGTTCTCTTGCATCCAGTAGTGGCAACAAGAGAGATTTAAGAATGTGTCATTAGCAGCTCTTCACTTCCTACGTTTTTTGTGTTTTTCAGAACCAGGAAATTGAAGAACTGACCAAGATCTGCGATGAGCTGATTGCCAAGCTAGGAAAGGCGGACTGACCCCCTCTCTCTCGTCCAGAGCAACCATGCTCTGCTACTTCCTGTTGTCTATCTGCATCTTCAAGTGAGCACCCTGCCTTATTTTCCAGAACTAATCTTCCCCCTGCTGCAGGAGAGGGAAAAGCACATGCACTTGCCTTCTGTATCAAGCAGTCTTCACCCTCAAGAGGGAATCAGAGGCCCTATTATATGTTCATTTCCAACATTACACACCAGTCCACATCTCCTCCTTGGCTTCACTTCCGCTGTCCACTTTTTGTAGCCCAGCTGCTACTGGTGAGGTATATGCAGTATATATATATTAGACACGCCATTTTATTTGCAAGAAGGCATTGAGAACAGCCACTCTGTTCTGCAACTCCAGCCCACAGAAGATGCTGCATTTGCTGCCTTGAGAGCTGGTGCCTGATGAAAAGAGACATTGCTGTGTATACCTGCCGATGGGTGATGGGGAGGGGCCAGGAGGAGGTGCCGTTTACCTAAACAGGTGCTTTGCCATATGCGGTTGCAGTGAGCATGGGGAAGGCACAAGTGAGATGTGAAGTAAGCTGCAATGGAGGGGGTGCGCAACAAGGCCAGTTTTAATGCAGCTGTTGACAGGCTGGTGTCTAGATTGCTTCCTGAGGGTGGATCACATGTAGAATTCAAATTAGGGTCTACTGGATTGTGCGAGAGCAAGTCTTTGTGAGCCAGGATTGGCAATGAAAAAGGCAGTGCTTCAGGGCACCTTAAAGACTTTATAAGGTCTTGTAGATTAGAAGGTTTGTGCCACGATACATTTTCTTAAGGCTCTTGTGTGTGTTCAGGCACAGACCAACAGAGGGTACCCTCCTGGAATTTCTCTTTTCAGTTAGTGCACTTTAATGCTGCGGTGGGAGGACAGTGTTCCCTCCCAGAGACAGAGAGAGAGAGCACATTTCCCAGAATGCACCTTGAATGCAGGGCCTCCCAAGTGAGTAACAGCTCCTAGACATTGAAGAATATGAATATATAATCTCCTCCCTGTTAATGGGATTCTAGATGCCCCTGTCATCTCTTTGGAAACTGGGTGAAAGAATGGAAGGCAAACTATGCAGCAGACAGGTGCAGTTTCTAATGCAGTTGTGCTCACTAGCAGGAAGTTTTGGCACTGGGTTACTCCATGCTACACTGTCCCAGATTGCTTTTATTTTTTAGTTGCTCATCGACCTTGTAATGGCTTCTGCAACTTAGTTCTGGTGGTGGCAGATGCAGCCTGTTCCCATACTGTAAGAAGTATATGATTCTCTCCCAAATGGTCGATGTAATGCAGGCAACCTATGTCCTGAACTCAAAATCGGGGTGGAGGGGAAAGTTCTGGTGGTGTATTTTGGAATCTGTGCTTCCATATTAGGCTGCCTTGCATCAGAAAAATCCAGACTGGATGATTCTCTTATATCTGGCTGATGACTAGTTAAATCGTCCAGTTGATTCGATTTAATTCCAGAACAGAAGCAATTTGCTAGTCTCTGGTTCCCAGCATGCCTTTCTCTCTCTGCCGTGAAAGCTAAACAACCCTTTGCACAAAGGAGCCTGCCTCTAAACCCAGTTATTGCTGTTTGCCAGCATACAGTTGCTGAGAACACTTGTCTGCCACAAAGTCCCCAAGATATATTAACCTGACAGTTACTTTGGTTCCCTTGTACCGTCCAGCAAAGGGTCTCCAGCCCTGGGCCAGGATGCCCTGCGGCTGGGGCTGCTTTGTGCAGTGGGTGTGACTTGCTACCATCACACATTTGATATGTATGATAATTTCCCTTTTCTATGTCAGGTAAATATTTGTAAGAGTTATACTCACACAAATGAGATTATAATAATGATTACTAATATATTTTTTCCATGTCCCATTGCCTGAATAAAAATAAAGTGTTTCCAAGTTGGGAGTATTTGTTTTCCTTTTATTACTGTGCTTTGTTTTCAGGGGGGGGAGGGAGGGAGAGAGAGAGAAGTCTGTTTTGCTTCTACCCTCTTGTGACTTTCCAGTGAGACAAGGCCAAACTGGCCAGCCAATGAGACTGTGTTCACACCATACATTTAAAGCCCTGGGATGCCGCTCTAAAGAGCCATGACCTCCCCCAATGAATCCTGGGAGCTGCTGAGAGTGTAGCTAGGAGATGCCTATTCCCCTCCTGGAACTCCCGGTGAAGGGGGATTTTTAAACCTAAGCCAAGTTAACATTTTTCCTCACACCACTGTGCACTACTTCTCAGTGCTGAGGGAATGAACCAGGGGTGGGGAGCTTGTGGCACTCCAGATCGTGTTGGAGTCTAAATCCCATCCTGGCCATGCTGAACTCCAACAACATCTGGTGGGCATCACATTGGCTGACTGCTGTGAACCACCCTGAGACCTGTGGGTATAGGGTGGTGCAGTGCTTTTTTCCTGGGGACGCATAGCCCTAAACATTTTGTGAATCTTTGTACTTTTGTCCATTTACTGTATATATTTTCCCCGATTTTAACTATAAGATGGTGATTTTCTTGAGTCAAAATAAGAGTACCCCCAAAGATTTTCTTATATACAGCTTCAGGTTACAGACTCCGCTAACCCAGAAATAGTACCTCAGGTTAAGAACTTTGCTTCAGGATGAGAACAGAAATTGTGCTCCTGCGGCGAGGCAGCAGCAGGAGGCCCCATTAGCTAAAGTGGTGCTTCAGGTTAAGAACAGTTTCAGGTTAAGAACGGACCTCCGGAATGAATTAAGTTCTTAACCTGAGGTACCACTGTATATAGAAAAAAAGCACTGGGGTGGTATACAAATTTTAATAACAAAATGACCTAAAGGGCCATGGGTCCTCCTCTCCTGGAATAATCCTTTCTGGAACACACATGCTGCTCCGGGGGGGGGGGGTCAGGATTTGACTCAATGTGGCACCTTTGCTCTCCCACTAGAGCAGCATTTCCCAAACTTGGGTCTCCAGCTGTTTTTGGACTACAGTTCCCATCAGCCCTGAGAACTGGTTTTGCTAGCTAGGGAGGATGGAAGTTGTAGTCCAAAAACAGCTGGAGACCCAAGTTTGGGAAACGCTGCTCTAGAGGAAAGCCTGGTGTCTGTGTGGTGGAGCTTGGTCCTATTCACACACCAACCAAAATACAGAGGAGCTGAGCATGTGTAATGGGTGGTTAAGTCTGGGTAAAGGAGTGCCCTTCTAAGGCCCTCTGGGAGCAATGGAGACAAGTCCAAGGGTTTCCAGAAAGTAAAGGTTTTATTGAAAGAATATAATAAAGAGCAATTAAATGGTTAGCTGGAAGCAGTGGGGTTTTTTGGTTTAAAAAATGAGGTGCCAGTGCTCATCTCTTGATAAATATATCATACATGCTGGCACCACAGTTCAAGAAGGACACTGACAAACTGGAACGTGTCCAGAGGAGGGCAACCAAAATGGTCAAAGGCCTGGAAACGATGCCTTATGAGGAACGGCTAAGGGAGCTGGGCATGTTTAGCCTGGAGAAGAGGAGGTTAAGGGGTGATATGATAGCCATGTTCAAATATATAAAAGGATGTCACATAGAGGAGGGAGAAAGGTTGTTTTCTGCTGCTCCAGAGAAGCGGACACGGAGCAATGGATCCAAACTACAAGAAAGAAGATTCCACCTAAACATTAGGAAGAACTTCCTGACAGTAAGAGCTGTTCGACAGTGGAATTTGCTGCCAAGGAGTGTGGTGGAGTCTCCTTCTTTGGAGGTCTTTAAGCAGAGGCTTGACAACCATATGTCAGGAGTGCTCTGATGGTGTTTCCTGCTTGGCAGGGGGTTGGACTCGATGGCCCTTGTGGTCTCTTCCAACTCTATGATTCTATGATTCTATGAAACGGCTGCCAAGGGCAGCAAAAAAAAAGGTGACAGTACTCCATACTGGTGAGTACTATCAGATAAAAAAGCACTTGCTGAGGAATTGTGGGATGAATTGGCTATATGGTTGTGGCAGCACAGTTTCAGCTTACATAAGGGGAAGAATGGTTAAAGTAGGAAAAGGTGGGGAACTAGGCTTAGAGGGGAGAAGAGGCGATTGTGACCCAACCTTCTGCTTCAGCTCTGCCTGCAATATGAGAAGGGGGTGATGATCTCAGAATGCAAGATGGGCTCCAGCCAGAAGCTTATGAATATGGGGAAAAGAAGGTGGGGAGACTGGAGAACTGGGTGTTGCGTTCTACATGCAGCTCACAAAGACCATGAGAGAGAAAGGCTGGGGTGTCCAAGCAGTTATAGACTTGAGTGTTGAGGAATTTACACAAGGAAGGGGATTGTCTCTCTTAGGGTGAGAGGGGCAAACAGGCTTTCCTCTGCTCCTTCCGCATATGGGCTCCTAACCTTCATGGGTGCTAAAGCAGTTATGGTTTTGTTCCAGCAGTCCTTCCACAGTGATTTATCCATGGGGCTCTTCTACCTCTGAGGCCTCCCTTAGCCAAAACAATTGGTGTATTGGTGGAATTCTGGGGTTGCATACTGTTACACTTCCACAGGGGGTTCCAGGCACTTAATTTGGAGCACCTGAAGAATTGAAGATGTGGCAGAGATTGTTGCTGCTTTAAGAAATCTGGTTCATTCACCTATTTTCACCTTCCATCTGCATGGAGAGAGTCCAGATCTTACAGCTTGGTCATTTCAAGAGGGGTTGTCCCCTACAGCAGTGCAGCACTGGAGTCCAAGGCATCTCTCCCAGCCAGCCTTCAGCCAGCCTGCCCAGGATGGATCTCTCACTTTGTTCTCCCCACTTCTTCTTCCCAGCACTCCTTGCATTTCCCATTCTTTTTTAAATGTCTTGTCCTCTTGGTTCCTGAGCTTCCCAGATAATGTTGCCATTTTGGCATAGTCCATCAACTTGATCTGCAATTCTTCTCTGGTTGGGGTTGTCTCTTCCTTCCATCCCTGGGCTAGCAAGATCCAAGCGGCCATCGTAGCATACATGAACAGTTTCCTCTGATCTTTTGGGATCTCGGTACCTATAATTCCTAGTAAAAAAGCTTCTGTTTTTTTAGGAA